AACAAGGCATTACCAGAGCCATCAGTGATCTTGCAGGGCTGATCAAACATGAGCGTCTCGTCAGTCTCGCCGGGATCTTGCGGAGCACGGTCAGGGGATAATTGATGGCTCCTGTTCTTCTTTCTGGATTCTTTTGCTTTATTTCGCTGGCGCTTGAGCTCTTCCTGGAGCATGTCTTCGAGGACTCTTTCTTCCTCCTTGCTCTCTTCGAGCTTCTTCCGTTCCTCTCGCTCCTTTTCGCTCTGCGCTAACCTTGCCAGCTCTGCTTCGTGGGCTGCCCTCTCCTCTTCCAAGGAGGGGATCTCCAGCCCCTGGACCTTTTTCTGAGCGGCTTCCTCCAGGATATCGCGGATCCCTTCGACAATCTGGTCTATCATCTCCTGTTCCGCTTGCGCGTAGATCTTTGGTTGTGTTTCCACAAACTTTTGAATCTTGAACTTGGTCGACTCTCGAAGACTGTGGTCATCCTTGATGGTCAGCAGTGGAGGTGTCTTTGGGTAGGTGGCCACCATGACAACGCCCAGTGTTACTGAAAGCTCTTGGTCAGATGAAGGTTTGATCTTGATGTCAAAACGGGGTTCTGATTTCTGGACGTCTGTTAGTGAACAACATTGTGGGAAGAGAAGAGGAGAGATGGATCCTACCTGCCATGCCCCGTGTGCTGCTTCATGTTGGGTGAAGTCCTCGCCATAGATGGCCTGCAGCACCATTACTTCACTCTCCTGGACTTCCTGATAATGAGTCTTTGCTGGTGGGGTTTGCCCCGGGGCCTTGAGCCCCGGGAAAGTGGTGTTGCCTTCATTGTTCTTCTTGGGGGTTTGTTGTTGGGCAGGCTTCTTCTTGCCGGCAGGTTTCTTCCACGCCATTATTGCGAGACCCGGTGCTGCTGGGCAGAGATCCTTGTTATTAATCAGTGAGTCTTGTTAGTCGTTGTGGAAAAGGGGTTGGTCTGGTGTATTAGGCCTTATGCAACGAACACAGCCGAGATGGCTGCGAGACTTCACTGAGCGGAGCCCATCTTAACTCGTGGTAGACTGGGTTCAGAAAAGGGAAAGGGAAGGGTGAAGGTTGGATGGAAACGAAGTGACGTGGTCAACGGTCGCGTTTTCAAAAGTGAGTGGGAGCAGAGGAGATGGATGGATGGAAGATGGGTGAAGTGGACAAGTGAGTGTGTGACTCGTTGGATGACTCCAACTGTGACTTGGAATGGAAATGAAGACCCGTGAATGTCCCCAACAACCTACAGGATGGTCCAGAGCCCGAGTCCACGACAACAGCATCCATTCCGCTGTTCAGCTCGAGCCTGGCTGATAAGGTTCCCCCAGCGAGTCCCGATAAACTACCTTTAACGAACTAAGTTCCCACCGCTGTGAGCGGGTCTACACTCCAGGGCAGTACTGCCCTCTACACTCCGCCTGCTATGTATGTACACTACATACTTATCTTCACAGTAGGTACCTACCTCTAGGTAGGTAGGTAGTAGCTGGGTAGCGGGTTCTCAAGGTTCACCGACTGGACCGAGGGATGGACCGTGGCGAACACTTGCAAAGTGGGGTCGGAGCAAAGAATAGAGGCACAAGTGGAGACCCTCGCTCCAGTCCCACTTGGGAATCTGGATTGAGATCTTTGCCGCGCTCCCATCTGTTTGTTTGAAATAGCACTGACCACTGACTACACTGACAGTCGGACGCTGGAACGGACGGCGGGACGTGCCATCAGGTCAGCTTCATCCCGTCACGGTTCGTCCTCCACTTCTCATCCCGATTCTCATTGGCTCCCGTCTGTACATAGTAGGTCCTGTTCAGGGAAAGAGTAAACAAATCACCCACTCGCCCATCAAACAGGATTAGTTCTTCCACTCCCATTGCTCCCAACTGCGACACAAACACACCTGCAGAGCGCGAATCCGATCTCATTCTTACCATTTACAACCTCCATCACCACCATCAACCAACTCTCCCACCTTATCGCGCGAACCGTATTCGAGGGGCCTATTCCCCCATCTCCGACCGCCCAGAGTATGCTGCGCTAGACCTCGCTTCAGCTTCTTCATCCATCGCCGACCGACACAATGATTAGTTGGGCGTTGCGGCGAAACAATAACTCGACTGCGCAAAATGCACAGGGCGCACCCGATGCCGGTACGGTTGCAGGCCATTGCAGGAGCCTCAGCGCATTTATTCCTCATTGTTGAGTCTGACCATTTGGCCCAGATGAATCTACCAACCAGCTCGATGTCCCCGATACTCCAGCGCCGGTCTTCGCTGTGCGCGCCTTGAAGACTGCCTTGTTCGGCACACCTGCCAAAGACTCGAAAAAAACCGCCCCTATGCCCGGTCCTCATCGATCACCGACGAAACCCAACGGCATTCTCTTGACTCCAGGCGTCGGCGCAGCCCGTCGCAAACGCGTTTCCTTTGGTCATGGCGTTAAGGCGGGATCGGCCCTGGATTTGACTGCGACGGGCGGCCTTGGCACTGACGGTCAGGCCTCGAAACCAAAGACCCGATTGACCGAAATTCTCGAAAATTCACGGACCAGGCCGCAAACCGCAGATCCTGGTGTCAAGACGTTTTCGGCCGAAGATGCATGGGATGAAGATGATGTCGAGTATTATGACGACTCGGATCTTGAAACAGATATCACAGATGCCACGGTCGATCTCAACGAACCACACTCGCGTTCTGGGAGGTACTGGAAGGCCGAGTTCGAAAAGTACCACGCGGATGCAAGGGCGGAAATGGAGAAGCTGGTTAGATATAAGCAACTCGCAAAGTCCTACGCCAAACTGAAAGATGCCGAGGCCGTCGACTTGAACAAGAAGCTCAAGGAGGAACAGGAGAGGGTCCAGCAAATGGAGGAGCAAATTGCCGAGATGACGCGCCACGTCAATGTCTATTCGAAGCGAGGTGGTGTCGAGCCCAACAACGGGTTGATAGAAGAGCTTAATCGGCAAAAGGCTTTGGCGCAAGAGTACAGGGCCCAGGTCGAGGAATTGGAGGAGATACTGCGCGAAGATGAAGAGGATCATAATGACTATCAGGCCGGGAGCCATGCTTCATACAAACGACGGATTGCATCGCCACGGACTCATCGGACCCTTTTGGAGGCCCAGCGAGAGCTTAGGAAGGCTAGGTCACAGGTTAGGGAACTTGGAAAGCTTCGGGATGAGCGGGGCCGAATGAAGACTGAACTCAAATTCGCCGAGCAACGAGCCACCGCACTCGCCGAGGAGAATAAGAAACTCAACAGTGAGGTGGTGCTGAGTAATTTCAAGGTCAAGGACTTGGGGAAACGGCTGGCCGAATCCAAGAATGAGAATCTGGTCAAGGACAATGAACTTCAAAAACTCAGGGCAGATTATAACAAGTTGAAGGAGGACGCCAAATCCCGATATGTCGAAGCGAGGGAAGTTTTGGAAAAGAAGAACGACAAGATATCCGAACTTCAGCAGGAGATTGCAACCCTCAAGGCAGAGACGATCGAGTCCAAGTGGGCGGCGCGGATGAAGAACCTGGAGGCGAAACTGAAAGCGAGCCACGACAAGATCAAGGAGGCAAATGACCGAGAAGAAGCACTCAAGTTCCTGGAATCGGCCGAGGAGGAGAGCACATTGCTGTTCAAGGAGCTAGATGCTCTCAGGAAAACAAGCATTCAACGAGGGCTTTTGGCTCCCGCACCAGCTGCCGGAGCCCAGAAAAGAATCAGGACCAACACGGGCGACATCAAGCGGTACAGCTACGAGGACGATGCGTTGGTTTCTTCTCGTGCGTTTCGAGAGAAGGTAGAGGCAGACATGGGCAAGAAGCCTCTAGGATTCGGTGAAGCCGCGAAGCAACAAGCACCTTTGTGGACGACCAGCCAGCCTGAGCGGGCAGCCACCTCGCATAGGACAACAGCAGGGACTACCACGACAGCCGGCACATCTGCCGCTGCCAGGACTCTCCGCACAAAGTCCAGCTTGGAGGACATTCTAGGCAAGAAGCTGAACAAGCCATGGACGAGCACTAAGGCGACGGCAACAGCTGCTGCTAACGCTGGCTCTCAATTGCCAACAACTAGGATGACGCGTATCGCCCGGCCTCTCTCCAACGAAGTGCCCGAGCTTGAGCCATTCAAGGCTCCCACTTCTCACTCCTTCAAGGTGCCGGATCTTGAGCCCTTCAAACCAGATGTGGTGCCGCATTCAAACATTGCGCGTTTGGAAGGGTTTGACATTGACAGCAGCTCTGTCTGGAACGTCGGTAGCATAACACCCCCTCCGAAGACGTCCGCATCCACAACACTTCCCGCAGATCGCCGGGCAGCAGCCATTGCTCGATTGCAGCGCAAAAGAGCCGAAAGGGAGAGGGGTCTGGGCGACAGAAATAAGGAGAACCTGTGGCCTTAATAGAGGTATACATACCACTTATTCTTCGTGGCGATAATGTCTGTAGCTTCATATGTACATGGCGGGCAAACGTGTGGCAAGGGAAAGGCTTCAGTAGAGGCCGGGTGTCAGATGATCTCGGTTCTGCAACGGCCAGGCTGGAATTGGTTGGGTTACGGTTACTGTTTATATCACAGGAGGAAGCATTGCGTGGTGTTTAAGGGTCAAGGGGATATGGGTTTCCTTATCTAGGGATCGCTACGTTGTGCCTGTTATAATAGTCTTATTCGGCCTCCATCTTTTATGAGAAAAGCTAGCGACGAGTCCACAGCATGACCGAAGCGATGGAATCAAATAATCACATCTGATGTCGATGGTTTCCGCTCATCTTGGTTCTTCGTTCGATTGAGGCGTTCACCCACAATATTGATTTTCTAGGTATAGCAAGAAACGATGCATCGTTGATAAGAGAGCGCAGGGTTGCCCCGCTTTACAAATGCCTCTTAGCAACAACAACAACCATCAACGAACCCAGCGGTGTGTTGCTATCACCACCCATGACAAGAGAAGTTTCTCTGGTCAACTCACGAATAGCGCAAAAATAACGCCGAATTTGTCCATGACAGTAAATATGTCACAACTACAACATGAGAGAGCTTTATCCAACGATGCCGAAGCAATTGAAGATGAGATCGACGATCTAGAAAGACGCCTGGCAGAAGCCAAAGAGAGACAAAGACAGGCTCAGCAACAGCGGAGTGTCGTGCAAGAGTCCAATCTTGGGGTGATATCAGGTGAGTTGCACCCTATTCTGCCCTTCCCTTTCTTTTCTTGTACTCGACTCCATCAATCAAGACTCTCATCATAACACAGACCCTCACTGACACAAACCCTCCAGTCCCCTCCCCGTCCCAAACCATCCTCCACTCCACAGCCAACCACTTCCTCCTCCTCCTTTCCGACTCCGCGCTGCCTCTCGGATCCTTTGCCTTCAGCAGCGGTCTCGAATCCTACCTCGCCCACAACAAATCTTCTTCCCCTTCGCATTCTACATCATTTGTCACTAACAAACTACCCAAAACCAAACTTCCACCACCCTCCTTCACCTCTTTCCTCCCCCTCTCCCTCTCCTCCTACGCCTCCACCACGCTCCCCTACGTCCTCGCCGCCCACCGCGACCCAGCCCAGCTCGCCCTGCTAGACGACACCCTCGACGCAACCATCGTCTGCACCGTCGGCCGTCGAGCATCGGTCGCCCAGGGCCGAGCGCTGCTTTCCATCTGGGAACGCTCTCTGTCCTCGTCGCTACCGCCTTCGTCTGCTTCTGCCGAAGCGGCGGCTGCAATTCTCAAGCCTTTCTCGGCTTTGCTTAGATCTGCAGGGGCGCCACCGTCTTCCACCAGCAGCAGCAGCAGCAGCAGCAGCAGCAATCCATCGACATTGGGCGGAGGAAGAAGTAGCGGGTGGAACGACCCTCCACCCGTCTCCGCCCACCTCCCGCCCCTCTTCGGCGCCATCTGCGCCCTCGTCGGGCTCTCGCTCGAGCAGACAACTTACGTTTATTTGCTTAGCCACGTGAAGGCGCTGGTGAGCGCGGCGGTGAGGGCAGGCATGTTTGGCCCCTACCAGGCGCAGAAGACGCTGGCGAGTAGGCAAGTGCAGGAGATGATTGGGGCGTTGATGAAGAGGGAGTGGGAGAGAGGCGTGGAGGAGGCGGGGCAGAGCGTGCCGGTTATGGATTTGTGGATTGGTAGGCATGAGGTTCTTTATTCGAGGATTTTTAACAGTTGAGTTGGGCAGGGGAAGACCGGGGGATGGCATCGGGAGTCGAGGGTGAAAAGGGGTACATGGGCGGATTGTGATTGGAAAACGGGTTTTGTTTACATGGAAAAGGGGGCGGAGTCGTCAAATCATAACCACAAATTTGTATGGCACATGTTCGAACGCTCTTCATCTGGCATCTTATTATTTCTATGCCAAAAAATGGCACCTATGCACTGGCTCCTGCTGCCTCATTCTCTTATCATCATTACCAAAATAACTTCTTCCCAGTCATATCTCAATCGCTGTCATCGTCACTACCATAAGCCACCAGCGGTCCCGCCGAGACAGGTGCTTTCGGTTTTGCCGCAACTGCAACTCTAGCAGACTGTAGCGCAGCAAGCGTGGTGCCAGACAAGATCCCACCGGAACTCTGTTGTTGTTCCTGAGGATATGCCTCTTCCTCCTGCTCCTGTCCCCACCCTCCAGCCTCCCCAGCTTCGAGCATCAGCAGTTGCTGATCCTCCAGCTCGTATCCTTCGCGACCCCTGGGGTTGACCGCATTCTTTCCCCGAGCAAAGTGTACCTCGTCTGGCGCCTCGTATCCTTCCAGGCCGTAACTGCTCTCGATCTTCCTCCGTTTCCGCGCCTCTGGGTCTTTGCCCTCGATCTCGGCAACATACGCGGCAGGCAGCGCCCGTCGAATGGCTTCGGCGGCTTGCTCCTCGATACGTCTCGCCTCGCGTTTCTGTGCCATGGGGTTGGGATCCGCTGTCGCCCAGCGAACGTTGAGAATCTCGTTATGGTCTAGTGACTGGTGGGCCATTGCTTCCTTGGCGAATTGGGCGTTTGCCTGTAACCAGCGAATTAGTACTGAGTTCAACATCGAAGCAGAATGCTAGCAACCGTGGCTTACCTCATTCGAATAGGTAACGAACGCCACACCTCTCGTGTTGAGCACACGTATTCTTTCTATTTGTCCCCATTCGGCAAAGTGACGGGCCACGATCTCCTCAATGTCCTCCGTCACGTGGATTCTACCAATGTAAATCGTCCGGTTTTGCCTGCTAAAGCTGCCCACACCGCCCATGTCGTCGCGATAGTCGCTGAATTTGTCGCGTCCAAAACAGTCCACATTGGGGTTGAATATGTCGTGAATTGTAGGTAGTCGATGGAGGTACTCGCAATCCTGGCCCTTGGGACAGACGCCCCTCGCAAAAAACAGACAGAAGAATGATCCTGCTACTCCGTCGGCGCGCGTGTATCCAGTATCCAAGGCGATATTACATCTTCCCTTTGCGTGTGTTTGGGATAGGTATTTGTCTTCGCGATCGCCACCGGACCACTTATTGTACCAGATGTTGAACGTTGTTCCTGTCTGCGGGGGCGGCTCGGATTTGACCAGCGCCGGGTCGATTTGAGGTCGCGCCGGTCTCTTCTTGCGCCGGATGATCTTTTTGACCTTCTTCTCTGTTTGGGCGGCGACTTCGGTGTTGGTTGTGGTGAGAGCAAGCTCCTGCGTCTGCGCGTCTGTCGCGTCTTCTCCGGCTTGCGCTTGTTCAATTACGGCGGAGACAGGCTCCTCTGGCCTGGTATCGACTTCGGCCATGGTATGTCGGATTGGGATTCCAGATGTGATTTGGTTCGAAAGCAAGTATCGGTACTCAGTTGGCCTTTGAATGCGCGTGCGTTGTTGCCAGGGTAGAAAGAGGGTAGCGGATACGTATGCTGCAAATGCGATGACAAGTGGAAAAAGACAATGACGCCGAGTTTGGTCTAGGATTTGTTGTCTAGGCCAAACTCACAGAGCACAGACTCTTTTCCCAGATTCCAGGGGTGTTGGACTTTTGGAGAATTTCCAAGCCTGGGCCGACCTTGGCTGGTAGAGACCCACTCCGCTCCCGCAGATTTTATGGGTCTTCCAAAGGCGGTGAAGGACAAAACCCACTTCTGCTGCCCCTCCTGTACGGAAATTCTGCCACTTGGGAACGTGGGGTGCGCACTGATGTGTTTGATATTACTGTTCCTTACAGCGTGTAATTCATCAACCTTGAATTTCACTTTCAGGGCCGATTCACTTCTCATCAGCTTGCCAGCCTGGTGTTTACCTCGAGTTATATCGCTTCAGTCTTTGTTTCTTTCATAAAAGTGATACCAAGGACGGACCTGTCCTAAGCCGCCCAAGATGGTGAACATTACGGAAAAGATCAAGGAGTAAGCTGCACCATTGACGCTTCCCCGGTGCCTGCGTGATCGAGTTGATGGAGTTAGTCAAACTGACCATGAGGTACAAGGATTGAGGAGGAGATGAGGAAAACCCAGAGTAAGACCACGTCCCTATGCAAACAAATTGACTGAAAGCCATGAATGCTAACATAATTCTAACAGAGAACAAGGCAACTGGTACGCTCTTTATCACCTGTCTCCAACATCATGTGCTGACCTGGTGAAACCAAAGAATATCATCTGGGTCTCTTGAAGGGGTAAGTGAGTCTACACCAAGCCATCCTTAATATTGACTCTCACTAACGCCCATCCACAGAAAGCTCGCTCGTCTCCGCGCTCAACTGCTCGAGCCAGGACCGGGCTCGGGCGGCGGTCCAGGTGCCGGTTTCGACGTCAGCAAAAGTGGTGATGCTCGTATAGCACTGGTCGGCTTCCCGTCAGTCGGTAAATCGACGTTCTTATCCAAGGTCACCAAGACCAAGTCCGAAGTCGCCTCATACGCTTTCACGACCCTGACAGCCATTCCCGGTGTGCTCGAATATGGCGGTGCCGAGATCCAGCTGCTCGATCTGCCCGGTATCATCGAGGGTGCCTCCGAGGGCAAGGGTAGAGGAAGACAGGTCATTTCCGCCGCCAAGACAAGCGATCTGATTCTCATGGTTTTGGACGCCACAAAACGTGCTGAGCAGAGGGCCCTCCTCGAGGCCGAGTTGGAGGCTGTAGGCATCAGACTCAACCGGGAGCCACCGTACGCCCCTTTATCCTTCCCTTGTTACTTTTCTACGCTAACCATTTTATTCCCCTTTCCCTAGAAACATCTACCTCAAACCCAAAAAGGCCGGCGGCATGAAGATCACCTTCCAAACGCCGCCCAAGAACGGGCTGGACGAGAAAATGGTGATGAACATCCTGCGTGACTACAAGATCCTCAACTGCGAAGTCCTGGTGCGCGACGAGAACGTGACGGTCGACGACTTCATCGACGTGATCATGAAGGACCACCGCAAGTACATCAAGTGCCTGTACGTCTACAACAAGATCGACAGCGTGTCCCTGGACTTCCTCGACAAGCTTGCGCGTGAGCCGTACACGTGCGTCATGAGTTGCGAGCTCGACCTGGGCATTCAGGACGTCATCGACCGCTGCTGGAAGGAGCTCAAGTTGATCCGCATCTACACCAAGCGCAAGGGCACCGACCCAGACTTTAGCGAGGCTCTGATCGTCAGAAGTAATAGCACCATCGAGGACGTGTGCGACCGCATCCACAGGACGCTCAAAGAGACCTTCAAGTACGCCCTGGTCTGGGGCGCCAGCGCTAGGCATATCCCCCAGAGGGTGGGGTTGGGTCATCCGGTGGCGGATGAGGATGTCGTGTATATAGTCAGTGGGTGGAAGGCTTAGTTGGCATGTTGTGATATAGGCAAGCCAGACATGTCAAAAAAAATAGATCCACGAATTCCATCACACGTCCACGCAATCAGCCAATTTTGAACAGAAGATGGCATTTAAGACTACCGTTGTAGAAGCTGTCATATTGGCTGCCTTTTCGTTATCATTCCATCATTCATAAACGACGCCCTATGGGCGCATACATAACCCCATCTCTGTTTGCTTTCATCCCTAACCTCTGATTTCCTTCCTCTCTGATGGCTGTAACAACAGAAAAACACTTGATCCCCGAAGCCATTTTGCCCAAACGCCCCAGTTGCGATACGTAATAAAAAAAACAAAGGAAAGAAATAGGACAACTCTAGAATAGAGATCTTTGTGAACTCTCATGATGAAAGAAGCGCACTGGAAGACACCGGCTTCCACGTAAAGACAGCTGCTAGCCAAATGCAAGCCTCACTAATGTCCCTTGTAAGCCAACGCAGCTCGGCCTGCTATTCTTGAGCATCGGAAACGATGTAAAAAGAGAAATCGAAAGAGAATAAGAGGACGCAGAAGTCGTCTAATCTTGCTTCACCCCGAAAAGTCCGTTGTTGGTGGTACCGGTGGTGCCTGTGTTGCCGGTAGCCGTCGTGCCCTCGAGTTTCTTAGCCGACGCTTGGGCGAAGAGCGACTTCGGCTTGACCCTGTTGTTAGGCAGAAAGCCAGGCGTTAGCATAACTGGGCAGGTATATTGTGACGGTATGATTATTATTATCATCATCACCATCATGGGGGAAGTAGCTTGGTATAACATACTTTCCAGCCTGCTTGCTGCGAAAGGCGCTGAGCTTGGCGGTGCAGGGGCTCATGATGTTGTCCGACGGAGAGACGTACTTGGTGTGGCTTTGTAGATGAACCGTATTAGCTACTTAGAAGACTATACTAGTAAGGTACGTGGTAACAGGGTGAGGGGGGGTGGTACTGGGGAAGTTGCATACTCAATCTCCATCTTGTTTTGCAAGACCTGGCGGTGGTATTCCAAGGCCTTCATCGAGTCCGACTTGTTGATAGGTGCTGATGTGTCGGTCGCCTTGTTGTCTGCTGAGGGAGCGGCAAACAAGGTGGGTTTTTGTTCGGGCGTCATATCCATGGGCTCGCCGGACATAGCAGTATCCATTGCCATGTTGGCGTCTTTGGGAAACAGGACGGTGTTAGAAGACATCTTGATCGCAGAAGTGGTGATCGTGATTTGGGTGTTATGGCAGACGAGTGGGGGTTGTGTGCGAGACCGTGGTGGTTACGTGGAAGAATTCAAGGATGGGCACTGCGTTCCAGTGTTTTTGGAAAGTGAAGAGAGGCTGAAATTCCGAAGGGATCTGGTTTTCTTCAGTTCGAAGGCTGGGCGCAAAGGTTTTGGGAGTGAATCAGATGCGACTCTCGAAGTCAAAGTTGATGCGCGGGGCAAGTCCAAGATCGGCAAAACAGTGGGCGGTTTGATAATGCCAAGGTCCGGAAAAGGTTCGTTTGTTGGATTTAGGGTATAGCTGGCTTGAAAGATCGTGCGGAAGGAAGGGGAGAATCTAATGACGAGTAAAGGATTGAGTAGTTGCCATGTGGAATGCCAGTAATGATAGTCGTCGTGTCGGTGGTAAAAATTGTTGACAGACTGCCTGTTTGGGCGACAGCGACCGGGCAACGGGCTCGTTCATTCCACCTTGATGACCCTCCCTTGCTGTTTGGACCCACAAGACATCATCACTGATCGCTCCCGTCCGACGCAGGAACGTGGCCCCTGCGTCTGGGCCTGCTGTGTTGTCTCGCTCCTCGGAGAATTTTGGGATGTTGTCAACAGAACAAGGAAGTGGACAATGATCAAATTCCGAGCAAAACTGAGAAACCAAACACTGGACGGTAATACTATATCTCGCCTCAATGGGACCCGAGGCCCTGTATGGGTTTTCAACGGGTCACCTGCATCACAGAGCCAGCAACGACTCCATCATATTCCAGCATACACGCAGGGTTGTCAGAAAGTCTATGGATGATACATAACTCAGATTTATATTGGAACGCTGTAACAATTGATCAACAGGACTGCACAACTCAAAGCTTGGAGTGCTTGATGTTTGACCCAATCTCAGTGCGCTTGGCGCCATACTTCTTCCTCAACTCCTCTGCCTTGGCCTTCTGGGCATTGATTTTGTCCGTCACGGCCTTACCGCGTTTGTTCTCGTTGCGACCCATTTGTTGCAGATGGACCTCATCCGGACCATCAGCCAGTCTTAGAGTTCTGATCTGAGCCCACATATTAGCCAAGGGAGTATCCTGGCTGACACCCGCACCACCAAAGCTCTGGACAGCGCGGTCGATGACAGTCAAGGCCGTCTGTGGAACAAGGACCTTGGCCTGGGCGATTTCCGTGAGCGCCGCTTTGGGACCTTGCTCGTCCATCTTAATGGCGGCGTTGAGCACGACGAGGCGCGCGGCATCGATATCAATGCGAGACTTGGCGACCCATTCCAGGATGACGCCGTGTTCCCGCAGCTGCTTTCCAAAGGGCGTCTTCTTGGGGTCGTTGATGCGCATGAGCATCCACTCCAAGGCCCTCTCAGCGGCACCGATCGTGCGCATGGCGTGATGAATGCGACCGGGACCCAGACGACCCTGGATGATCTCAAAGCCTCGGCCCTCGCCAAGAACGAGGTTGGCTGCTGGCACGCGAACATTGTAGAAGGTGATGTGGCCGTGGCCGTGAGGAGCATCGTCATAGCCATAAACGGAAAGCATGCGCTCGATGGTGATGCCCTTGGTGTCGGATGGAACGATAATGACGGACTGTTGCCTGTAGGGATCCTTGTTGTTGGGGTCACTCTTGCCCATGACAATGTAGACCTTGCAGCGAGGGTCACCGGCGCCGCTTGACCACCACTTCTGGCCGTTAAGAACGTAGTGATCGCCGTCCTTGGTGATCTTCATCTCGATGTTCCGGGCGTCCGAAGAAGCCACCTGAGGCTCAGTCATCAAGAAGGCAGAGCGGATCTTGCCGTCCATAAGCGGCTTCAGCCATTTGGCCTTTTGCTCCTCGTTACCGTACTTGGCCAGAACCTCCATGTTGCCAGTGTCGGGAGCAGCGCAATTGACGGCCTCGGATGCAACGCGGGACTTGCCCAACCACTCAGCCATCAATCCATACTCGAGGTTGGTGAAGCCAGGGGATTCCTTATAATGACCCTTGGGGAGAAACATGTTCCACAGGCCCAAGGACTTTGCCTTGGCCTTGAGATCCTCGAGGATCTGGGGGTGGGCCTCCCATCTTGCGTCTCCAACGCCGATTTGGGCTTCATAGACCGTATCGGCACTTGTGACAGGCCGGTGTTAGACAGGTATGATGTCGAACAGAAACCGGATCCATGCAGATGATGCTTACGGGATGCAGTCCTCCTCCACGAAGCGAGCAACGACGTCCAGCGTCTTCTTGGCTCGCTCACTAACACGATTGCGAACCTACAGGCAGAAGATGAATGTTCAGTAATTGGAGTGGGTGAGATGCAGCGTGTAACGGATAGCTTACAGCGATGGGAATCTGGGTAGACATGATGATGTTTGGATTGGGCGGTGATGTCAATCAACAACAAATGAAGCAAAGAAGACAGGTGGTTCGTGATGGAGAAGAAAGGATCATGAATCATTCACAGCTGCCAGCATTGAGGAGGGAACCAGAGTAAAAGCGGACGATTCATGGGAATGTCGTTCGATTTTACTAAAGCTGGTCTTCCTCCCGCCGGGGAGAGACGATCTACCCCGGATTAAGGAGCCAGCCCATCCATGCCGATGCCGAGGCACAATGTCTCCCGCCGGCAGTCAATTGGAGTCAATTGCTTGGGGGCTGTGGAGAGCGCCTGGGCGCCAGGGTGTTCCCGCACTCAGACACCTGTGCAGTCTTGGCGGATGTGTGCGAATGCACACACACACGACTTTTTGGCAAAACGGACCATCGATAAGATTTCATTTGCTTATATTTCTATTAAACGAAGAGATGAAAGAAAACGGACTCAAGATATGGAATCAGCGTACTTAAGACTATTAAGATAATAGTCTTTTCTATAGGATAGTTGAATTTCTTCATCTTCGTCTTTCGTTTCGATGGTCCGTTTTGCCAAAAAGTCGTGTGTGTGTGCATTCGCACACATCCGCCAAGACTGCACAGGTGTTTGAGTGTGGGAATGACCGAACGGCGGGCTGAGGAAGCGGGCACTGCGGGGAAGGCCCGCCAAGCAACTTGATCATCGAACCACAACAGTGAGAGTTTCAGTTCCGAGACTCTGTATCTCACGACAGAAGACCCAGGCTGAGTAAATCAATTACATAGTGTGCTGTTCGACGTTGTCCGGCCAGATCCGAAGACTGGTAGCATTGTGAAAGTTCGTTGTCGATGCAGATCCTGAAGGTTGTATTCCCAATGTCGATGCCACCGTCCTGTCATAATCGGGTACTCACAACCTCTGGCAATGAACCGTTTTACAATACTCGGCGTGTTCGAATTGTGTAAAGTAAAGCTAGAGAAGAGATATTTCCACTTAAGCTCCCGTCTATAATCGGAACTTCTCAGGAGTTTGTGTACCCCAAGAGGAATGAATTCAAGGGAATTGGATTGGAGGGACTAGTTTAGGGTAGGGGTAATCACTCCCGTAAAAACTCCACTATCAGTGTACAGTCTGATACTGGTTTGTTTGTCAGCTCAAGACTTTGTGGCAACTTTCCTGGGCGTTTTTAAATCTAACTAATGCGTAGTCTTACCAGGGAAGTGACATTTTGGATGTTGAATATATTGTCTGAATTCTTGTCAATGTCTTTACCATCCGTACTCTGCCAGTTTGATTTGTCCTTCTAAGCTTTGGGACTATTTAGGATAGATTTCGTCTAGAGTACACTACCTGGAATACCTAGTGTGTCAAGCTAACAAACCAACACCAAAACAGTTGTGATGTTCCATATTTGCTCATGTTTCAATCTGTTTTCTGTTTTGAACAGTAGCATGCCTTGTGGAGAAGCCGTGATTTCCACATTGGGGGTTGTCAGTATCACAGTACTTTGTATCCTTGGTCAACATGTATGGAAATCGAATTTCGTTTGCTCGCAGTCATCTGCCCATTGCGTTCCACTCATATGATTAATATCGTACAGCGTACCTTGGTGCCTAGCAACTGGTCACGATACCCACAAGAAGCATGAGGTTTACGAATCCTATGTGCGTTACGGTTGAGACTGAGGTCGTCATCGTATTCGCTACCACAGGGAGGTAAACCAACGACGGCAACCTTGGAACAAGGCAGAAAGGTAGCAAAAGCTGTCAACAGTATCCTAGCTAGGTTCCTGCCACATAAAGGTAGTAAAGCTGGGTTGCTGAATACGCAGTGTTCGCGGTCTCAGGCGAACCCCGTGTACAAAAGCTAATCAACGTCATTGGGAGGAGTCATTCAGACGGGATACAAGCGGATCCATTTGGCGCCGCGAAGGTTGTTGGGGTTGGACCCAACGAGGGGATTCAAAGCCATGGGACCTCCCTGTTCCGCATGTCGCCTCCACTGACAGCGGCGTTGCGCTAGCGCTGCTAGTGTAGTGTTCACAACACCAATGAAATCTGTTGCCTGGAAGAGCCCGAGAAACGTTGAAACTGGAGAAAGGGGATCATGATGTTCAACGTCGGCCGTCATATCGTCATTCTGCCAGAAACGCTCAAGTTAGACATGGAAACAGATGAAATAGGCATCCACTTACACAGTATGGAGATACTAACCCAATTGCCCTTGCTACCTTCAGTGTACTATGTAGGTAGCCATTCTGCGTCCAACCACCACTGAAAGACTAGGTAGGAACGTGATGAAGTGCGAATCACAAGGAGGCACGGTAGGTCAGGCACCATAGAACAAGAACTGGAAAACATGACATCAGGGCACAAGGGGTTCGGGCATCAGACAAAAGAGCTATCCATCTGAATGATGGAAGACTTTACTGCGTAGGGCTGGAGGTGTATCAATGGTGGATACCCCGTCTTCGTCTCTGGAAGTCAGTATGTCGATGATTGTTTGCCTGCTGCATGGAATATTCCATGGGAAATCTCCATTTTGCTCATGTAAAGGAAGAAAGCGAGCTGCCTGGAGACGGGAATCAGATGTTAGGTTGTCTCGAATTTTTTAGTGTACTTGCTCTTAGGTGATGTCGGGTTCCGGAACATCGTCATTGCCCCGCGCAGCCGATCCTCAGCCGCGTGATCCATGCGCACAACCTTTAGTGTAGGTAGACTAATTGTCCGCTTAATGTCGATCTGTTTAGGCCTATTCCAGCAATGATTACGCTTCTCTAGCGCATCCAGCGCTAGAACAGAGCCACAACCACGCACCCCGTCATTCGTCAGGGGCTAGGCCGTCCGTCATGCGAATCTTCCCCGAATATCTTTGGAACATTTCCACTGGGACAGGAACCAAACCAGACAACCCCTCCTCAAGGTATGTTTACCCCCACCATGCGTTCTACGATATTTCCAGGCGCAGCAGGCTTCTTGAGGCTTGGTTTTATCAACGCGCCGGTTTGATAGTAGACGTCCTTTTCCAAGCATCACCGGGCCTCAGGGCATGCCCTTACGCAAGCCGAATGTGCAGATATGATCTAACAAGTACCTTTACGTACAGTCCGACGACGCAGTCCAGGAATCCAGGACCCCGAACGAAGAAAGCGGGGGCCCTATAGACATCCGATAACCAAGCGTACCTTTTACCTTATCTCTCGACCTTCCATCTTATTTTTCGCAATCCATCCCGCTTCCCCAGACTTTTCCCGTCGGTCTGTCCGTGCCCATTGACGTCGTCATAAGCCTGCCCTCGTCCGAACCTCGACGTCCGCCGTTCGCCGTCTGCGTACCACGACCTTGCCCTATCACCGAACCCTACATATGCGCAATCATCTCGGTCTAAATATATAGTCACTACCTCGAACTGCCCTGCGAACCAGAGCTAAAGCCACCGTAGGGTCTAGACCACCAGAACAACCTCTACTTTTACGCAATACTCAACAGTGCACAACAGCCCCATACCCGTACACAACACCGAGCGATCAGAGACCGACAAACAACGAGACGAACCTGATATCACATCAGGCGCGTACCTTGGCGTGCCTAGCGTCTCGTCAGGGACTTCAGCAGACCTTAAACAGGGCTGGAACAGCTTCGACCGTCACTGCCCATCAGGGCTCTCTCGACCTCCTGACGCTCGGTTATTACATCGCCCAGCGCCCAATTACCGGCCTCCTGACTTTCTCTGGTTCCCGGATCATGAAATAGCACAATTTCAGAAATCATCGCCTATTTTGACCGCCTGATTTTGCACAATCACTCAGCTTTGATCATTTAACCTCGTTGTCTAGGATCCATCATGGAGAAACTGAAGGGCACCAAAACCACCTCTTTGGTGCCCAAAAAGTTTCGAAGTGTACGTGAAAAAAATGACCTTCATCGGAGGAACAAATCTACAGAGCCAGGCCCAAAAGTTCGTTGTCGTTCATTTTCCTCAGCTGTCCGTCTTCCGCATCTGACTTTGTACAGAGCCGACCCTTGAGTGACATGGCATGGCTTTCCATATTCCGGCCCGAGTCCGTCAAGCAGGCACTACGAGAAAAAGGAGAGGTAGAAAAGGAGGCTTCAAAGGTATGTGTATGATTTGCCGGGGCTGCTTTGAGGCAGGTTACTGATGTGACAACGATACATTACAGATTGCCGAAATCACCAGGCAGTTAGAAGAGCTTAACTACACCGAAATCTCAGAACAAGTAGTCCGATTCTCACTCAACTCTAAATTTGCCAACGGCGATATCGACAAAGCGATCGAACTTATCCGACTCCAGCAAAAAGCCTTTGCTGGGATCATACAACCATACAACCCCAAAATTAGCATGCAAGGCGCAGAAAACCGGGGGAACGTCACCTGCTACCTCGATGCCTTGTTGTTTGCCATGTTTGCCAAGCTTTCAGCCTTTGAATGCATGTTGAAGAACGATCCGGCAGACGAGAACCATGGGAGGCTAGCAGCACTACTTAGGTTATGGGTCAACATGCTCAGGAGTGGGATGTTGATACACACGGATATGGTATGTGGGAATGGCGATGGATGTGGCTCCATAAACTAATCGTGTTTTTCCAGACCCAGCTCATCCAAGAATCCTTGGCGGCCTGTGGATGGGAGGAGGCCCAGGAACTCGAACAACAAGACACATCAGAAGCATTCGCCTTCATCACTGAGACCTTGCAATTGCCGCTCCTAGCTCTCCAAGTCGATCTCTTTCACCAAGGTAAAAATGACGAAGACGATCACAAAGTTGTCCACGAGCGACTACTCAACCTCGCCGTTCCCCCGGATCCTGATGGGAAGGGTATCAAGTTGGAAGACTGCCTTGAAGAATATTTTAACAACAAGGTCGACGTTTTCCGAGATAGCGTGGAGGAAAAGAAGGGGGATGACGAAAGGGGCCCTCTCCCACGCGAAACTGAACGGCTCTTAAGCGAGGATGAAGATGGTCAAGCGAGCGACCAAGGCGACAATAGCCCAAATCTGCAGCGAAGATGGACATCACAGGATTCGACGACACGCACTCCAGTCTCAATGCTTGATATCACTTCGGCAAGACCCGAGCTACCAGCCGCGCCTCGACACCGCTCTACTAGTATTATACAGCGCATCGTGGTGGAGGACAGAAAGCCCCCACTGGATGCAGAGAACAAAACTCTGCTCCAGAAGGCCAAAAGGACAAGCTCGACTGTAGTCAAGGCCGTGACAATACCTGCCTGGCAGTTCTTCAGGTTAATTCGTGAGTGTGACCCTCCTGAATGGAAGTCTCATGGAATTTGATTGGTCAACTGACAAGTCCAATGTAGCATGGCATGCAACTGCTGCTTCTAACGGTGAACCAAGCAACGATGTCGAGGTTGCACGGCATTTTAACCAACGACCGGTGGTCGGCATTTGCTTGAAACGGTATACCATGACAGAAACCGGCTTTCCGATTCGACAGAATACTCTCATCGATATCCCTGACTCCATGCGGCTGCCGCACTTCATGATGCCAGACGATGATGAAAAGCAGTCCAATGGGTTAAGTCAAGAGTACAAACTCGTGCTTCAATCGGTTGTCTGCCACCGCGGCGACTCTCTTCACAGCGGGCATTACGTTGCATTTGCTCGTGTGGCACCGAAACTTCTCACAGACAATCGCCGATATGAACATGACCCGCCGCCAGATTACGAGGAGGCACAATGGGTCAAGTTCGACGACTTGGATTTGGACAATCGAGTGTCCTATGTCGACGATATTAGAGACTCTCTCAGACAAGAGATGCCCTACTTGCTGTTTTACCAGATCGTCCCGATGGTGGACGTCACCACAGCCTCTACTGATGGGTCTGTTGGCGAGCCACCCTCCTACAACGAGTCGACCACCGTGGTTACCGGTGTACCAGGGACGCCAAGAAGCATGGAACCCCTTCCGGAGCGGCCAGGCGGGATGTCAAGGTCGATTAGTGGTTACTTTGACTCCGCGTCAGCCCTCGTACACAACGGTGGCGGTCCCAACATTCGCTTTAGTACAGAGCTTGAACGGCCCGCGCGTCTCAGTCTTGACGAGGATCCATATGGAACAGGAAGCGCAGGGCGTTTGCGGGCAGGTAGATCCAGACGCGGCAGTCTTGCCATTTCCGATACCACGACAACAACAGCCATCACTCCTAGTGATGTGGGCGCACCATCAATCCAACCTTCTACACCACCGGAGGAGAGTACCTCAACGAGACTCGGCCGGGCAGCAGCGAAGTTCAAGAGCAAATCCCGACCCTCCAGCCAGGCTGGCGACACCCGCATTAGTCTTACCATCACGCGATGGGGCCTGACGCGGCCCAGTAGGGACGCGCTCAACAAGGATGCCAACAGTGGCGCTGGCAACTCATCGGAAGGGGGCAGTGATGAGCAGCAACAGGAGGTCAAGGAGGTTGAGGATGTGAGTGATAAGGACCAGAAAGAGAAGAGCAAGGATAAGGAAGGCCATCACCACCTACACCACTATCGGAAGTCTAAGAAGGAGAAGGGTAGGGATAAGGATGATACGAAGGAGAAGAGCAAGGATAAGGAGGGCAAGAAGGAGAAGGGAGATAAGTTGGGTAAGAGTAAGGAGACAGGGAAGGATGGCGTCCCTGATCGGGAGTGCGCTGTCATGTAAGGACTTTTCAGCACTCGGGTTTAATGCTTTCTTTGTCTTTCTCTGGGCGGGAGGGAATGGACGGATAGGATGGGAAGGTGCATTCTCCGGGGCTGGCTGGGTTTGGCTGCTTAAAGCATTTCCGCGTTGGGACTGTCGTCTCTTCGTTACATCATGGCATGGCGTTGGTGTATCAGCTACGAGATCATGTTTCTCAGCTTTACTTGATTCTTCGAGGCATAGAAAAGCGAAGAAGAAAAAACCGGGAGGCTACTAGTAGATCTTGCACAGGTATGCTAAGAAGCAAGTTAGTTTTCCCGCGCCTGTCTGTGTTGCGGTCTCCCGTTGTTTTATATGCGTGTCTTGTTGGTTTTGCCAGGAGCATGAAACGATTATGGTACTTAACCGTGAATTGTAATCAGCGTGTCCTATCGTGTCTTAATGTGGAACCGTAACGGTAGGTGTTCTCATAGTCGCCGTTCACATATGTCGAGATTGATAACTTAAGAAACACTACTACACTATCTGAGTTTTTCCATGTGGACTCCATTCGCACACCCACAACTGTGCTATCCAAGAAGCATCCGCTGAGCAGGATTGAAATTCAAAAGAAAAAGACAAAATCAGTGCTGCCTAGACATTGATTGCCACGTGCTGTACCTATCTATCTATCTATGTTTTTCCAAGGGAGGAAGGAGGTGGTAGGCTGAAGGAACAAACTAAAAAAAAAAGCGAAAAAAAAGGATGGGATTGCCAGGAATCGAACCTGGGTCCTCTCGGATCGTTGTATGATCGAATCGAACCACAACGAGAAGTACTGACCACTATACTACAATCCCGCTTCGTTGAAATTTGGGTCAGCGTCTACTACTATATGTGGAGCATCCGTGGTTAGGGAAATTCATTTTGGTGGTTCGGCAACGATGCTACTTGATGGAGTAGGATGGTGAGAATGCTGGTGATTTGGATTGATACTAGATAGGTTTACTGCGATGCAATGGAAGAACAACAAATCGAAATGTCGTGCTCATGTGTTTTGTCTATTGCGTAATGACATGCCGCAGGTGATGTGTCATATTGTTTATCGAGCGAGGTAAGCATCGTCGTGAAATGATCGCTTCGCGAAAGTCTGTGTTATCATTCCTCCCCGTTGTTTCCAAACCCCACTTAGAAATTCATACCCGTTCACTGTTGACATGGCTGGATAGATGTATGTGTAATACCACCTAGAACGAAACACAACTGCAACAAGAAGTATGCTTCAGCCGCTGTTCAGCATGCCTCAGCCGCTTTTCAGCATGAAAGAAGACCTCGCTATTTCATCACATCTCAATATCGTCCGTAAACCTTCTTCATATTCATGACACAAACGTACTGCCCGTCCCCAAAGTTTTAGCCAACCTCGAGAATGCGCAGACCTAGAAACAATGCACACGCCCTTCCCTGATTGACCTGTCTATAATACACAAAAAAGTCTTCTCCCCTCATGTTTGCTCTCCCAAGGGAAAAACCATAGATAAAAGCGCCGGGTGATGAGATGCATAGCGCGAGAGGAAGTTTCTTTTTTAAAGTGGAAAATGTGGTGAGAGATGTCTATCGTTCCGTAAAACTCGTATGCAAAGACCCAAGTCATGTGGGATCATTGCGATGGGGAGGTTCGCAACGTCCGACTTTCGATTTTCCCCACGGCAACTCGCCGTGACCAGCTTGTACTAGATGATGTGATAAGAATGTGGTCAAAAGCAGAAATGGCGTTGGTAGTGAGGGACGGTGAAAAGCTATGACCCTCACCCTTTCTGTTCCTTGGTACAAGGTGGGCATCGTGTGTGATTAGATTACGTTGTCAACACAATGAGTAGAGTGCAAGGGTGGAGCGGAAACCAAATGCTGGCCCAATCGACCAGTGTTCTTCATCCCCGATATACATATTCCAGTTTAAAAGGGGATGTTGAGGGACTGGGCACCCTCTTGCTGCTCCTGGAGATCGACATCAGATGCCTCAATGGAGACGGACATGCCGAGCTTGGCTTGTTGCTTGAAGGGGGTTAGCAGAAGCGTACATAGAAGAGGCTATGTGACTTACAGTGACGTGGTCAACATCAGCAGCAAAGGTCAGAGTAACGGGGGCGGCACCAAGACGCTTCTCGAGCAAGCAGCTGAGCTTGCCCTTGGAGTCGATCTGAGCCCTGAAGGTGGACATTCTGAAGTCGTACTTGGCACCAAAGGTGGTGATGCCTTCCTTGGTAAGACCACCCATCATGCTCTGAGAGGGAGCAACAGATAGGGTCATGTCAACACCAGCCTGGACCCTATCCGTCAGCTTCTTCCAGAAGGAAGTGTTGAGAGCACCCTGAGCCTGGAGCTGAGCGCTAGCAACCCAGTCACCGGCCTTGTAGCGGGCAAAGTAGGAGATAGCGGTGTCGGGGCCCTGAGTGAGACCCTGACGTTGCCAGACGGCCTGGAGACCGAGGCCGAGTCTGGGAGTGACGGCCTGGAGGTAGTCGCCGACAAAAATACCGGTGAGACCGCCGTCAAGGAAAGAGGGGTTGATGGCCTTGATGGAGGCACTGAAGTCGTCGCCAAGGTGTTCATGCTCAAACTGGGCCATATCCTGGCCGCCACCAATCGAGAACTGCGTCTTGGTGATGGTCCTATCGCCCCATCTGTAGTTGAATCTTGTCGAGAGAGCGCCCTCGTTGTCCAGGTTACCCTGAGCGAAGATCTGTTGATGCGGATTAAAAGCTGGTCTTTCTAGTCCCGGGTATACTTTAAGCGCATACCTGGTTGGTTCCGTAGAGAGCAGCAAAGGCATAAGGGTTCAACCTCTCACCCATGGCAAACTGGTGGGAAACTTGGAAGCTTGGGTTATAGGTCAGCGTTTGTTCAAAGAAGATTTGCCAGAACCATAGCTGCTCAAAACCACAGGATCAAATGCGCAAAGCGGACAATGTTCCTACTTGGCAACGCGGTGCCTGCATAGATCCTTAGCCCACAATTAGAATAAACCAACGTACAGAGGGGCGAGGCTGAAAGCCTTGGTGACGTCGGCGCGGAGGCCAGAGAACATGTAGTTGGTGAGGAGAGTATCGCGTTGGACCTCTGTCAAGGCATTGTCAGCAATGATTGCCCATTACTCCAACAAAGAGCCGGCCAGTGCAGCGTCGTGGAGTGCCGCAGTATAACGCTATGTTGTTTCCGCGCACTCCCCGCCGACGGCGCCGGGGATCTTCGAAGGCTGGATGTGTATGGTGGCAGCAACGCACCGCGGGCGATGGTCTCGATCGTGCCGGGGTTGGAAAGACCGAACTGTTTCCTCCTTTCCTGGAAGGCGTTGAAGGCATCGGAAAGGCTCGAATAAATGGCATTGTCGCGCAGCATCGCCAAAGGCGACTCGGTGGAAAACGAAGCCATGATTGTAACGGTCGCAGTAGACAAGGACGACGAGACGTTGTTGGTGGGAATCGAGGACGCAACGGATGGTGTCGTTCAACTGCAGTGGTGTTGCGTGGGGACGAAAGGGTTGCGAATGGGTGGTGGACGCGAGTTTGTCGCCAGTTGACGGTCCCGGAGCCTGGTTGGTTGAATGCCGCTTTGGATGGGGAGAGAGCTGTCCGACGATATGAAAATATCCGTTCCGATCAAGCTTGTCATAGACCCGCGCCCGGGACAGGAACTTCAAGCTGGGCCAAAAATTTCACGGTGTTAGGGACACACTAGTGTAGCCCCGGCTCGGCTGTTGGCTCCTGCGCGGCCTTGCGGCGGCTGCGGAGACTGGTGCACTGGGGCACTTGGCCTGTGCTTCCCTCAACAGTCGCATGTACCAACTACCAAGACTAATCACCCACACCCCTAACCCCGGTCGGGCGGTGAGGATGGGGAACTCGGGATGACGACAGGTACGTAGGCAGATTGGGGGAAACGAGAAAGGCACAGAAACCGAGAAATTCTGGCCGCATTTAAACTTTCTTGGATCTGGATCGCAGGCTCTGCGCTGCCGGTGACACGAACCATTCCGTCCACGTTGCGACGACCCTTAAAGAGCTTGTAGTAGCATACCGCTTTGATTCCCTTTGCATCTCAAGTCTGTTTAGGTAGGTTTCCGATGATGGAGAACCTGGTTATTATCTTTTGGTGGGGTAGGTGTTGCCTCATGTCTCCCGCATGCAGTGTACCTCTACAGACCCTACCATACAAAGTGCAATGCCCCCAAATGCCTCCACCTGTGGAGCATGGATGACTGCCACTGCAAGAGAACGCCCTGGTTTCCTCAACCTGACCTGACGAAAAGCCAAGAGGCGGCCGGCATCGTCCACTTTTTTTTCGGTGCGAGCTTCCCTCACGCTCGCGGGCAGTCCTCGGTTGTCGCAGATTTCGCAGGGCAGTACGCTAAATAGTAGCTTCCGTTCGCACCTTTAATGCCCTGATACTGATTGGTTTGCGATGCGCTGAAGCACCTCATGCTCTCACCACAGCTATTCTTACCTATCTTTGCGACCTAGACTTAGTTTTTTTTTTTTCTCTCTCTCTCTGGTATCTGTTGTAATACCATATCTTGACCATCTCAACCCCACTCTATTACTATCTGGAGTTGTGAATCAGAAGGTCAATCTTTGGACCTCTTCTCGTCACCGCCGAACACTATATAGGTTGCTGTCTCGATCTTCATATATCCCGGCGCGATCTTCCTCAGTCAGAAATACACCCTTTTTCGAGACCTGCCGCTACCGCCGAGCATTATCATCATCATCACACCACTGGACACGCTTTCCAGCAACTTTGCCATAACGAGCATTCTGTGCTTCCTTGCAGATCGGATACCTGAAGAAACCGAGCAGCTTGGGTGGTCTCATCCTATCTCGTGGAAACATACGAAGCAAGCGCCGTTGATGCCAGATTCGCTTTGCGACAAACCCGCCTCGACAACCGACATCATCCTCACAACCGAAGCCTCGAGCGACGGAACGGCCATTCTGCGTACCAGAAACCAAGTCATAACAACAAAGACTATACAATAGTCGTGGAGCATAATATAACCGGAGACATGGACACACTCTTGTAAGTTCAAGAAGGCTTGCACAGCCGTCGATTACCAACCCCCATCCACTGGCGACTATCTCAGCTGGAATTGAGACTTCGCGACCGAAGAATTGCGCCGGCAACCAACCTCTTGGATAGGGGATTGTATCAAAAAGTCTGAGTGGACTTGATCATAGACAAATGCTGATATTTGCAGAACTGCCGAGATTGCGGCCAACGCACCGCGGTACCGTCGCAAGAGTTCAACTTTCATCGACGGCATCCATGATGTTACAGACCAGGACAACATGGCCCCGGCCCAACTTTACAGCACAATGTCTGGCAGGCTCTTCCATTCAGGCCGTATTGCTATCGTTATGGTTGGCCTTCCCGCGCGGGGCAAGACGTAGGGCTCTCCGTAGACCCCGGGTTGCTCTCGTATGTATGCTAACAATGACTTAGCCACATCTGTGTTTCAATGGCACGATATCTTCAGTGGTGCGTTTAACCTGCTCCCACTTGTTACGCAAGTCGCCTAACCCCTTGCAGGCTCGGTGTCAAGACACGGATTTTCCACTTAGGCGACTATCGCCGTGCTACCGTTGGTGAAGGCGGAAATGTTCCCCAAGATTACTTTTACCCCAATGCCTCTCCAGCTTCGACCATGCTCCGACAGAAGATCCTGAAAAAGTGCAGGGAGGATATTTACGCATGGCTCAACCACGAAAATGGCCAAGTTGCTATCTACGACGCCGTCAATCCTACTGCGGCTGGACGCCGTGCGCTTGCAAAGGAGTTTGCCAAACACGATGTTCAGGTGAGATTGTACCGTGCCTGAGATTCGGAGGAAAGAGTTTCGCTAATGTTTTGCAGACATTGTTCTTGGAGTCATACGTCGATGATGAGGAGATCCTCAAAGAAAACGCCAGAAATGTCAAGATCCATTCGCCGGATGTGAGTGCAACGAACAAAAACGCCACGAAGGTAAAATATGCTGACGACTCTCAGTTTGATGGCATGGATCCCGATGAGGCAGCCGAACGGTACCTGAAGCGGATCGAAACTAAGATTCCGATTTTCGAAACGATGCAAGAGGAAGAACTAAACTACGTGAAAATGATCAATGCCGGCCGAGCATTCTTCTACAACAATGTCAGCTTCAACTACCTCTCGCATCGCATCGTCTTCTACCTCACGAACCTGCACATCAAAGCCCGCACAACCTTCTTCGTTCGAGCTGGGCCAGCAGAAGGCGAAGAGTTCTACAAATCCGACGCGCCTCTCTCTGAGGAAGGCAGATCATATGCACAGAAGATGACTGAGACCCTTCTCAGACATCGTGAGCAAGAAAGAAAGGCCAACAGTGAACAGGCTGGCCACGAGATCCGTCTAAGGCCTTTGACTGTCTGGACATCCACGCGGCTCCGCACAATTCAGACGGCCGATCCTCTGAAGGAACAAGGCTATAACGTCCGCCAACGCTCGCAAATGAGCCAAATAAACCCCGGTCTGTGCGAGAAGTTGTCAGAGCATGCTATCCGTAGGCTATATCCAGAAGAGGTGGAAAAGCATGAGCTTGACCCATACCACCACCGGTATCCCCGCGCAGAGGTTAGTTTTTACTGCTAAAATTATGGTGGATTCAGCTAACACAAATGCAGTCGTACCACGACCTCGCTGTCCGCCTCGAGCCCATCATTCTTGAACTCGAGCGCGAGCAGAACGACGTCCTCATCATTGCTCACGAGAGCGTTCTGCGAGTTTTGTATTCATACCTGATGCACTGCAGACCCATGGAGATTCCAAAACTCAAGTTCCCCAGGGATGAGATTATCGAGATCATTCCGGCGGCATATCAGAACGAAGCCAAGCGCATTCATATCCCCGGCCTCGATCCGCAGTTCACCCCCGGGTCGCCCGAAGACATTCGCATCCCCGTTCCTAGCATCTACAGCAGTAATCTGCCACCTATTGATGGCATAAGCAGTCCTGTCGAGCCATCCTCTATGGACAACGTTTTGACGCGGCCTCCCGAGAAGGTGGTGAATAACGCCAAGGAAATGGTTGCGGATAAGGTGGCTGATCTCGATTAAGTTACGGCGTACTGGGACGTGGAGCGAAGGTGGCTTTGTTTCTGAGTGGCGGACCGTTGTTTTTGATCGATAAATTTGACCTTAATAAGAATCCTCTGCCACCGTTCTTTTTCCAGGAGCACACACTTGCAAGACGCAGTATTCAGCCGTTCAGATTTAAGCGGGTAGCTACTGAGAGCGAGAAGTAGTTGGACTTTAGCCAACACAAAAAAGAAAATCATTAGATAGCGTGTTGAGTTGATGAAAGGAATCTATGTTTCCATCTGTCCACTAGAATACTATGGCACTTTTGAGGTTCGTGGGTAGTTAGATGAACCCGATCCATCCCTCCCTACCCTTTCGCATGTACATGACGATGCTATACAAAAAATGACTTTAGGACGTTCTTATACAGTATGATGCCTCAAAAAATCTCCTCGGGTATTCCTTCTGTACGCCCCCAAAGCCAAGCAGATACCGTCAACAACTGACTCCAACTGAACTTCGAACTGAACTGAAGTACTGCAGTGCATAAAGCCACTTCACAGCCACATGTGGCACAGTCGAATGCTGCATCTTGGCAACGATTCCGCCGTTACAGTAAGTACTTAAGTACTTATCCAGTTATCAACTGAACTGAAGACGACAGTCGTCCAACATCCATCCAGCCGATTCTGATTACTCACTTCAGTTTCTTCGCAACCCCCCCTCTAAAGACACCTTACAAAACCCAGAAGGAAAATGTCCTCCACCAACAACAACCAAACAAAAACCGCCCTCGTCACTGGCGCCACCGGCCTCCTAGGTAGACAAGTCGTCCGCGCCTTTCAAGGCTTGAGCGTGCCTACTGAACTTAGTTCTAAGGCTGGCTGGACGTGGGAAGTCAAGGGAACGGGATTTTCCAGAGCGGATGGCGTCAATGTGCTAAAGGTAGATTTGGAGAAAGAAGAGGAGGTGGAAAGGGTTTTGGGGGATGTCAGGTACGTTCGATCTCTTTCTTTTGGAGGGGAATTTGGCTTCAGAGAGTTTTGGAATTTGGTTGCGAGGGCTGCGCTATGGAGGCCATCATTGGTGGGTATGTTGGGACAACTTTCGGAGTTGCGGGGTAAAATTAATGGTGTTGGCTTTCATGACTGGATGTTGCCGATCCTGCGAGTGAGGCATTGGGTGAACGGGATCGGAGAAACTTACGATGCTTGGCGTTGTGAGGTCTCTGAAGTCTGACGGAGATCAAATTTCAGCGTATTTACCGTCTTCATGCTACCGTTCATACTTACTTCTCATATTCACTTGAGGTGAACCGCGGATTATTATTAAAACTAACAATTTCACTAGCCCTCAAGTCCTCGTGCATTGCGCAGCCAACCGCTTCCCTGACAAGGTCGACGCTGATCCTGAAGGCACCCGTCTGCTCAACGTCGAAGTTACTCGCACTCTCGCCCGGGCTTGTGCTTCCCGTGGTATCCTCCTGATCTATATCTCTACCGACTACGTCTTCTCTGGAAAGCCAGGCGAGGCACCTTACGAGGCCGATGCTGCCACAGGCCCCACTAACCTCTACGGCGTTACTAAGCTGGATGGCGAGAAGGCTGTAATTGAGGAGTTTTCCAAGGCAGGCAAGGAGGGCTTAGGCGTGGTGATGAGGGTACCCGTGCTGTATGGCAAGACGGAGGAGGGCAGGAATGAAGAGAGTGCGGTCAACGTCCTCTTAGACGCAGTCCTCAAGGCGCAGGAGGGAAAGAAGGTCAAGATGGACCATTGGGCGCTGAGGTTCCCTGCTAACACAGAGGATGTGGGTAGGGTTTGTCGGGGTAAGTCTGGGCTTCTGTTGCCTCTTTATCAACTCTTCTCGCCCATCGGTCAGTGCTAACTTTGGAATGCCAGACGTCGCGGTTAAGTACCTGTCAACCAGCGAAGCCGAGAGGACATCGCTACCGAGGATCCTCCAGTTCTCTGGCGAGGAACAGTATACCAAGTATGAAATGTGTCAGCTCTTTGCTGAGATATTGGGAGTTCCCGTTGATAACATCGAGGCGAACACGGAGGGCAACGACCCCAACGCAAGCGTTCAGCGTCCGTATGACTGCCACCTCAGCACCAAGGCGCTTAAGGATTTGGGTATTGATGTCTCAACCCAGGACTTTGCTGCCTGGTGGAGGAGAGAACTGAGAGCTTTCCGCCATTAAGCGACGATTGGCGGCTTTAATATACGAAGACTCTGTGTTACTCGCTAGTAATGATGTTGGCCGTTAGAGACTCTTGCTTTCGATCTTGACTAGTGTTCGGGGCGGCACGCCGCGCCCTTCCGTATGGGTGCAAGGCTGGATTCTGGGTTGTTACGTGCAGAGCTGTATTCTGGGTTGGGACCGCGTTTTGCGCCGTTAACAGATTGAGAGTTAAGAGGTTAGTGCTAACAATTTGTTACGTGGAAATCTGAGCCAGAAAAGTCCGTGCGGTAACATTTAGCTAGTGCACGCTGCATTTAGTATGGGGATCGCCCGCGAAAAGTCTTAACACACTACCCTTGCAGTTCAGAAATCTTGCTCCTGTAGGTATATAGAGATTTTCCATGCAGCATGTTGAACGTTGATCTTTCAGCCAAAGTGTTTCAGTGGGTCGCCAAATGTTGTCGAAGCTCACCGTCGAAAAAACTGCTTGGCGCCTCTTGTGTATGTGGGGTGGCGGGTGATGCAGGGTGGATGGCATGTGAAATGTCGGTGTCGATTATTAGGGAATGTCGATGAAGTTCGCGCTACCCGAAGCAAATGAGACATGACCGCGATCTGAATGCGTCAGGTTTCAGGTAGGCAGGTAAGGGATACTTGTCGACGCGGTTTGCCTCTCAATCCTTCGTGTCAGATAGAGTAGAAATAATGTTTGCTGTCCATCGCTTTCGCGACTCGGTGGCCTTCTCCCATTTCGACTCTTCGGAAGAGACAAGCAAACAGCCAGGACAGCCTCAACAAAACGGACGTAAAGCTGACGAGCTGTGAGCGCTGAGCAAACCGGTCATTCTTTCCAGAGATAGGAGAAAAAGAACAGGAATGGAGTCAGCTTCGAATTCCACTTCAGGGCCCACCATCAGGGTCCCAGAGCGGAAGGATGTCCCCTACCGCCAAGGAGCGGAGGGACAGCTGAAACAGACCGTGGGGAACAGGGCTGGTAGGGCCCTGAAAGCCCCAACAGCCCCAGTCATGTCATCATCAGTGGCCCTGGTGGAGACGCTGTTGGCGCCGGAGCTTAGGCCGAAGAGGGCATCCTCACCGCGACACTGCAGCGCCTTACGGGAGAGATCCAGATGCGTGTCATTGTCTGATGGCACCGTGACAGTGCCGTCGACCAGCAGTGCCCGTGGCAGCATCATCATCATCATCACATGGCAGGATCAAGATCGCAGAAAGAAGCGGGTGGACGTTGGGTCCTTGGCCATCTCTGCGCCGTACAAGAAAGGGCATAGAAGATGCCCGGCCACAGCAGCCGCCGACTGGGGCTATGGAAAGAAAAAGTGGAAGGGAGGAAGCAGGATGGAACCCGAGGTCGAAGATGTTGTTGACATCCGGCAAGTGGAGGGAGAATCTCGACCATTTGCTGGAAAACGAAGTGGAAGCTGCAGGTGACAATGCAGACGCTGCAGGCACCACAGGCACGAGTGTCACCACCCCTCTGCTAGTGGCTCAGGTACCCCAATCAGCACCTGCAGCGGCAGTGGTACCTGGGGCTGTACCCTCACCGACTAGCGGTACCTCCCCGTCTTTGTGGATTTCAGCCAGAACTGGAAAAGAGAAGCCGTCCAAGCCGCCCTTGCACCTGCTGCCCTTGACGAAATACAACTCCAACGATGACGTGAATCGCAGCAAGTGGGAGGAAGTCCCCGGCTTTGACGGCGACAGCCGGGATTTGCAGCCCGTGCCAGCCTCAGCCTATTGGTTTTCAACTTCTTCTTCGCCGTCACTACCTGCTCATCCTTCGCCTCTTTCTTCACCCGCGTCGAAACCCAGACTTCAGCTTCAAGCGTGCATAAGCTCAAGGGCTGGCGAGAACGTGGACGATCCACAACAATCCGACGGGAACGAGGATGGATCAAGTGGCAGCAGCAGCAGCAGCGGAAGTAACCAGGAGAAGCCCAACAGCAGCAACAGCCTGAGTCGACAGCAACAATCGAGAAATAAAGGAGGCAGCCAATACAAAGACATATTAGAAAAGGACGACGCCGTCTTACTACTGTTGGAGAAAAAGGTCCCCTACCCCCCCGTGCCAATTTCCCCCTCCTCCTCACCATCCTCAGAGCCGGCGCACCCCTCGGAGCCCACCACCACGACACAACAGCAACATCCCACGCGGAGGCAGACGCAGACGCAGAAGCAGGCGCACTCGTACCTGGGCCCGGACGTGCATCTCAATCTGCACACAAACCACCACTCAAACTCTCCTGCCCTAGTGCGGTTCCTTGTCTCGGCCACTGCCACGGACTGTGCAAAGGTCGATGTGATTAATGAGACACGCAATTGGCTCGAACAATTATTCAAAGACACGATCGGCGACACCACCGCCCGGGAACGGGAACTCGCACACGGCCAGGACCATCACCACTCTTTCTTGCTACCACTGCCGCTTGTCTCTGGGTGGCACCATAGCCCGTTCGATCCCGCAACCGGTCACGGCTGTCAGCCCGTCAACGGAGCCGAAGAACGACCCCGCTCACCCCGGCACGTGCAAGCTGAACAAGCGGTTTCGGTGCATATTAAGGGTCAGGAGGGCTTTGCTCTTGACAAGGGATCTAATTTGAACGAAACCAAGGGCACCAACGACAACACCACTGGGGCTGGCGGCTTGGATTCACACACCTTGCAAACCTCGGTGCCACGAGTAGACACGGGAGCCGACAGTCGAACCCTTGCCGAACGGTGCAAGCTGGAGACCGACATGATCATGGACCACCACCAGGCCTCAGCCGTGCCGCCCTCGCCCGCACTCTCTCACTCTTCTTTCTCCCTTAGAGGCAAAAATCGGGTTTTTGGAAAACTACCTTTTCTCTCGCGCAGTCGCAACCCGGAAAGTCCAACCCACATCGAGATCGCCTCTCCAATTTCCCCTTTGCAACCAGAACCTTCAACTTCAACTTCACCAGTTTCTCCGGCCTCCTCCATGGGTGCCCCCATTGACAAGACCCGATCCAGGAGTCAGGATGCGAAGACGTATGCTGGCTCTGGAGGGCGCGGCATTGTTCCCATTCAAGATGAGGTGCCAAGGGGGGCCGTTAATGGCGCTGACAGAGTAAGCCAGCCTCACCATAAACGAGACGAAGGTGGCCGACTAATGGGTTATTGTGCTAGCGCGTTACCGTTCGCTGTAAGGGCGTGACGGTGGATCTCAAGGTTGAGGTTGATACTACTACTGTGGACATCTTGTTGGCTTATGCCGACAAGACAGGCCTTCCCGTCAATGTCAACAGCAGCATGGTCATCGAGGCGTATACCCCCCTGGGTCTCGAGCGACGCCTTCGTCGCTATGAACGTATCCGTGATGTATTGAACACATGGGATCAAGACATGCAGAACGTTTTGATTATCCAGACCGAAAACGACCGCAGCGACGAGAACCTAGACCTCGCCAGTGTTCCTCGCGAACAAAAGATACCTACTGGCTTTGTCCTTCCGCTTCAGCACTCTCACAGGCCCGGGAAATGGACCAAGCGTTATATCACATTGCTAGAAAACGGACAATTGGTTTCGTCCAAGAAGCCCGACGCAAAACTCTCAGACAAGGACGTCTTGAGCATCTGCCATCTATCTGATTTTGACATCTACATGCCGACCGAAGCACAGAAACGAAAGGAGCTCCGACCACCCAAAAAATATTGCTATGCAATCAAAAGCCAGCAGAAAGCCACGATTTTTTTGTCGGCGGATAATTTTGTCCACTACTTCAGCACCGAGGACGCCGCGGTCGCCCGTCAGTTTTCCGCTCGCGTCCAAGCTTGGCGAAGCTGGTATCTGGTTAACAAGGTATTGCAGCTGCATAAGAAAATGCAAGAGCGAGAAGCAGAGAAACCGCCTCAGCTCTCCTCGGCGCCGCACAAACCAAGAAGGGCAGTCAACGATGTCAATGCGGATGACCACAAGATCAAAGCTTCAGTCGGCGAGTCTTCTTACCCGATCGGTACATATAAGCCCCTAATCGACCTGTCACGTTTCGACAAGCCCATCGATGAGTTTGACAAGGACTGGAAAGCCGACCGATCCAGACAGCAGGCCTCCCAACTACCACCATTCCAACTCCAGAAAGTCAGAAAAGCTACACAAGAAGAGATAGAAGCACCATTTGGCACGAGTGGTTTGCTTGGGAACATATATGAAGAACGAAAACTTGCGCAGAAGGAAGAGGAGAGAAAGAAACTGGAGGTCGTTACCGACCAACCTTTTACCGATCGACCCAGCCTTCTGAATGGCGGATTGGTAACCTCGCCAACTGAGGAGACCAGACAGCACGATGGACGATACGAACCAAAGGCATGGCTTCCGTCGGCACTTGAGCACACCGCCACTCAGCGCAGCACAAGAGCACCCTCTGTTCGTCGCAGTGCTCCATCTAATCAGTCGCCGCCATCTCAGTACGCTCCCTCACAATATGCGCCTTCACAGTCCGCACCGTCCCAGCACGAGCGTGGGCGTGAAACCCATCGTCGTCAGCAGCCGAACCAGCAACTGAAGCCCAGTGCGCCTCTTGTCGACCTAACTCCGAAATTCGTTGAGCCACCCCAATGGTCGCGCGAAGGTTTGGGACGAGGTGTGCGGGCTCCAGAAGGCATGCCGTTGGTCGACATGGCTACAGGACCCCAATTGGCTCCCGGTGCCAAACCCCTCGACTTGCCACCCCGAACACTTGTTAGGCGGGAGCCGAGCACGCGAACCCCTGGTTCTCGGCCAGGAACTAGTGCCGGCCAAGCACCGCCAGGCTCTAGTGCAGGTAGTGTCCGAGCCGTTAGTCGGGCTTCCTCGGTGCGGGGCAGGATGATGAGTCAAGACGGGACGTCTGGGGGCATGAGGAGCATATCAGGATCGGCTTTTCTACCACCTGTACCTCCTCTACCCGGCTCAGTCCTCGGCTACGGGCCGAACCATCCGCCCCCCTCGTCCAAAGGTAGATATACAGATGGTTATCGTTCCCGTTCGTCGTCTCGTGGGCCACAACCCCAATCCAAGCGAGGTTCTCCTCCGTCCTCTGGGTATGAAGACGATCGTCAACGGACTTTTTCCTTGAGAAACCAGCCACATCCGCTACTATCGTTCGATGAGACCCTAGAAGAACCGCGAGGTCTCCTTGGACAGGCAGACAGAAGCTCCAATGTCTCCGTGCAACGAGCACAGAGTGTCCGAGTGGGCAGTTCTTCGCGCCGCGCAAGGAATGGGAGTACTTACAATTATTGATTAGCATATTCATATGGGTTTGAAGGGCTTTTTACTTGAACTGTATAACGACTACTTATCATGACTTAACGCCGATCACGAGTTCCTTACCGGTTCTTAAACGATGTATGGGCATCTGGTTTCTGTTTGATTATATCGTGCTGTCCGGCAACTCATGTAAAGGATTTTTTTATTGGTCACTGGTGGTACGAACGGGAAGTCACGGCTTTCTGAACAGTTATGGTGGACTTTACAATTATCTGAGCATGATGTTCTTATAATACTCATGCGTTGAATATTTAAATCTTAATCTACAGCACCATTCTGTGTTACTCTCCATAAAATTATTAAGGATGCCATGAAGGCTGCGGTTAATTTTGCGCAGTTAAAACCTTATTGGATATTGTAACACATCTTTATGAAAGGCGGAATGGCTTCGTATGAGTCAGGCTGGGGCCTAGACAAACATAGAGAGAAGAGCTGGGGCTGGAGCATGACCATGGAGCAAATTTTACCTGTAAAGAGGGGAATCTTAAGCTTGTAGGATGTGTTCAGAGGATAATCATCACAATTCATCTCAACATTCAGTAGCAAGCTTCTGTCTAGCATGAATATCTCGTGGAGACTCAGTTTCGTTGTTCGTGTAACCTCTGCTTGCGCCAAACGTAGTTGGACTGCAATGTGCCATGTTGAATCCAACATGTAATTTCAAAACAAGGAACATTTCCCCTGTTCATGAAGAATTAGACTTCAAACGATATTTGTGCCACGGACTACGACTTTCAGGACAGATGCGAGGACACGATTCTTAGACCTCTGTCAAGCACAATCGACTAGTATTATCCATGGACAAATAGGATCTCGTGACGGGTAGAAGTGTTCCCAATTAGTGGGATCGCATCAAGGATTATTATATTTACTTTTATTTCTTATTGCCTTCCGTCTCTCGCCATGCATGCAAATATGTATAGCAGAAAAACAAGGCCTGGTATCTGTCGCGCCCAAAGCTCACTAAAAACTTTCTGTAAATGAATGGTAACGCTTGTTTGTTATAGCTTTGATCCATCATCAAGCAATCCAACATTGGGCGGCATTAAGTTAGGTATATCATCTCTCCCCCACTTTTCTCCCTCCTCAAGCAACCAGTATATGTCGAATAGAGATAGGTTTACTTGCTGCGCTTGTAGATCTTACCAAGGAAGGCCTCAAAGACCTGCTTCTTGAGACCCTTGCTCTCGTCAATGGCATCAATCATCTTGCGGATCTCGCCGACGCGCTCTTCCTCGTACTGCTTGTAGTGGTCCTCGAGCTTGAGGTCGTCGTACAGCTGCTTGATGACTGCTTCCTTGGCCTTGTCCTTGCGGCCGTAGTTCTCCTCGAGCGTTTTGCGTTGCTCGGGTGTGACAATGCTGAGCGCCTTGTTGACCAGCCACGAGCACTTGTTGTCCTGGATGTCAGTGCCGATCTTGCCAATGTGCTCTGGCAGGCCAAAGTTGTCCAGGTAGTCGTCCTGCACCTGGAAGTACTCGCCCAGCGGGATCAGGATGTCCTCGGCCTGCTTGAGGTTCTCCGGAGTGGCGATGTCGAGCATGTACATGGCAAGCGCGACGGGCAGGTAGAACGAGTAGTAGGCCGTCTTGTAGATGACGATGAAGGTGTACTTGTCCATCGAGAAGTTGTCCAGGTCGACCTTGTCCTCGGGCGCCGTGAGCAGGTCGCACAGCTGGCCCATCTCCGTCTGGAAGGTCACCTCGTGGAAGAGCTCGAGGAAGTCGACGTAACGCGGGTGCGAGCGGAAGTACTTCTTGAGCAGCGTGTAGATGGCCGACTCGAGCATGAAGGCGTCGTTGATGGCAACCATGCCCACACCCTCCTGGCGGTACCAGCACGGCTTGCCACGGCGCGTGATGGACGAGTCCATGATGTCGTCGGAGACCAGGAAGAAGGCCTGGAGGAGCTCAGTCATCCAGCCGAGCGTCGCGGCCTGGAAGTATTCCTCCTCGGTCAGGGGGCGGCCGAGCAGGATGGAGGCCGAGTCGGGGACGGACATGCCGCGGTTGCACTTGCCGCCGAGGGTGTTGACCTCGAGGGACTGCGACGACGAAGAACGACAAGATGTTAGTATCACAGCTCTTCTAAAGCTACACGACCAGACAGGTAGGTTGGTCTGCTCTCACCTGCTTGTACCAGCTGAGCATCTGCTCGGGCAGCTTGTATGCCTTGGCATACTCGAGGAGCGCCTCCTCCAGCTTGGGGAAGACGCTCTCGAATTCCTTGAGGGTCGTTGTCTTGGCCATGATTGCGATGTGTGGTTTCTGCCCGAAGAAACTTCTGAGATTGCTGGTAGGAGAAGTGGGGGAAGAGATATGATGTATCGGGAAAACGGGATGGTTTCAGGAGGTGGGAAATGGCAATTACTACGTAGCTACGGAAGCAATAGGAATGTCCGTTTAGCAGAGCCAGCTTGGTCAGGTGGGGTTGTTGGCGGGACAGCTGTACAATGTAACTACAAGTATGCTAAGGTACTCTTTAGTGTAGATGTGGAAATCTCGTACCTCGCTCTTTTTATATTATATCGGACAGGTGGAGAAAGTCTACTGTCTCCCTGATGTGACCCAAGCACACCAGGTAACACAGAAGCCCAACAAAAGAGGTTCGGTTAAGTTGCGATAATCCTTCTTCTGATCACGTTAAACACGCCCTAGCTTTGAATAGAGAAATATTACGACCGTTAAAGGAGAGCAAAAGTCCCGAGTTTGGAAGCTGAGATTCCGTCCGAAGAGATATTCATGCGATCCCTGCAACTCCCTTCCGAGAGGGACGCTACCGTAACGAACTGCGTGGGCTGGACCCTTCGACTTGGCCGCCCGCGCATCATGGTGTCGATCCAATGGGCGCAAGGAACTGCACCTGCCGCCTCTACACTACACTAGCTGCTATTGGTGCTGCCTGCCGGTGCAAGCCTTCAATGTGCACCGTGCACGCGTTCCTGGAAACGCTGACGGAACCGCCTGTAGCAACAGGCAAGGACCAACCCACGCGACCTGGGACAACAATGTTGACGTTATTTTGATCCGTCGGCAAACCCCAATCTTCAACATTACAACAACAACTCACAAAAGCGCGCCTTCGCCAATGGCAACGATCAGGGACTGTCACACTTTTTAACTTGCTTCATGTTGATCTAGAATCGGATTCCAATAAGCCAACACCTCGTTGCGGACAATATATCCTTAAGCGGTCCGCCTCCCTCGGTGACCCCTCTTGCCCCATGTGTTTACTTTATCCACTAACAATTATCTCCAGGCGACACAAACACTAACAACATTTGTTGCTATGCGTCTATCAGCAATAGATACCCTACACCTCAAGGAAGCTCTGCAAAATGCAGTCGTAAAATGCTCTGAGCGTTGTCTTTACCAATCTGCAAAATGGTACTCTTCATCTTATGATTCTGTAGTCTGCCATGCACCTCCATTGGCTAACGCAGAACACACAGGGCCGCCGAGCTTCTCGATTCGGTTCCCGATCCAGTGCTAAGTGATTTGGATCAAAAAGAAGCCGTGGCTGGACTTCAAGGATATCAACACCCGGCCCTCTCTGCTAACCCAGACCCAGTAGAAGCTGAGCTGGAGGCTAAGGAGCTCAGCAAGTATCTGCTCGCCAAGTCCTTCTTCGATTGCAAGGAGTTCGACCGTTGCGCTTCCGTTTTCTTGCCAGATTCCCTCCTCTCCGGCCTACTATCCACGAAAGCCACTGATGCTACGACACCCAAAGGCAAGGCTAAGGCAAGCTCTGCGCCGCCGTTCGAGCAGGCTCTTCCCTCTCTCAGTCAGAAAAGCTTGTTCTTGGCCCTCTATGCCAAAGTCATTTCGGGAGAGAAGAAGAAGAACGAAGAGTCGGAGATGATCATGGGTCCCCAGGACCTGGGCACCATCAAGAATAGCCATCTCGTTGTTGTCAGCCGCTTCCTCGAGAGATGGTTTGCCGAGCGCAAAGCTGAGGACTCGGATTTGCCACCAAGTCAAGGCTTCCTCGAGTATTTGTACGTGTGTCCCGGTGTTCATCGTTCTGTATGTGCGTTTAGCTGATGTTGAAACAGATACGGCATGGTTATGGTTAAGGAGAAGAACGAGGACGCCGCGTTAGACTACCTTCTCAACAGTGTCCATCTGTTTCCGTGGAACTGGGGCGCTTGGCTTGAGCTCACAAATCTCATCTCAGGGGTCGAACAGCTCAACAAGATAACCCCTGTCCTTCCGCAAAACATCATGTCTTTTATATTCTACGCCAACACGGCGGTTAATCTGTATCAACAGGGGCAGGATCTAGCTGCCTCTGTCAACGATCTCCTGAAGCTTTTCCCGACGTCTTCCTTCATTCTAACCTGTAGGGCGCTTTTGAACTACCACTCCAAGGACCTGTACACGGCCGAACAAAACTTCAGTAACTTGCTTGCGTTACATCCCCATCGTCTCGATTCACTGGATCACTACTCCAACATCTTATATGTCCTCAACATGCGCCCAAAGCTAGCATTTCTGGCGCACCTTTGTTCCAGCATTGACAAGTTCCGACCCGAATCGTGCGTCGTCATAGGCAATTACTACTCCCTTTTGTCTCTCCACGAAAAGGCCGTACAGTACTTCCGCCGAGCTCTTACCTTGGACCGCTCTTGTCTCTCTGCCTGGACGCTTATGGGCCACGAATACGTCGAACTGAAGAACACACACGCAGCCATTGAATCATACCGGCGTGCTGTTGATGTCAACCGTCGCGACTACCGCGCCTGGTACGGTCTTGGCCAGACATATGAGGTGCTCGAGATGAATGCCTATGCTTTATACTATTACAAGAAGGCTGCTGGTCTCAGGCCTTGGGATGGCAAGATGTGGCAGGCCGTCGGGTCATGCCTGCAAAAAATGGGCAAAGACAGGGACGGCATAAAGGCGCTCAAGAGGGCACTACTAGCGGATAGCTACTATGACTCTACTTTGAGTAGCTTTGGAAGTGCGGGACCTGCAGACAGGATGGCGCAGATGGATCCAGAGGTGTTGCTACAGATTGCTTTCATGTATGACCGCCTGGGTGAGGTCGAGGAGGCTAGGGCATATATGGAGCTTTGTGTGGCACAGGAGGATGGAGGAGCCACGGACAATGTGGATACTTCAGCTGTTTGCACCTCGAATCCCGGCGAATCCTTCGTCGTTCATGGTGATTCGCCTGGGTCGGACGGGGATGCAGAGGGAGGGTACGAAGGGCGTGGTGGAGCTGGGCAGGGAGAAGGGACTGGAGTGACAGTAGCCACAAGCAAGGCACGTATGTGGCTTGCCAGGTACGCGATGAGAACGGAGGACTACGTTACGGCTAACCGGCTGGCCACGGAGCTGTGCCAGGATGGAGTCGAGGTGGAAGAGGCCAAAGCGCTCATTCGAGAGGTTAGGTCGAGGATGGAACTCGCTGATTTGACGGAGCGCTAGAAGCCGCCTTCTTTGGCGTTTCCCAATATTGAGGAGTACTTGCCGTCGGCAGCAATGATTCGTATTGGTAGCAACGGCGGCGGGGGACCGAAGCTGAGGAGGGTCCCAAGATCCCAACGATACTACGAGAACATCAGCACCATACCACCATTGACCGACCGAGGAAGTGGTATATATGAGGATCCAAGTCAGGAAAGTGATGATGATGATGAGAATGGGGGAAACGATCGCCACGATGATTGGTCGGGCGAAGACTACCTGACGGATGGATACGATGATGACGATGTTGACGACGACGATGATGATAACGGCGGTGCCCCTACGAATGCATAAAATGCCCATCATTATTTGGGCCTCGGAGTGCGTGTGGGTAGCTGGTGTGCCTCTCAAGGTATCGTTACACCTTGGTCTTGCGCAGTATGTATAATGCTCATCCTGAACCTGGTTTATCCTGGCCCTGTTGCAGACTGCATGCCTCAAAAATCTTGACTGCAGCCTTGGTTTGGTCGAGCATGGTGAGAGAATTTTCACTTTTGCTTTTCACCTCCCACTCTTGGTTGTATAAGACGTGCAAGACCTGCTTTGGGTATCACAGATGCTGTGAAAGCAATGGCAGAGCATGATCACCATGGTCAAGCTCCAAGCTTCCCGTACATGCTCAATGATCACGCGGTCACAGAGTAACGGTCATCAAGGCGGAGTGACGATCCCAGTTCATGAGACTTGGTTGCATAGTATTGTGGTTAACATCTATATATGAGGTTGCAACCGACCGAGTCGTGCGTTGTTCCTCAAGCTCTTCTCTGTGTCGGATTGCAGCAATATTATCTTTTGCGGTGACGAAATCATAGCAACTAACATGGCAGGAAACGAGTACGCATCGCCGATGTCCACTTGGAAGCACGTTCTGATGAAGCCTCCGTGCGTACAACTCACCTGTAACAGTCTCAAATTGGCTCGGTCTATGCCTTACAACTGGGAACACCTGTATTTCGGTAGGTCTTGCTCAACAACGTCAACAAGCTCAACAAGGGAAGTTCAGTGACCATATATGTAGAGGTAAATACCTGGAACTCAGGTCTCTTCTGCCCAATCAAATAACACGACTTTTAGCAGACTATGCGCTAATTTACTGTGAGTTAGCTGTCCTGTCCAATCAAGGTTCACTGAGATGCACCGTTGCGGGCCGACAACAGCTGGCATGTAAGTGACGCCGACCAGCGCTGGACGACATGTCGTTCATCTTTCATTTCTTACTTCAGATTCCCCCCACGCTACGAGTATCTCAGAATATCATCGGCATGAAGAGCTGCAGTCCGCTCACACGGTCCCATCACCACGAAATACTCAAGCACCAGTCCCGGGTCCGGCATGCCATACAAATAGGGAGCGCATGCTCTCGATACACTCGGAATTCCGATGTACCGCAACTCCAGGTGGCTCAACAATTACAGCACATTAGAATAACGGACAGGAATCCAAACTTTCATATATTCGAGTTTCATGCACATCATGGGCCAGTCTGGACCTGCAATGCCCTTCTCCGGCAATGACCAAAGCGCTCCGCTGAGCCAGACCGTCGAGTGTTGTGAAGTTTCAAGGACCGACAGGCACAGAGATCTTCCTAACCGCCAGTTTTGAGCAGTGATCGGATATTCATGCATCATGAGGAGCCCTTGGGCTTGGGTTCTCAACGAGACTTGGGCAGTCTGCGGCATCAGTTGCATCCCGGCCCGCCAATTTCTGCATGCTGAATGATAATTCTACGGAGAGTATGCGGCACGCAACAGTTGGATGGAGGAACTCGGAATTTTCAGGTGAAATGAAAATGGAAAAAAAAAAAAAAAAAAATTTATTGTCAGGATGAACATGGAGTATAGATATTGAGCCCCCCCTCTCACTTTTCTCCCTCCAAATCACCATCCTCAACTCGAACATCCGAGGTTCACTACGATCTCGTCTTCCAAGCTGACACGAACTCAACAGAAGAAACCTTTCACAGAACTCTCAATATGCTTCCTTATAAGCTTCTTGCTCCCCTCTCCGCTGTTAGCCTCGTGGTAGCCAACACGATCACCTTTGTCTCCCTTGACGAACATAATCGCACAATTTTTTCCAAGCACAAGACTAAGTGCACAAATGACGACCACGGGCTTTGCAACGATGTCAGCCTTGTGGACATTGCCCCAGTCAATGTCCCTGGACTCGCTCAGATCAACGTCGAGCTTCCCTCGGGCTGGGAAGGCAATTTCTACTCTGTCCCGGGCGGTACCCCGGATCGCACTGGAATGCTGGCCGAGATTCGGTCGCAGGGCTTCGAGAATGGAAGCTACTACGATGTCTCAGCGATCGAGAACCCCAACGACAACGTCGGAGTGAAGCAGTTTTGGCCTGCTCACGACCCTAACGCTGAGGTCAGCGGGTGCATTCAGTTCCCCTGCCCCTACACCTACTATCGTCCCAACGATCTGCAGACGAAACCGGCCACCTGGTCCGACAAGTTCTATTGTACCCTTGGGAACGCCGATCTGTCAAAGAACCCGCACCTGGCTCAATGGCACATGGTTTACGACCACGAGAAGAAGAAATGGGCTCCTCTCTCTGCGTAGCCAATCCGGCCGTCATCGACGAGACAACATACACCCATCGGACTCTTGTAACTCTAATCAAGAAACAGACCACAACTCCCGATTTGACAGCCAGCTATGGCGAGAGCCATAGCCATAACGCCACCGAGCAGCAGACGGCCTCCAACTAGTCGTCATTGTTGAACAGCAAAAAAAACAGCCGACAATCGACTCTCGCCCTTTTTTTTCTGATTGGCTTGGAGTCACGGGTTGTGTGTGGATAGATCACCGAGTCACGGCGAGGTTCGATAAGGTAACACATGTACTTAATGATTTACTCTAGACCTGGATTTGGCAAAAGAAATTGACTATAGGACATGCCTCGGAGCGCCACGAAAAGTAACAGGCAAAACAGGACTGCTTTCAATGGAGGATAAACGATACAGTATGGTTACTTGTTCACTTGCCATGGCGGGGTGACAAGACTCTCGGGCAGAAAAGCGTATCTAGGGACATATGGGGGAAAATTGTGTGACTAAGTTGGAGTTACGAACAATATCATATCGTTAGACCATAGGACTTCACTGTTTTTCTTCTTATTTTTCGTTGGATAACAAATACAGACAACAGTTCCCACTGATGACAAGTTAACATGACAAAGGTTTCACTTACACTCTGCACCTTAAGACGGCAGTTACGGGGTTGACATTAGGATGTGATGATCCAAAGTGGGCATTGTCGAGTTGTTTTTGCCCTTCATTGATCGTTGCTCTGACCTCTGCCAGTGGGAAAAAAAAAAAAAAAAAAAAAAGAAAAAAAAAAAAAAAAAAAAAAAAAAAAAAAAAAAAGAGTCTTGAGGGCAGGAAACCAAGGTTCAAGTGCATCACTCTTTCTTTTCGTTTGCATTTGCATTTCTTCACGCACCGTTACGAATTCCTTGGTTTTGAGACCCCAACCTCTCTATGATTAAGGTACCAACTGAGAAGGTGTGCAGAAGGTATGTACCAAGCATGAAGAGTGATTTAAAAAAAAAAGAACTTCTGAACAAAACCCCCAAGCCTCTGGCACCACGTCGGGAACCATGTTGACCAAAGTTCGAATGGGAAACACAGCTGGGAAGCTGATCATACAGCTTCTTGACCCAACAGAGCCGGCAATCAAACCTCCGACCACCGCTCTTACTCTGGGCTTCGGAAGAGTCTACGCCCCTTAGTATTACACTTACACTCCACAAAAGTGTTCCTAGAAAATGAATGGTACATGAACGCACCGTGGTTAGTAAGGAAGAAGCGCGTAAGAGAGGGTTAGCGACATGCGTTGTCATCTAGCATGCTTACCGCAGAGGACTCGGGGCATACCTAGCTTTTCAAACTTCCAGGGAAATCAATCAGGCAGGGTCTGATGTGCAAGCATACTGCAACAACATTCATGCCCACCAATATTTCTATGCAAGACGGTGGTGATTGTGTATATCTCTACCCTCTCCAACTCCCTCATGGAAAGAAAAGAGGTGGAAAAAGGCAGAATTGTAGAGGAAGTAAATTTACAGTGCTTGGGGATGGTGACACGTCTCCGCCACTCTTTTTCTTTGAAAAGGTATAAAATATATAGAATCGGAAATATATGTATGTCTGATTATGCTTGATTTCCCTGGAAGTGGAAAAGCCATGCCCCGAGTCTTTTGCGGTATTTTTACAGGTGAAACGCAGGCAGGCGAGCAAAAGGGGTAGATGAAGATAGAGAGAGGGGTAGATCGGCTTTGGTGGGAGACTCGGCCGAAGAGCTCTGGCTGTAGCTATGTTCGTTATGTAATAGCGGAAGCACGAGAATGAAAATTTTGGAAAAGGAGGCAGCTGAAGATAATAACCTGTTTGCTGATGGTCGGATGCCAGTTGATTCATGCATGAGTTGGAATGTTGGTGAGATGTGGACAGCGGTGCCATCATAACGGTCTTCGACGAGGAGACTGACGAAATTTGACTCAGGTACACATACAAAAAGCCCAGCTGCCCAAGCATGTCGTTGAACTCGAGGCCAACTGTATACCTCCAAAAACACCCACCGTTTTCTCTAGCTCTTAGCACACCTACCACGTCGGCTACTGAGAGTTGTTGGAGGATACTGAACTAGGGGCTTAGATGGTCCCCATTGAAGGACTGAAGGTTCTGCCGGTGGAAAGCCCGCTGAGGCACTATAGAAATCAGGGAATGAATAGAAGCGATGAGAGAGTGAGGCATGGATGGGTGAATGAATGAATGAATGAAAGAATGGATGAAGAAGAGAGCCAAAGTAGGTCGAGTATGAGTAGAAGAGCATGAGAAGAGTAGAACAGCGAGCCATCCAGAAACGGTCCACGCGCTCTCCTTCCAATGATCGACTCCCGCGAAACTCCCCAAAATGTTCACATTGCCGTAAGAGCATGGACACATCGAGAAGCGTTATCTATATCACCTTACTTAGCTTCGATGATGAAAGCATGGTTCATCACGTTAAGAAGCTCTTCATTATTGTGTGACAATGAGATCTCAATCGGAATCATGTCTGACCAATCTCTCTCTGTCGCTAGCAAACTGTATTATTAAGTCTACTAGCGGCAACTTTGGTCATTCAAGTCGCGACATTTTGGGGTAAGACGCCTTGTTCATCAGTATTAATGCTTTTTTTCTTCTAAACGCATAGTCCTCAACCGTTTCCCATTTCACATTACCTTCCATACCCACCTGCTTCAGCAGCGGCACTAACTTCTGCTATGATTTCAGCGGAGCTTCTTCCCGTTAATGTTTGAGTTGGTGTTGGTGTTGGCGCACGAGATCCTGCCCGCGATCCAGCTCGAGATCCGGCGCGGGACCCGGCGCGAGATCCGGCACGAGAACCGGGAGCGAGCGCAGGGGATGGAGCTCGGGACGGACCGCGAGACGGAGGATGGGACGGGGTGAGCGATGTGGGCCGAGATGGGGCTTTCCTGATCTCCTTGGCTTTGACAATGTTGATAAGGTGCTGGCCCGCATCCTCGAACCCGTCGAGCTTGTTCAGGCGAGAATCAAAGTATTCGACATCACGCAGCATGCTGGATAGCCTGTATGTTAGCATTGCTTCTTTCAAGTTAATATGATGGCATGAAAAATAGTTACCTCTCCTTCCCGGCCTCCGTGGTGGGCTCCAATCCCTTAAACGTTGAGCCGAAGGTGTCTTTGTAGTTCTTGAATACGAGCATCATAATCATGCGCACCGTTCCCTCGGGTAGCTGTCTAGTCAAGTTGCGGTGAAGCGTGGTGGTTTCCTTGGCCAGTGTCTCCATGTACTCGTGCGCCGCTGGGGACCCGGCATCCCAGTTGGTTGCCCTCATCTTCCTAGAGGCGAGAACTGCTCGGCCAGTCATGATCTCGACTAGTTTATTGTAGATGATATTCTGGTGCTCTTGGAAGTCCCGTCTGACTTTATCGAAATCTGCCATCACACCAGAGACAAGATTGTTTCCGCAATGACGGCGGACGAACTCACGCACATGGGGGATCGTTGCGGCAATGAAGGCTAGTGCCTGCGACGCTACAGCAAGATGGCGCGTGGTGATATTCTTGAGTCCAGCGGACATGAGTGCCCCTGCACCTAGAATGAGTTGCTTGCAGCGTGAGTTGAAGAGCTGAAGGTAAGCGATGAGAGAGGACGACACATCGGCCGTCATGGAGGGAATGCCGACAATAAGGTGGATAAACTGAGCCATGCCATTCATGCACAATATCGCGGACTTGGGGAGAAGGAATGTCTCAGAGTCGATGACCGCAGCGCGTGCCTTGGACTTGGAAGCCCCGTTCACCTGTGCTTCAGCGGCCTTGTCTCCTGAGTCACCGTTGGCCTGCGCTTCAAGGACAGGAGTAGCAACGCTGCCAACATTCTCGTCATAGGAGGGTGGAATCCAAATTTTGGTTGCTTCTGCCCAGATGGCCGCATCTCGTGTGCTCATTTCCAATATGCGGTTGAGAAGCTCGGTGTCTTTTTCGGTAAAATCCTGACTTGCCCACTGATCACTCTCCATGCCTTGGGCAAGTTTCTGCTTCTCGGCGTCGCCGTGACGCTGAACAAATTCCTTGATGTGACCATTGACAAGATTCTTCAACGATGTCCCGCTTCGGCCTGAAATGGCCTCGCACTCATTGGCAAAATGGAGGTTGAGAGTGAAGTATCGAAGGAACCATTCAAGCGTTAGACGCGTGCTCTGTTCCGACCTAACTTTCAATAGCCGTACGACTTTATCCTGAGCAATATCGACGGCCTGCCCAAGAAGGTTTGAAAGATCGAGGGCTGTATGAATCTCTTCTTGAGCCTCCAGGGCTGCCGTCGACAAACGCCTGCCTGTAGGGCTAAAAGGTGGAGGAGACCTGAGCCCACTAGTTGGATCCGAGTCGCCGAGAGAACTTGCGACATCTAACAATACCTTTGCTTGTGTATCCAGTCGTCTTAGTGTTTCAGTTACTCCGATGTAGATCTTGATTAGCAGCCCCTCCGCGTCCCGGGGTTCCAAGGCACGCAGGTTCCGAGCCAGGGTGGAGGAACGTTCCTGTTGAGAGCGTTGCTTGCCCCCTGTCATTGTTGATGCGGACATCATAGACTCATTATCATCATCGTTCGAACTTGGCAGAGGCCTGCGGATGAGGTTTTTGATCTCACGCAGAGCTGTCTCTCTATAAGCTGTCGCAGCGGCTGTAAGGAACTTGGCCCTGTGTAAGCCAGTCAGACTAACCAGAAGTTCCGATCGCAAACCGTCTGTTGATGTCAGGTACGAGGGAAAAGCCGAGGGCTCGCGGTTCGAGGGCTCGCGGTTGTGGCCTCCTCGTGCACGTATTGAAGCACTGCTCCACCGCATCAGAACCTCCTGGGTTGAGACGTGTGCAACGTGGCGCTGGATGTCACGTATTAGGAGAGTTATAAACCTCTCTTCGTAGGTTTTGCCGATCCGTTGCCGGAGAGTCCTCATGTCGGTGTGTACACCCTGAAGCCCAGTGGTGCCCCTGAGATCTCTCAACTCCATCCCGGGACGACCATTGTGCGAAGCCCCCTCTTCTCCGGCAATCAGTTTTTCCAAAGCGTCAATGTTGTCAAGCGCTGCGTCCACCTCGCCCGAATCTACCAGCGATTCGCATACAGCCACTCCTTCAACCACTTCCCGAAGCTGCATGACTGCATCGTGCAATTGTTGGATGTTCTCCCGTCTCCGCCGTTGGTGCACGATATCCAAACCCCTGGTTGCAATCTCCTCATCCAAATTTTCTAGCTCTCTCCTCAGTGTCTTGATTCTGTCCACGGAATCTGCGGCTTCTGAATGCAGTTCCCTAAGAGACCCCAGCGCAGTGAAAAAGGTGGTTGACGCGGTTGAAATCGACTGAATAAGGTGCATTTCGACGGTGTCCATATACCATGACAGCTTCTCCTGCAAGATGGCATTTGTTGCAAGAGCCTTCCGAGGCGCGGAGACCTGCTCATTGTGGTGCGCTCGGTCATCGGATCCCGGCGCGGGTCGTACCACTTCGGATCGCTCACTAACGACATCGAAAGTTCGGGGGTTCTCGAGGTGAAAGTCTTCGTCGAAGTATACCACGGGAATGGTGGATAATGGTGGAGGACCCTGCGATGCCGCTTTCCTGTAGCTTGAGCTGCGTCGAGCGGGACCCGGAGCTTCTATCGATGATATGGAAGTAATGGATGAGCTGGATGCCCTCCTGGATGCGCCAGATCGTTTGCCCGGTCTCAGGTGCCCATCCTCGGCCGAGGCTGCGTCCGCCTTGCTACCTCGCCTGCTGTGAGTACCAGATGCCTCTTCTTCGTCCGCCTGAACCCGTCGTAATTGTTCGTATAACGCGCCGACTTGGGTGAGATATTGTGTGAATTCGGAATTGTCAATGCGAGGGACATTGGTGAGCGTGACAGGTGGAATGTCTCGAGCAGTCGGAGGCTTATGCGCAGTGGAAGCGGGTGCTGAGGTATGCGGAAGGAGACCGGTTCGCACTATGGGCGGCTGGAGCAGGGTCGAGATGGCGTTCTGACCGGACTCTAGGACGGCGTCACCCCAGGTACCAGTGGAACTGTCGAGAGAGCCACCGATGGAGTGTATGGAGCCCGCGGTCGAATCCCGTCGAGAATGGAACGGGCGGCTCGGACTGCGTGAGCCTCTCCTTCAAGGAGATGTTAGTGTATGTATATTACGGAGAGGGCATGGACAGACAAAGCGCATCGCACCCGTGGAAAGGAAAGTCGCCAAACCGCCCGGCATCGGGTATTGGCGAAAGACTATCGACCGACTTGCGAGCACCCTGGTTGGAGAACATGATGGCTCATAAAGTCTCCCAGAAGTCCTAGGCCTAAGCTCAGGGGAAGACGAAATGGCCGTTGGTCATGCGCCGGTGGATTGGCGACGTGGGAAGATGGGGGGGTTCGGTAATCGGTATTAGTCTATCGAGCTGTAGGCGCGGGCCGGCAGGCCAAGGGAGGCAACCAAGGTAGGTGGCGTTGAGGGTATCGTGGTCCAGAGTATGGCGGTTACTGCGAAGGGTCACGGGGGTATCATAGCGAAACAAGAACAAGACATGAACCAGATTGTATTTTCCACAGAAGATGGCCAAGAAGAGGCGCAAAGTTGTAGTCTCGACGCGAGCAGGTGTTGAGGTCAGGGACTCGGAGCTGCCTGTTGAATGTCAAGGTCCCCCCCAATTCACAGCGGAAGCCACACAGCTGGCATTGGATCCCACAGGACCCTTGTTCGGGATACGTAGCGCAGTTGAATGAAGCTCCGCCCGCCACTGATGATTACCTACGCAGTACTGTGGTATGTATTTGAGCGGGCCACAAAGCTCGGGGGTCTTGCACCGGTTGCTGCAAAAGTGTCTGAAGGGTGAATCCCCCCTAGCTGGATATCCTTTTAAGCATTCCTTTTCCTCCGCACTTCAGGGGGCCTGCCTGCTGAGCCGTCAGGTACCTGCCATTCAGCTACAAGTGGGGCGCCCATTAAAACCCCTGCCAAAAATCGCGTCTTGGGTGTGCAGTTTCAATGTTTCTCGCGTCGCGGTTTTCGCACCATGTTTTGCCATTTTGGTTTCTCCCTCTGTTAGTTGTCTTTCTGCCCCCAACAACCCCTCCCTTCTCTGCTACTATTTTACAATTCTCCCGGTGCGAACATCTACGACCAGTGCACCCGAGTAAACAAAACAATTCCATACCAAGCTACCGTCAGTTATGGATTATCAGTCCGTCTTCTCAGCCCGGACCTACGCCGGCGCTGCTTCTTCATATGTACCAGAGGAGGACAGCAACCAGCACATTCGCGCCCAGCTCGAGGCTTTCATTCTCGACTTCCGACTAGATAACAGCTTTATCTACAGGTTCGTACTCTATGTAGCTGCCCTGTCCTCTGTCGAGCTTCCCCCTAACAATACTCCGTCCAGAGACCAACTACGAGAAAATGCCCTCCTAAAGAAATACTACTGCGATGTCAATATTGGTGACTTGATCAAATTCAATGAAGAGATCGCCCACAGACTAGTCACCGAACCCGCCGAGATTATCCCTCTTTTCGAGGCCGCTCTGAAGCGCTGCACACACCGAATCGTCTTCCCAAATGAACCCAAGATAGACCTGCCCGACCACCAACTGCTTCTACACTCCAACGCCGAAGATGTTTCTATCCGTAACCTCGACTCCCTTACAATCTCCCGGCTGGTCCGGGTACCTGGTATCGTCATTGGTGCTTCGGTAATGTCGTCCAAGGCGACTGAACTCCACGTCCAGTGCCGCAACTGCGGCCACGTCCAACACGTTCACGTATCCGGCGGCTTCAGTGGCGCTACCCTTCCCAGGACATGTGGCAGAATCAGGGCACCTGGGGACCCTGGCGAGAAGTGCCCAATGGATCCCTACTTTGTACAACACGAAAAGTCAAGATTCGTCGATCAGCAAATTATCAAGCTTCAGGAAGCTCCAGACCAAGTTCCCGTCGGTGAACTGCCCCGCCACGTCCTGATTTCCGCCGACCGCTACCTCACAAACCGCGTGGTTCCCGGCTCAAGGTGTACCGTCATGGGTATCTTTTCTATATACCAAAGTGGAGGCAACAAGAAGTCCACAAGCGGCGCCGTCGCCATTCGCACACCCTATCTCCGCGCAGTCGGTATCCAGACAGACATTGACCAAACAGCCAAGGGTCTGGCTGTCTTCTCCGAGGAGGAAGAGCAGGAGTTCCTTGAGCTTAGCCGTCGTCCTGATCTCTACAGTGTCATGGCCGAATGCATTGCGCCGTCCATCTATGGAAACAAGGACATCAAAAAGGCTATCCTCTGTTTACTCATGGGTGGCTCCAAGAAGATCCTTCCGGATGGTATGAGGCTTCGTGGTGATATCAACGTCCTCATGCTTGGTGATCCCGGTACAGCCAAGTCACAACTGCTCAAGTTCGTCGAAAAAGTCGCTCCTATCGCCATCTACACCTCCGGCAAGGGTTCCTCCGCCGCCGGTTTGACGGCTTCCGTCCAGCGTGACGCTTCCACGCGCGAGTTCTACCTCGAAGGCGGTGCCATGGTCCTCGCTGACGGCGGTGTCGTCTGTATCGATGAGTTCGACAAGATGCGCGATGAGGACAGAGTGGCAATACACGAAGCTATGGAGCAGCAAACCATTTCCATCGCCAAGGCCGGAATCACCACGATCCTCAATGCTCGAACTTCGGTCCTGGCCGCCGCTAACCCCATCTTTGGCCGCTACGACGACATGAAGACCCCCGGCGAAAATATCGACTTTCAAACCACCATCCTGTCGCGTTTCGACATGATCTTCATCGTCAAGGATGAGCACGAGCGCGGCCGTGATGAGCGCATCGCCAAGCACGTTATGGGTATCCATATGGGTGGCCGTGGTGTCGAAGAGCGGATTGAGGCAGAGATCCCGGTCGAGAAGATGAGGCGGTACATCAGCTATTGCCGATCGTAAGTTGTTTATGCTTTTATCTACCAACTTAGGCACACAAACTGACATTGTCCCTCTGCAGCCGCTGCGCCCCGCGCCTCTCTCCCGAAGCCGCCGAGAAGCTCTCCTCGCACTTCGTCGCCATCCGCAAGCAAGTGCACGCCTCAGAGCTCGAAGCCAACGCGCGCTCCTCGATTCCCATCACGGTCCGCCAGCTCGAAGCCATTGTGCGCATCACCGAGTCGCTCGCCAAGCTGACGCTCTCGCCCGTTGCGACGGAGAAGCACGTGGACGAGGCTATCCGGCTATTCCTGCGCTCAACCATGGACGCCGTCAACCAAGGCGGCAGCACGGGTAGCAACCGGGAGTTGAACGAGGAGACGTCCCGCGTCGAGGCCGAGCTGAAGCGCCGCTTGCCTATCGGCTGGAGCACCAGCTTGGCGACCCTGCGCAGGGAAATGGTGGAGGGTAAAGGGTTCAGCGAGGTGGCGCTGAATAGGGCGCTGATGATATTGCAGAGGAGGGATACCATTATGTTTAGAAACCAGGGCGCGCAGGTTTATAGGAATGGCGCATAAAAGGGATGGTGGGGAAATGACGGAGTGTTTTTCGAAGATGTTCCGACGAAAGAAGAGAAAAGAAAAGCAAAACCGAAGCGTTCTTGCTCTGCTATTTTATTTTTCTTTGGGTGTACAGGTTAACAAGTACAATATGGGGTTTCATGGCAATGGGCGTAAGGGGGGCTCTTCCAATTTTATTTGGGTCTGGCATGGTGGATATTTTGTCTATCACAGTTTTCAGCGGCCAGCTAGAAGATACACATTCGATGATCTTGCTGCAGTTTAGTAATCTCAATGCCCTGAATGTCATTATGGTTCAGATTTGTCTGGTCTTTGGTTACCCGAAATCTTGAAGATGCGTCTATTTCGTAATCTTCCGAGGGAAGGTATTCCACTCCCAGCCTCAAACTCCCTGCTCATTCATTCAATAAGAGCATTCCTGCATACAGGCTACCATTCATCGGTCATTGATGGAACGTGTCCTACCCCGTCTTTTTAAGCATATGCCAGTGTGTTATCATCCCTCATATAGCCAGCCACGCCCAGCGCTGCCTCGCCACCAGAGACGGAAGGTCCCCGAACAAATATCTGCAGTTTCATCATGTGGTCAGCAAGCCGTTCTCCATTTCGTCCGATCTCAAGTCTGATATAAGGTCAAAGGGACAAATGTTCAAAGCTTACCTCTCCCTTACTGATACCATCAGTAGTCTTGTACTCTCCCATATCCTTGAAAAACACCTCCGTGCTGCTCAACGGCGGCCCAAAGTGCGAGCACTTATCCTCAAACACTCTATAATCATAAAACAGCGTCTGCGCCACTGCGCCAGCCACCTTGGCAGCCGACAGCGCATAGATGATGCGCGCACCAGTGTACGCCCTAAGATCCGACAACATCTGCGACGACAAGCGAGGCGTATCGGAGCCCACACACTCAGCGGTCAGGATCAAGCGAAGCTTGCCGGGCTTGGTGCCAATGGAAGGACGAAGGCTATCGTAGTAGGACGAGAGGAACGAGGCGGTGGGCATGACGCCGTACTGGGTCAGGTGGCGGGTCTGTAGCCAATGAAGGTTGCGGGCGATGAGCGAAGAGAAGTTGCTGGCGGTTTCCTGGTGCGTTTTGACGAGGGCGGCTGGCGTGGCGACGAGGATGGTAGGGGAGATGCCACGGGTCGCGGCGGCGAGGTCGTAGGCTTGGGTTCCGACAGAGTTTAGCGCGACAGAGGCGTTGGAGAAAAGCGCGGCGAGGGTCAGGACGAGAGTGTGGCTGTTGGCGAGAGAGTCGGCGGGGAGGAAGAGATCGGATGGCCCCATCTTCTGGGAGGTCGGGATGGCAAAAAGCTGGGAAGCGATGGCGGAGGCGAAGTTACCGGCTGTGAAGGTAACCATTTCCGATGGGATACCGGACTTGAACTGCCAGAAGAGGATGACATCACTGGGCTCTTGTTGACCTTCAAGAGGGGGGAGCTCGCGGCCAGCAGCGGCTGGGCTGTCGCCGATAATCTCATGCCAGGTAGAAACATTGACGCTGCTCCCGGTGCCTTCAGGGACTTCGTTCCAGTCCATGTGTCTGCTGCCTTCATCGACGATCCAAATCAGCTGGCGGAGGTTGGGGTAGTGTTTAGCAACAAGGTCAAAAGGGAAAGAACCAGGTGCAGTGATAACTGTGTCAGCACCAGACCGGCGCAACATTGAGATAACATCTTCTTCCGGTTGCTCGAAGGGAAGAATGACGGCCGTTAAGTTGTAGAAGGCGCATGCAAAAAGGGCCGCAAGTAGCTCGACAGAGTTGGGAATGTAGATGGCCACACGACTGCCGCCCTGCTCCTTGATGTGTCCTCCAATCAAGTTGATCTGGCGCGTGATGTCGTCCAACGAGTGCTCCGTAACATGTTCGGTACCGAAAACGCTGAGGATCTTGCCCTTTGCGCCCTTGTTCGGGCCGTCCTCCTGGACACCGGCCACAGCTTGCCTCCAGATATCGCGAAGATCACCATCGCGTCCTCTTGCCCAGCGCGAGGCACCGGGATCCTTGACGTTCAGACCGGTCTGAAGCGGCATGCCATGGGGGGCAGACTGGCCGCGGTATACGGGAGACTGGCCGGGCTGTCGAACGGGGGACCCTTGAGACTGTCGGACAAGGAGCATGGGATGCGTATCGGGGTCCTTTCGTGTAGAGATCTGGTAGGTGAGGAAGCCGATGAAGGCAGTGACGATGATGGTGCTATAAATGTTCCATTGCGCAAAGAAATCTGTGATGCCCTCGTCGAGTGACAACAACAGATTGTCGAAGGCGCCCATGGTGACCGACGGCGCAGCGTGGGCGCAGCGTTGGAAAGCGTTCGGGTTTTGTCGCGGGTCAAGTTGTAGGTTCAATAGGTAGCGTTGGGTTGGGGTCGGGTAGAGCTCTTTGAAGCTGTCTGTTGTCGGGTATCGCGTGTTATGTCAGGTTGGCCCTGGACCGGCAGGGGAGCAGATGCGGGACCGTTCAGGATGACAGGTCAAGGCAAGATGGAGCTCTTATGAGGAAGATGGATCTGGTGGGGTCCGAGGCCTCTTGGACTGACTCAGGACTCCGTGTTCACAGCGGAGAGAATGGAGAGAATCGATGGAGACGGGGAGATGGATCCATACAAAAGACTCCAGCACAACGGACGCAGCCTGAAATGCGGGACACAGCGGGGTTCACCCACGGAGGCCTGATCGGGTCCTGCCGTTCGTCGTGTAAGTCGCCCAGCTAGGATGTTTAGACTTGCGGGCGCGGGGATCCAATTGACATCAAGGAAAACAGACCACCAACTTCAACAGCCCAACATGCCAAATATGTACCGTAAATGTAGTGTATGTGGCGGCCACTTGGGCTGTCCAGAGTTGAGGTGAGAGGAGACACCGAAGCACCGCTTGTGGCACTTGCCCCGGCTCGGTTAACCCGATCGAAGCAGCTCCTTGGCCAATCACCTGCCCGGATTTGATCACAAACCATCAGAGCATCCAACCCGTTCGTTTAACATAGCGGGACCGCGGGCAACCTCCAAACTGCGACGTCGACGAGAACGTAAGCTCTACGAAAAGCTCCAACCTCTCGAACGAGTAATCGCAAGTCGCCAATCGGGCCTCATCGCCACCGTCCGCGTATCAAGCAGCCATGGCGACCAAGCTAACTCCCTTCCTCATGCGGACGGCCGTCCGGGCGGCGACCCGGCTGTCCTCCAAGCCTTCGACAGTTGCGCCCGTCTCCCGCGCATGCCTCTCCATTTCGGCGCGGAGGCCCAGCGACACCCTCATGGTGGTATGTTTTGTTTTGCTTCTACAAAGCCGTCAGAAGCTCCTCAGCGTGCTGACAGTCTGCCTTCACCATTGTCCAGCACCGCAACACCCCCGACAACAACCCCGACATCCCCTTCAAGTTCTCGGCAGACAATGAAAAGGTCATCGAGGAGATTATCAAGCGCTACCCGCCGCAGTACAAGAAGGCGGCCGTCATGCCCCTGCTCGATCTTGGCCAGCGCCAGCACGGTTTCTGCAGCATCAGCGTCATGAATGAGGTGGCCCGTCTGCTTGAGATGCCGCCCATGCGCGTCTACGAGGTCGCCTCTTTTTACACCATGTACAACCGCACCCCGGTTGGCAAGTTCCACGTTCAGGCTTGCACTACCGTATGTTTTTCCCCTTGCACTTGGGTTTCTGTCACCTCTTTTTCGGCACATGTGTTTTCCCTTCAGCTTCGGCTGTAGCTGACTCTCTTTTTTTCCCTTCCTCAGACTCCCTGCCAACTAGGCGGCTGCGGCTCCGACGTGATCGTCAAGGCTATCAAGGAGCATCTTGGCATCAAGCAAGGCGAGACCACTCCTGACGGCCTTTTCACTTTTATCGAGGTTGAGTGCCTGGGCGCGTGTGCCAATGCGCCCATGGTCCAGATCAACGATGACTACTTCGAAGATTTGACCCCGGAAACCATCAAGCAGGTGTTGTCGGCGCTCAAGGAGAGCGTCACGGATGTGTCCAAGGCGCCTCAGCCGGGCCCACAGAGCGGGAGACAGACGTGTGAGAACGCCGCCGGCCTAACAAGTTTGACGAGCGAGCCATACGGACCGGAGGTCACGCGATCGGATCTTTAAATCCAGGGGCTTAATACTGGGTTAAGTGAGCCGTTATGGGGCAGAGGTGGAATTACGATTGACAGAAACTGTCACATAGACAGGACATGGACCAACAGGACAGTGATGACAGCAAATGCATTAGACCAGAGATGTATTAATTTCCCTCAGGTTATACAGTACAATATCTGTATTTGTTTGCTATGGTTTTCTTGGGGATGAGCTAAAGATGACCTGAACTAACCGAAAGGTACAAGCTGATTACAAAGGCCTTGATGTCCTGGGTTACATAATGTCCACTCCTTCCACTTGTAGTTGATCCTATCCTATCAAAGTTGAACCTTAGGTGTTGCTCACGGAAGACAACATCAATGGTAAGCCAATTCCTTTCTACGCTTAAAAGTCATCACATCTCGCTTTCTAACAACCTCATATAGTAACTTTGAAGCCCATAAACACTCGTTCCCCCGGATAATTCTGCGGGGCATTGATATCAATTCATGTGGTAGATCCTCATGGCGCAAAACACAAATCGCATCAGAGCAACCGCAAAATCCAGCCATCTCCCAGTCTGTTGTTCTCAGAATTCAAACCACCCCAGATCAAAATACCGTTCTCCTCAAGCTCCCCCATGGCTGAACTAGCAATCCAGCCTCTTGGGCCAGGACCGCCAACCGAGTCAATGTCTTCAGCATCATGTGGGATAGTATCGATCTTCGTCCTGCAGCACCCAAATCGTTAGCAATCATGGTCAACGAGCGATCCGACAGGACCAAAAACTTACCATTTACCCTCCCGGCTCTTCCTTCCAACGACAGACTTCACCTTATCCCCGACGCTTGCCAGACTCATGCCTTGTGCGGGAACTTGGTAGACCCAGACATCGTCCCAGAACTTTCCTGCAGCGTCATGTCCCTTGCCACTACCCTCTCTCTCTCCAAGGATAAGAACAAGATACTCGCGGCCACCACCGACAGTGATCGCCTCGAAACCGGCAACACTTCTCGCCCCCGGCCACTGCTCCTCTTCGGGGTCTTGACTGCTGAGAACTGTAGGAACGGGCTCCGGATCCGGTTCCTTGTATCCCACGTCCTCCTTACCCTGCAACAGACTCTTCCATCCATCTTTAACCGAGATGCTGGCGTCTCCTTTGCTGAAATGATCGTCAAACTCTTCGAGTACGAGCTCCAAATAATCCAGCTGTCCGCCCTCCTGCGTCTCGCCGTTGAACCCGCCAAAGCGGTACAGTCTGCTTCTGCTCAGCGCCAGCGCGGCACCCCCGCGAGCCGGACCAGGGGCGTTAGGCAGTTGCTGCCAGACGCGGGAGTGGATGTCGAAGGCCCAAACGTCCGAGGTTCTCTTCCCATCGGCTAGACAACCGCCGTGGATGATGAAGGTGCCGTAGCCGTCCACATCGGCGTCAACGGCGTGCTCGGCGATCTTTCCAACAATGGGGCGCTGCGGGGTACCGACTTCGTCCACGTTGCCGTCGCCGGCAGCCCAGTCACGAATGGTGTTCGCGCGCTTGATGAGGCCTTCGCCAATGTCACCAGCAACATTATGACTGGTGGAAGAACTAGTATCCGGCCGGCTGTTGCTCTTTTTGGTGGGCGATGCCTTGTTGAAGTTACGGGGCTTGTCGGTTGCCACGGCCGAATGGTAGCTGCGCGGCTCTGGGACAAAGGGGGGGTTTTCGCTGACGGGGGAGACGGGGTCAAGGTAGGACCAGAAGTGAGTACGTGTGTCGAAGACCCAGACACGACCGGCTTCGTCGAGGGGAGTCATGTCAGGACCGCCACGTCCGCCGAAGAGGAAGATGCGGTGGCCGATGACGGCTGTGGCGTGACCGACACGCGGAGCAGGAGTCTGGTTCGACTCGTTGGTTTCGGAGACCTTGTTCTTCTCGTCCGAGGCATCCGTGTTCTTTGGTGACTTCGCTTTGATGGCATAGTAATCCGCCGGAGCACTACTGGACGGAAGGACAATGGCGTGCATGTCGTTGTCTGTGGGCTGACGGGCATTCTCGGCCTCGCCGCCAAAGACGTAGGCCGTCCCGGCGACAATGTCGACGGAATGGGAAGATCTGGGAAGGGCGGGGAGTTTGATCTTCTCCCAACTGCCCCTCATGTGAGCTCCGTGATCATCGGCATGGTGTCTGGAAGTCAAAGTGGTCGATATCGACGAGAGGATGTCGGTCGTGCGCCGCTTTATGTCTTCGAGCGTTTCCATGGCTACGATTTGTGACTGAAGTGTTGATTTGCGTGTGAATTTGATTATCCAGGGTTACTTGTAGCCTGGGCTTCTTCTGTTTGAGCGTGTAAGTGCAAGGTTATCAGCTTATTGGTCAGGGGCATTGACGTCATAAGCCGTACTTATCTGGGGTCCAGAAACCGATTGTTCGATATTCTTTTTTTCTGAAAGGAACCTCCTTGTGTTGAGTACAGGGTGGGTCGAAGAGCAAAAGAAGGTCAGGGCAGTGTAAAGGTGACTATGGTTAGGATTGGAAGTCCCGGGCAAGTGGACGAGGACGCAGTGACAGAGACCCGGGGGGGACCCAGGCTTAATCCAAGCTGACTGCTCTGGGTTTCCTGCGTGACTTCCATTCCATGCAGCAAAGGCGGGGTAGAGGCAGAAGGAGCCGTGTTGTCTCCCAATTCGGAAGTCCTAGTATGATCGGCTGCTTCCATTCTGGAATTCAGATGATGAACAAGTCGAGCTTTGAAATGACAATATAACTAACCAAGTGATGTCATAAATATCAGTCAATATGAGCCAGTGTACTGAAAACTTAAAAAAAAAAAAAAACACCAAACAACCTGAAATGAACGGATATCGAAACCCCAAATCCCCACTAACGCTTATCAAAAGTCCCCCGAAAACGCCATCTCCATGTACACCACTTTACCAAAAACACCGTGCTATTCTCATCATCCAAGCCAGTTCTCTCATACCAAGGTAAACGCCCCGCTGACGCCCTCAAACTCCTGGACCTTGCCCCCAAACAAGCTCTTGCTATCGCCGTAATACTTGAGACGATACACTCCCGGCCCGAGCTCTTTATCCCACCACTCATCGGTCTCTTCCCCTGTTTCCCACGTAATCTCCACCTCACTCGTTCCCATCACACTGTTCTTCCTCTTCCAGCTGTAGATCAAGCTCCAATCCTCGTCGTTTCTCACGGTCCGCCACTCAGACTTTTGAGGGTTCACCTGGTCGACAAACAACTTCTCTACTGCCGCGTACGTTCCCTCTAACCTGAGGTTGTTTCTGGGATTGGCACCAACAAACACCGCCCGGATCGCGTCTCCCCTATGGTATCCTCGCGCCGAGTCAACATCAACCAGAACGTCTCCAAAGCCTTTGAAGAGTGGTGGCGCGTCACGGACCACCGCCGGGATGAAAGACAATGATCGGTTCGTGTTGTCAGGCGGGAACGACTTTCCATCGTGGACCGGCGGGCTGGTAGAATTGGAAGAAAGGTAAGGGAGGAATGATAGAGTCACGTTAATGTAAGCATTGAGCGTATCGGGTCCGTAGAGTGTCGATGCTCCTTCGTACCGCTGAATCTGGTACTCCTCTTCGGTGGTGATATAGTGCGTGTAAGTGTTTGCGGGTCCGCCCAAGACGACAATGGGATGGCTCGAAGGTCCACCAGTGTAGCCGTAGGTCTGTCCCATGTCTTGATCGAGAATCCTCTTGAAGCTTTGGCCTACGGCCTCTTTCCACCGACGACCAGCCATGGTGGTGGCTTCGCCTGGGCTGACGACGATGGCAAATTGTCCGACACGGAAGGCCTGTACATCAACAATGTTGGGACTCCAATCGTAAGGCCTAAGAATCTCGCCTACATCCAAGAGGATAGGCTTGGGATGTTGGCAAGCCTTCTGTTCGTCGCCTGGTGCCTTGATGAAATACCGAACAACTTTCCAGATAGGCATTGTCGTGTTCTCGTTGCCGTTGTGCTGAGTAAAGTCGAATGCCCCTGGCCCATCAGTCGTTCCTGCAGCAAAGGAATACCCCAATGCCGCTGGGCAGGTGCGGGCGGGTTTGCCATCAGGCCGAATGAATGTGAAATTGGACATGTCATGGAATGTGTGAAAGACCTTAACCCATGGGCCTCGGACCGGTGATGGATTGTTGATAAGGTGGTCATATAACTGCTTTGCTGGTTCGAATTGGCGTCTTCCGATCTCGAAGCAGGAGCTGGCGCCATCATCGTGAACCTTGAAGGCCGGGCCTCTGCCATGGCAAGCCTGGGATTTGCCGTTGCTGCAAGTGCTGTTCTTGAAGCTGCATTGTGACCCAGATTCATCCTCGCACCAAGCCCCAAGCACATTGGGACTGACGTCGCCCATGTTAGCCTGGGAGAAGCCGGCCACAAAATCCTCGGCTGCTGACGAGTCTCCACGAACGCTCTTTTCAAAGAGCCAAGCTGCAACTCCCTTGTTGTCTCCAGTCACTACAGTGTTGTTGCCAAGCATAGAGGTTCCGTGAACAGGAAACCACGTAAGAACACCGATATTCTTTCCATCCGACGCTCGCTGGAATTTCAGCATGGTAAGGTCCTTCTCCACCGAGCCATCCTCTTCCTCGCTCTTGAAGTATTTCATGCGTTCGGCTTCAGGATTTGCGAGGTAAGAGAATAAGCTGCGATTGATGTTTGCTCCGAAAACTTTGGTTGTGCCTGCGCTGAGGTATCCTGGTTGTAAGCTCTCGTGCGCCTTTCGAATGGACAAGACCGCGCCGTCGACAATGGCTTGGTATCCCTGGCGATCGAAACCTTTGCTCGTGATCTGTGGTAATAGATAGTTCAACCACCCTCCGGGTCCGGCGTGGGAATGGGTGCCTGTAAGGGCGATGTTGTGGTGGCCATAAAAGGCATATTCGGGACCTAGCTCTTTCAAGGCTTTGATGATACCATATCGGACCGCAGTATCGCCGGACTGCGTATCGAGAACCAGGTAAACGAATCGATCTTGAGGACGCTCGAGACTCCCGACAATAAAGGCTCGCGAGTAAAGTCGTTGACGAAGACCGGTACCCAGCTGTTTTGGATCGGCGTAGCCCATGAGGTTGATCTCAACCACTGGACCGGTAATGTCACCTTTGCCAACACCAAGTAGGTATTGGGTGTCCGTAGCGCATGTTGACACATTGGTTCCTGGATTGGAAATATCTGAGCGCCAATAGTCCCATGCTAAGCTATCGAACTGCGCAGCGACCAGGAACAAGGCAACAGCGACAGAGATAACTATCAAGACGTTTCCTATGAACAGGGATGCTGCTCTGGATGTAGGACACCGTGGAGTTCTGTGTGAGTCTGGATTTTCGGCGAATCGAACTCGAAGAGGGACTTTGCTTGTATCGACTTTCCGGTCCCTTTCGAATGTCTGTGCCTTTTCCTGATCAACAGCTAGAGGTTCGAACTGAAGATCACCAACTTGGGGTGCCATCGCTCGGTGGATTACTCGATAACAAAGCCGTGACTTTCGGATGTAAATATCATCAGCAAAAAGAGTAGACAAAGCAGACGATGTTCCGCGTTCGACTTTTCTTCTCCGGAGTGATGAACATGCTACACACGCTTATATAGTCAGGAAACAATCAAAGACAGGCACAAGCAGCCCTCTGGATAGCCCGGGATGATTAACAGTAAACAATGCCTGCCGAGTGACCGGCCAACAAGGTTGCTTGGCGCCAAAGCAGCTGTGTCGTCATAGGACCCACTAGCGGAGCTAAAGAGCGGATACCACACCGTGCCATTAACGAGAACAGCGCTCTAAGGCCAGGGAAGCTCACCGCCAAGCACCGTTGATCAGGGGGTCTTGCGCACAGTGGTCCTGCCGGCCTGTCGCTGTTCAGCCCGACTCCGGGTCGAGGTGGGGAACGATTTTTCAGTCGTGTTATCGCGACTGCCACCTTCGCGCTATCGCATCGCATCTCAAACATCGTAGGTACCTCTATCGCACATTACAACTAAGCCATCAGTCACATCCAACAGATTTCACACCGTACCCAAGACGACCAACTACTACGTACGGAACCCAATTGAACAAGGCTCTGTGTCCGACTAGCACAGCCAAGGAGGCAAACCTAGAAAGGACAGCGCATCGAAATCAGCACCACACTCATCTCCCAAAAGATAGCGACAAGTCGCATCACAAAACCGCCAAAATGCCACTAATAACCACAATCCACGAGTCCCTCCCATGTACGTCCAACCGTACTGTACAACCCTCCAATGGATCGTCTCCTGCTCCTTCACCGCACCCTCACCCACCCCCAATCAACTCAACTACTAACCTTTCCTCCATCACAGACATTGACCCGGAACCCACCCCCTCCGAACGCTCCGCCGCCGAAGCCCTCATAGCCGCCGAACGCTCTCTCCATCCCGACGACCCCTTTCACGCCCTCCTCCCCCCTCCACTCACGCCCTCTTCCCATATCACCCCCCTCCTCGAATCCGAATTCGACCGCATCGCCTCCCACGTCCAAGCCAACCCCGACGGTACACAAGCCCCGCCACCAAAACTCTCTGCCCTCGACCTAGCCCGCTACTCCTCCCTCCCCGAGATCCCCTCCGCCTCTGAACTTGCAGGAATGGACAGCTCCGAAGCCACCACCCTTCTTTCTTCTTTACTTGGAAAAGCCTACACGGACCACGCCTACGTTGCGCAGCGGCGCGCGCACCTAGCTTTGCTGGACGCGTACGGCAAGAACGCGTGGCTGATTGGCAACTGGCAGCTAGAGGGGGAGCTGAAGGCTATAGAAAAGGAATTGGTGAAGGCGAAGAGGGAGATTGATCTGGTAACGCTGCAGCGGAAACAGGCGCAGGACGAGGTTGGACCGGAGATTTTGGGACTGGAGGATACGTGGAAGAAGGGCGTGGGTAGGGTGTTGGAGACGGAAGCGGCTGTGGAGGGGTTGAGAAGGCAGGTTTTGGAGGTTAGGAGGGGGATGGAGTAGGGGGTGGCAATTCAAGATGGAGAGGAGATTTTGTGGCTTTGGTTTTGTCCTGGGTTTACAGGCAAGGTACGAAGTGTTTGGCTGTATAGACACATTGGGGAAAGAAAGGCTCGGTGAAGCATCAATCTGCATCAGAGGAGGGCGTGTCACGATAGGCGACGAATGAGCTCGACAAGGACCATGGAATGAACTGCTAGGTACCTAATTTGCAAAGAATCCCCCGGGGGATAGACAATGGATGAGAGGGGAGGTAACACCAAAACAACACAATAAGCACAATGAAACTCGGTAATAGAGACCCAGATGGTATCGAGCAGGTGGAAGACCAGTCTGCAGCCTGCGTTTCGCGCTTCTGGGAACAAATGGGCGACAATGAATGATATCAGTATATGTTGTACTAGAACCTAGTAGACGCCTTTCTTAACCAGCAATAAAGCTAACATCGACAACAACTACTAACTACTTCTGTGTGCAAGTCTTGAACCCCAAACCCAGGCCAAAGAACGGACCTTACCCAACAGTGATGAAGAAAGCCATTTTAGTCTATAACAATTCAATTTGCACTCTGGTCTCCTCAAGACACCTGCAAAGGATCCACCTCTTCCGCTTCAACGTACCTAGTCCTCCGCAGGATGCTTTCAATCGGACCAAGCAACCTTTGAAAAGCATTCTTGCCAAGCCTGGCAACCTTGACCTCGGTTTGGCTGATGACGCTGGCCGCGCGAGGGGCATCATTCAGCAGCGCAAGCTCACCGAAGAAATCGCCCTTCTTGTAGTTCTTAACTGGAGAATCGTTTCCTCGCTTGAACGCTGCCGCCTCGCCAGCCTCTAACAGGAAGAAGGAGTGGCCGGGGTCACCCTCAAGAATGATCTCATGGCCAGCCGGGTACTTCTGGCTCTCGAGAGCATCCGCAATCTTGGACCGCTCATATGGCGTAAGGGTCTTGAGGATGGGCACTTCTTCGAGAAAGCTCTCGTACATCCGACGACGAGAAAAGGTCGATTCCATGAGAATTCGTCGGAAGGTGACACGATCAAGCGCCCATAGTGTGCACTGGGGCTCAGCAGAGACGACAGTGGCAGCACGGGGTGCGTTGTACATGAGGGCAAGCTCGCCAAAAGAGCCACCCTCCGCTATCTCGCCAACCTTCTGTCCCATGCCGTCTGGGCCGGGTTGAAGAGCGCCGGTGCTGTTGACATAAACCTCGAATCTTCCCTTTTCTACCACATAGAAATAATCACCGGCATCGCCTTGAGTGATCACCTGCCGAAAAGCGTTAGAAAAACCGTCTTTCTCAAAACAGAGATTTGCAGTGGCTTCAGGTACTAACCTTGATTCCTTTGGCAGGCACCGGCTTCTCTACCAAAGCACCCAATACTTGGGCACTCTGGTCGTCTTCAAGGTGGTTGAAAAGAAAGTTGCCGCTGATGGCTTTCTTCAAACGCTCAAGTTGCTCTGCTGTCTTCGGATGAACAGGAGGTGACCAGTTGTCGGAGTTATCCGTGACTGGTTTCAGGGATTCTGCCGAAACGGAGGTCCGGCGACCCAAGTTGTAGTGAGCAGGGAAGTCATCAGGTTGGCGCCGGACGGGCATGTCTGACGGAGCATCGCCACCAAAGCCGTTCCAGAAAGAGGGCGCAGTGTTGTTCTTGACGCCGAAATGGGGAGTTGTAGGCGAAGTAATAGTATCATTCTCGTCTTCCTCAACCAGTCTATGCATTGGCCCAGATTCAGATCTGCCTGAACTGCCAAACGGGTTTGCGTTCCCAAAAGGGCTGGTGAAACCTGTGCTCGACATTGTGGTGACGTTGATCCCAACAGATGAATTTTGTGAGGTGTGTCGAGCTAAATTGAGAGCTGTTGCCTTATATCAGACAAATGTTCGAATCAAATATGCAGATGCTTGTAGCTTGGACCAAACACTACCTAGTGAAACTGAGGAAAGGGATCCAGAAATGTTTTGTCTCCGAACTTTATTTTATAATTCGCGAGCAAAAGTCGGATGGAGATCGGAAGGTCGCAAGGGACCAGAGCGTCTGTAATTTAACACGGGGAGTTGGAAGGTAGATCTTTGGCGCCTGGAAGCACTTTACAAAATTAGCACCTGATTACCGAAAGAACAAGCATGGATGATCACCCGCATAGATCTTGACATCGGATCAGAGTGGAATTGCCGAACGGGAAATTGCGAAATTGGCAGAATGGCATGACGCAGAGAAGAGATCGGTCTTGGGATGACAGTAATCCACACTCCATGTGATCTGTTTGACTACGAATCTATGCGACCTAGCGCACGGGTACAAGATGTTCGATTGCACAACGAGGTTGATCGAGCAAACAAGGTGAGACATGGCTGAAGAGATTTAGGGAACTTACCTAGGATTCACCAGATGTAGGATAGGTGGTATGGAGAGGTTGAGGTCGCAAGCAATCTCGCGGACAACAGTCTTGCGGTGGTTGCGAACGCCGGAGATGGATGGATAGGTTTCAGAGGATCGCGGGCGGGATGATGAAGGACGAGCGGGATTGCCGAATGGGCGATGGCAAGGGAGCAAAGGCTGGGATGCTTTGACCAGCTCGTAGCCCGAGATGCTTTATACGTGGCTGCCCGGGAAAGCAGAACAGAAAGAGGCTGTAGTGTGGACAAGGAATAAAGGCTAAGACGGTTCGGCAAACACCGCAGCACGAGGGTAGGTTTCTTCGTTGCGACCGAATTCTGGTGTCGCGAGGGCAATTGCGGTTGCGGTTGCGATCTCACTTGCAGACGAGTTGCCTTGTAGCGACGCAAGAAAGAAGCAAGGCAGCTGTGGCGAGGCGTGTTGACCGAACGAAGCAGGCGGCGGGGAGCTGTGTGGGTGGAGGTGGAAATGCCTGATGGAAGGGGGAATGGCAATAGTAACAACAGAGGACTGGAGAGCTGAGCACGACCACGGCAAATGAGACATGGGAGTCTCCGGTTATTACTGTCTTTGTTATAACGGCGAGAGTAGAAGCGCGGGAAACACAGAGAGCAGTAAAGCTGGCATGAGGGGAGTGATGTGGAGGAGGTGAAGCTTTAGGTTTTGGCGGGCAGGTGGGGTGGGTGATGCCGTTTGCGCTCGTTATCTGGGTTTTGGGTCGTGAAGGTGCTGGACGGTCGACCGTTGCCGTGCTGGCGTGCAGGGTTCTCTGCGATTTCCCTTCCCGGCCATTGCCTCAGCTTGGCCGTTAAGGTAGGTAAGTAGAAGTACCTAGGACCGTGTCACAGACGGGAAGGCTTCCAGAACCACCTCATGGAATTGGCTTTGGATTTAGCAGCCGGCGCTGAATCTTCAACTCCTCATCTTTTCACGCGTTGATGTTCGTCAGCCATCATTCTACCAACATCTTTCGAAGCCACGTCAGTGATTGACTATCAACAGACAACTGGAACAATGAAGGCAATGCCCTCCTCCGTTCCCTGCTGGGGGCAAGACCCACCTCTCTTGTGCTCCTTGTTGCTTCTCCACAAGTTCCGTCAAGCACGATCACAGACTCAAATCTGTCGAATCCTTCTAGAAAACACAAGCACGAGCCTTCATGCGACTTCCCCCCCTCTTCTTCCTTGCTTCTTTTTGTGTCCCTGCGTGGCCTGTCCAATTGCCTGTCTTGCGTGTGCCAGCTCTCTTTCTCTGGTGCCAGCTTGCCCGCATTGCCTGCCATTCAGATGTTCTGTCGCCGGGGTTACACATGTGGTCTAGAGTCTGGTTGGCTGTAACCTCAATACCTCATTGACCCATCCGCCCCCGTCGGGTGTCTGACGTGTGAGTCTGATGCTGTCCTTCTTCTTCGGCTTCTCTTGCAGATCTCGGCAGCCATTTCGTAACGTTTTGCGAGCCAAACTCGACTAGAGAAGCCAGAAACAGCTTCTTTTTTGCGGGTGGCAACCATCCCCGAAGACTTGGCGTTATCTATCAGCTTTACGCAGTACCCCATGGATGATCTCGATGCTGTTCGGCAGCCGTTTTGTCTCAACGCTTCGTTGTACACATGCACAAGGCTTCACGCACACGACGGCGAAGTCTTTCGCGTCGTGGTGCTGAAAGTTGCTTGTGTAGGGTTCTAACGCTTTTCCTGTCAAACTTGCACGAACAATTGTTACTATCACTTGCGCGTGAACGCTGCTGGTTGCATATGTAGTGTCCGGTTGACTGGTCCCCGACCCCATCAGATCAAGTGGAGCGGATGAGACCTGGAACATGTTGCAATCAAGATACTGATATGCAAAAGGCCGAGATACCACCCGGGCGCCGAACGGTAAACACAAGACACACAGCTGATATATCACTCTTGTACCAGATAGTGAGACTGATCTGAAGTCGCAGAACAGAAACGGTGTGCAAAAAAGTGAAATAAAGCGAGAGGTTGGTGGCACATATAGAGATTGGCAGCTCACTCTGTGCCCGATTCTGGAGGTTGTTGTTGTGTTCTATGTAAAGAAGCACCTCTTTAGATGACTGTTGACGTGCATTCGCGGGGCAGCGAAGAATGGCCCGTGCGTGTGCTGCCTTCAGCGGTTCCCTCAGTTGAGCGGCCTGGACAAGCTCTCGCTCACGTGAGACATCTCGTGAGAGTGCTCAGATGATGATATCCGAGTGTGAAGTCGGACGTCGGACAACCAAACCCTGAAATGGAAACTCACAGCCTCCCTGCCAAGAGGAAGGCACGGACCATTTCGAATTGTTGCAACGCCCCAGAAGGCCGAAGGGTCCGGGTCCGCGTTCCACTGCCCACTCAGGTCTCGAGCCATTGCAGCGATGGAGTGCAGTGGACTTGCCCGTCCGTCCTGTCCTTGTAGCGCCCGACGACTCAAACTGTTCGTTGACAATTCCATTGCCCACCTTTAGACTCTGTCCCTGTGCGTGTGTTCCTGGCGCCGCCGTTCCATCAACTTTACAAAACGGCTTGAATTCCACTTGCATCATCACAAGCGCCCTTCTTCTGGTTTTCGAATCTTTCCAACCTTTTAGCGACGACAATAGTCGCTGGAATAATCCGATAACATGGCACCTCGCCGTCGCCGTGGCGGCCGCGATGGCTCCCAGGACGGCAACTCATCAGAGACAGATGCTCCCAAGAACCGTCCACCCAACACTGCTTTCCGCCAGCAACGAATGCGCGCCTGGCAATGCGTGCTCACGCCTAAACTTATCGTCTCCATTTTCACCGTCCTCGCCGCCATCTATCTTGGCTTCGGCGCCTACTTGACATATCTCGCCTTCACTGTACTTTCCCCCGGTTCTTTTCTGTGCCCCCTGTCACTTGCTGCAAAAAGTGTCCGACCAGCCGCTGACCATGCCACCCATCTTTTTAGGTTCGAGATATCAGTATCGACTACACAGATTGTCTCAGAGAGGCGCCCAGAGGAAATGGCACAAAGGAACCGATTCCACCCGATAACATCAAGTCGCACTTCACGTCAAAAGCCCTGGCCGACCATCCGAACCTAGACCCCAAAAAGATGTCGACATGGCATGTTGAGGAGAAAAACGTAACCTTTGAATGGAGCGGCGTCACGGCTCCAAGAAACATTTGCGTTATCTCATTCCCTATTCCCGAGGAACTCCCGGCGCCCGTCAGCTTCTACTACCATCTCGACAATTTCTACCAGAACCATCGTCGCTACGTTAACTCGTTCAACGCCAAGCAACTTCTGGGCGATGCCGTATCCAAGGATGTTATCGACGGCTCGACCTGCAAGCCCCTGGATCTCGACCCTCGAGGAAGCGGAAAGGTCATTTACCCGTGCGGCGTGGTGGCCAATTCCATGTTCAACGACACCTTCTCCAACCCCTACAACGAGCAAAACTCTACCGACTACGTCATGTCCAACAAGGCCGGCGACATCAGCTGGGAGGGATTGAAGGACCTATACGGCGAGACGAAGTACTCGCGGGCCGATATCGTGCCCCCACCCAACTGGGAGGCAGCCTGGCCCAACGGCTACACAAACGACACCAAGCTTCCCGACCTCAAGAACTGGGCCGACTTCCAGAACTGGATGATGCTCGCTGCCTCGCCCGACTTTTACAAGCTGGTGCGCAAGAACGAGCACGACGCCATGAAGGCGGGCAACTACCGGATTGAGATTGTCGACAACTTCAACACCACCGTTTACAACGGACACAAGTCCATCGTGCTCACCACTATCACTGCCATGGGCGCCCGCAACATCTGGCCAGGGATAATATTCCTCATTGTTGGCGGCATCTGCCTCATTCTTGACATCTACTTTGTCTTGTCTTTCTTCATATGGAAGCCTCGTAAGCTGGGCGACCCGTCGTACCTGTCGTGGAATCAGCCTTCGGCCGCTCAGGCTGGATCGACGTGAAGCGAACAACCAGAACTCAAACCAAGTAAGACAAAACACACAAAGAACGAAGACATAATTTAGACCCTAATTACGCCGTGAGATGGATGGATGGTTGGATGGATGTGATGAAAATTCTTACCCTGCGGGATGAGGCTAGGACGGGGGCTGGCTGGCTGGTCGAAACATGAATTGGGATAGAAGAGGCGGAAAGGGTGAGGAGAAGGAGACAAGGAGACAGAGAGAGAGAGAGGGCGGCATTCCTGATCCAACACGGAACCGCCCTTTGTGAGCTTTGCCTGTTGTTGTTTCCAAAAACTTCGCTGGGTTTTGAAGTTCAGCACGCGCTTACACAAGTCTTTTTTGGGATATCAATAACTGAACGGCGTCTTGGGTTTGGTATAGTTTCCGTTTTACTACTTAGTACAGATGCATTTCATGGGATGTAAATCTCATTATCTATTCACAATTCTTTAAAAAAAAACCACAAGCTCGACTTCCTTTCGCGTGACGACTTCAATGGAAGTATGATACCAGTCACTATGCCAGATTGTGTGAAACAAGTAGTTTACTACTACCTACTATGTTCATACTACAGTACCAAACAATATATCCCATTTGCACGCCAGACAAATTTGCCCATCGGAAGAAGAAAAGACTGCGCAAAACCAAATCCACGCCGACCTAGGAAAGAGGAAAAAAAGGGAAAGTCTGAAGAAAGCCAAACTTGTACACAGGCCCGATTTTGAAACCCTTTTCCCAAGATATGCAAACTCACAAGGAAAATAAAAGTCGACCGATTAACCTTGTCATATCGCGAGAAGAGCTCAAGCGGACGAAGACCGAGTCTAATCAGTCTACTTTCTCCGCTTCTTGGGTGCCGCGCGTTCCTCCTCGTCGTCGAAGCCGCTCTCTCGGTCGCGCTTCTTAGCCTTCCTCTCCAACTCATCCCAATCCTCGCCCTCCTCTTCCTCGCTGTCTTCCGCCTCATCGCTGGCCTCCTCCGAGGCGTTGGAGTCGTACTCGGAATCCTCTTCGCTAGACTCGGAAGCGTCCTCCAGTTCGCTCTCGTCAATCTCGAAGGCGCTCTCCTCTTCCTCCTCCTCCACTTCATCGTCGTCGCTGTCGTTCTGCAGGAAGCCCCAGCCGCCATCCAAGAAAAATTGGTGGGTATTGGCAGTGACCGTCTTCATGATGACGCCCCAGTTGAGGTTGAGAGGACCCTCTGAGAAGGCAATGTCGGACGAGTCAAGGAACTCCTTGACATCTTCCAAAGACTCGACAGGAATGGTGTTGATGTGGTATGGTGGTCTCGTGAAGTCCTTGAAGACAAACACCAGATCAAAGTTTTTGAGACCAAACTGAACACGTTCCAGATGTGCGACTTCAATGTCCTCGAGGGTGATAACCATAAATGGAGGTTCGGTGATCTGGATGAGACACTCCGTGGTGGGCTGGATGTACACGTTACTGCGGAACGGTACACCGTTGAAACCAAGGTCGCGGAGTGGCATGTCCACCTCAATGCCTTCGTTGCGGCCCGCCTCAGCAATCTTTTCCGCGAACGACTTGAACAGGCGATCGAGCTCTGCGCGGCGCCGGCGTTCCTCCTGTTCAGCCTCGAACTCATCCTCATCACCATAACGATACTTGCGCTTCCGGTTGCCGGTTTCGTCGAACTGGATGTCGGTAGCTTCCCTGTAAAATTGGACATCCTTCGTCTTCTTCTTGTTTCCAATGATAATGGGATCCTTGAGGTGGATGTGGATGATCACGATCAACTCATGCTGACATGGTTGGAAGAAGAGGTGGCGAACGTTGGAAAAGAGGATATCCACGCGTTGCGTTGTGCTGAGAGGTGACTGGTAGCGAATACCGTTCTGGTGAATTTCCACCTTACCAGGCACACGCTTGCCCTCCATGGCCGGCCGGATGAAGACATTATCCAATACGGCGGGCCGACGGTCTGATAGTTGATTAGTATGTTGCGATGACAATTGATCCGGGTAAGCGACTTACTTCTGATTTCAACGAGCTTGTCCTGCTCAACTACATCCTCCATATCCTTCTTCTCCTGCTCCTTCTTGACAGCGTCTCGTTTGAGGTTCGAGATTTGGTTTGCAATGTCAGCATACCTATCGCCATCGGTTGATTTGAAAGTCAAGCTCCTGACGAAGTGCGCAGATGCATCTTCGAAGGGCTGCTCATCCTTCCGACCCACACCCTGGCCAGGAGATAGGAAGTTGATTCTCAAAAATGACCACTCGCCCTCGTCACTCTTGCTTGCGTTCTTGATGGTGTTAATATGGAAGGGTACCGGCCTGCCCATAACAGGCAGTACTATGGTCGCGTTCTTTTGATCAATCACGATGCCCATATCCTTAACCTTGGGCGGGAATTGATTATCCCGCTTGTAAGATTCGAAGCGCTTGAACTTTTTGATTTCGACGCCATTCTCATCAGCGGTAGATTCAGCGTATTTGGCCAAGCCTTCCTTCTGTTTCTTCTGCGCAAGTTCCTTCTGATGCTCGCGACGTCTCTTGTCCGCGTCCTCATCAACCGTTGTATTACGCTCAGAGCGTAGACGAGTGCTGGTGATGTTCTTGGTTGCAACAGCACCCACCCTAGAGTCCCGCTTCTCCTTCTTCGGTGTGGGCTGTGCTTCTTCCTCATCTTTGAAGAAGAACGAGGTGGCATCAACATCGACAGGCGCTTCGCCAGTAAACACCACCGGCTCGGAGCTAGTGACACGGATCGTATCGGAAAGGATCAAGGAATAAACCTTGCTGTTCTTGTCCTGGGGATTGGGGTTCTGGATATCACTGAAGCCGGTGGTCACAACCAGTGTCATGCCATCCTTGAGGGTACGGGTGTTCTTATTGTTGAGAATCAAGGTCGGGTCCTTGTTCTCGAGGCCGATTCCGAAGCCGACGTTCTTAAGAAAGTGCTTCTCAAGATCGGGCTTCTTGGACCGCACAAAGTTGTAGGCCTTGGTGTAAACATCCTTGACAATGGCACCATCCCGGATCTCCTTGAGAATGAGGTTGTGGACAGCAAGTAGGAACTTGTAGTTGCTTTCTTGGGACTTGTTGGGGTCGACCATGAAAGTTCTGGCAATTTGGGAGCAATAGGACTTGTATCTGAGACCCATAGCCGCGATGATAATTCCCGGGTGGAGTATATCATTGTCAGAATCAGCCTGCCACTTCAGGTCAAATTTGCCACCACTTTGGACGATCGGTCCAAGAATCCAGTCCAACTGCTCGGGATCGAGGTCAGCCGGGAGCTTCTGTCGGTTGGGCAGCTCAACGGTCTTCCAAAATTTGTCGTCTTCCAGTTTGTTGAAGACCTTATCGGCTAGCGCGCTGTGCTTGATCTTCTTATCTTGGTCGAGGATATTGGACATTTCGTCGAGGAAGTAAGGGGTCAGGAGGGCGACGCAAGCCTTGGACGAGGTGCGCATGGCGCGAAGCTCGGTTTCATCCTTGACAGAGAAGGCGCCAGCAGACAGAGCCTGGGCAACGTCAACCTCCTCCACATCCTTGCAGTTATCGGCATAGACCTTCTTCCATTCGTCGATAAAGGGGCCCTTGGAGGTGTCCTTGGTGAGGACGCCAACCTTCTTCTATAACGAGGGGAAGTTTGTTAGAACCGCACCGAGATGTTGATGTGCGCCCAGGATGGGATGTAACTTACGCCCGCAGCCTTGATGGCATCCGTAATTTTGATGAAAAGCTTCTCGTTCTCGGCGGCGTCCTTCCCTCGCACGAGGACCTCAACGGGGTATCTGCCGCCCTTCACTTGGTCGAGGTACTTGGCTATTAACGTGTCAGATAGTTTGTCCGCGTTCTTGGGTCGGGAATACCGAGCGAACCTTTCTTTTGGGTGGTGAGAATGTAGATGGTGTCGAGGGTAAACATCATGAGGGTCGTCGGGAACTCGTAACCTAGCAGCCAGAACTTTACGTAGAGCTATCAGCAGCTGTCGGTTGACTGGAATGGCGCGCCAGACGTACAGCCAGCGCACGCCGAGCGGGCTCTCCAGAGGGCATAACTCACATGGATAGCGTTGTTCTTGTGAAACTCGGGGTTCTCGTCGACCTTGCCCATCAGGATGACGATGGAAGAGACGCCACCGAAGAGAGCGTCTCCGGAGCGCTTGTCGGCCTTCCAGGCATTGTAGAAGTGCGAGACGCGCTCCTGGAAGACCTTGCTGTCGATTTTGATGTCTGCCATGATGAGCGACGGCACAGCGGCGCGCGATTGAAGATGGCAGAAACAATCAAATCAGCAGAGGTTTGGGTTTGGGTGAAGTCGTGCTTTCTGCGAGGGGCTGCTTGCTCTGGTACTGACGGTGGCGGCAGACACCCTTCAAGATGACAGGAACAAGGCTACCACACCTCTCCAGCCGGCACTGCTAGTACTCTACAGTGCTTGCCAGCCGGGATCCGGTTCCAGGCCAAAGACACATAAATTCCCGTGTCGCGCGTCGCTCACGTCACGGGCCACAGCTCTTGGCGCCCCTGTCCACTGCCTTCGCGTTAGGATGCCTAAGAGGTTCTGTTCTATGCCTGAGGCAGCTATAATCTGCTGGTTGCCACGGCAATGGTGGTATTCGTGAAAGGTCTATAGTATGGGAATCGTAAAGTATATTGGTGAAGGATGGAAACAGACGAACGTAAATGGTGTCGTCGGGACATCCAACAACTTACGATTCTGTCAACTTCAAGTCGAACTTGTACCTCTTCCTTTTAGGTGCACTGCAGTGAGTGCATGCAGATGAAAGAGAGACAGGCGGGACTGGGCGTAGAATGGAAACAGCGAGAGGGACGGGAGGGGTGAGGCTAAGCATGTACAGGTACGATTAAAGTCTTGGCAAGCGAAGCTCTGGGGTGCCGAACTTCCATTCACCTCAGCTAGTAACCAGAACTCACCTTTCTTTACTTCGACGCAAAGAACCACCTAAGCAGCGATCAACCTAGAGCTGATACCCATACCAATGGATGAATGAACGAGTGATGGCAATCACTGTGCGGAACAACAGCAACACAATCTTCAAGAATAGATTCGACGGGACCAGACACCGCGTACAAGTGCAAAGAGCAATGTCTAAGATGCCGCTCGGAAAATCTGTGATGTTTCACATCTATACTTGATAGAGCGGCATTGCGGAAGATACCGCCATGAGATGGAAGAATTGGTCAACACCTGCCCGACGGGAAACTTATCAGATCACTAATAGAAGACAAGCTGTCATCAGCACAACGTCACAAGAAGGGCTCTTGAGCTGAATCCTTCCCAGTATGAAGCGAGGACGAGCCTCCCACCCACCAAACCATCTAGTAAGTATCCAGACAATTGTTTCGATTCCTTTATCCGGCTGGTGATTCAGTCCTGTCCTCCTTTGGGATCGAAATCGTGAATCGACCGGGGGCCAGTCGGGACCGGCCCATCGGCTGCCGGTACGGCGGCAGTCCCGCACGGACCGGAGCAGTGCCATTTGGCCCCACTTCCCCAGATTCAGAAATGAAGACGGGAATGACAAATTTCAAAAGTTGAAGTTCGCTTCCTCGGTGTCCAACACCACCACTCTTGGTCGATTTTGAGAATTTGTACATAGGAAGAACAGGGTCATAATAATACGTCAAAATGGTTCGTGAACAGCTTAAATCAGTCCAATCCATCGTTTTGAGAGAGTTGAAGACCTCATCGCGCATACCTACCTACGAACTACAGGCTTCTCCAACCTTGAGGACGGTTGAGACTAACACGACATTCGTCTTATAGGTTCACGCCGACGCTTCCAACTTTGCTGCCAACGTCACCAAGGAAGAGGCCTACCAGCAGGTTCTCGACCAAGCTGAAGGTCTGTTCTATGAGCAGAGGAACTGGGTAAGATGAGCAACCAAGCCTGCTTGCACCACCATATCAAGAAGGGACAATGTCTAAAAAGGTAACCTGAATGATTGACATTCGTTAGGTTTGGTAAGTCAACGTTGGCTCCCACATGTACCCCACAGCCCCTTCTCGGGATGGTCCGTCCTGAAAACAACAGATGGAACGTACAAGATCCTCATTAGTGCTAATGTACTCTTTCAAAATAGCAATTTGTCCAACTGCGCTGCCCTTCTCTGGCACGCTTTCAAGTCTCTTCCGGCTCCGAGCAACCAGGTCAACTGGGCTGGTAAGTATTTGTTGTGTTCATCCCAGTTCAAGATCCCATCCAGCTTTTCTTCCTACCTCTGCTTGTTCAACGGGCATGATCTCTCCTTTCAATTTTCATTTTACCTTGCTTCGTCGAAAATTCCTGTCCTTTTTGGACAACATCTCCCTCTCCTCACTGCATCACTACTTTACATATCAAACAATTCTATACGCCTCATCTCACTACACTTGACTCTCTCTTTCTCTCTCCCTTCCCCTCTTTTCCTTTAGCCTCTTCCAAATCCAAATTAACCCGCCCACATAATAGGCTTCTACACCCTCAACCACCCCTCCACCACCGAACTCATTCTAGGCCCTTTTCAAGGTAAAGTAGCCTGCCAAACCATTGCCTTCGGCAGGGGCGTATGCGGTGCCGCAGCCGCCACCAAGACCACTCAGCTCGTTCCCGACGTCGACGCCTTTCCCGGCCACATCGCCTGCGACGGCGACAGCAAGAGCGAGATTGTGGTTCCCATTGTTGTAGATGATAGGGTGGTGGCTATCATCGATGTGGACTGTGCGGAGCTGAACGGGTTCGATGAGGTCGATAAGGTGTGGTTGGAGAAGTTGGCGGATTTGGTGGGCAGGAGCTGTGACTGGCCTTGAATTTTTGAAAGCTTGCGCAATGGGGAGTAAGGGGAGAGTGGTCCATTGGGGGAATGAGGGTGAGAAGATGGACTTGTTGGGATTTAAAGGTGTGGAGGATGAAATGGGGGTTATGGGCTATTGATGCGATATATTAGAGACATAGATGGGGAACAGAAATCAGTTTTCTTCGTGTTGGTGATTGGTCAGACTATTTCGTCTTCTTTCGCAGACAGCCACCTCTCATCTTAAGTAGGTCCTCCGGTCTCGTCTTGATGTTTTTTTAGTCACCAGGTGTGACACAGAAAAACAGATAGTGAAGAACAAAACAACAACCCAAAAAAATAAAAATAAAATAAAATAAAATAAAAATAAAAAAAATTTTAAAATAAAAAATTTAGAAAAGTTAACGGTAGCAGGGCACTATTCAACATTCTAGGTAGGGAGCAAACACGGAAAGTCGTTGGCAGCATACCAAAATCCCGGCTTTGCTCGAAAGAATTTCATGACCTGCAACCGAGTTGAACACGGCGCATCTTCGTGAACCGGGGTCGGGTACGGCACACTGCAGAAAGACCCTAAACTAATGGACCCAGTGTTGGGCTCGATGAGTGCATGATATACATGGTCCGGAGGAGATCCTGTCACCTTGGTCTGTACTGGTCGCTTGAGTATCAAGGGCAAGCACGGCGGCTGCAGGTAGTCCACACTTTGCCAATGATGTTTGTCCTCCCTTTATCAAAGAAGGTACGGACAGGGTAGACTTGTGAAGCACTTCATCCTTGCTGCGAAAGAGGAAGGTGAGTTATATACCTACTATTCTGCCTTTGTTCAGTTGGTAAGCAAAAGGAACTAGGGACAGGTATTTGAAGGTAGAAGTGGACACTCAACAAGCCTCAGTCGATGTAATCAGCAGGTTGGCAGAATATCCCAAAGAAAAGAAAAACTCTGGAACTACTTCCAGATGTAGGTATTTACAATGACATCCAAACTCGAAGACAGTGTCTCAATGGATTATGTTTGTCACGGTCTTGACAAGAAAGTATGGGAGAAGAAAAAAAAAAAAAAAAAGACATTATTCTATACTATACATTGCGCTGCAAAATCCAGCTGGACGACAGCTTTCAACACCTCATCATCAACTTGTAGATCTAGCAAACGCCAAGCTACATCGTTCCTTAACCTAGAGAAGAAGGGTGCCGGTCAAGGTGAAGAACATGACCAATCCGGTGACGACGAAAGGAGCCTTGTCAACGGAACCGATACCGCGGGTGCTTCCGGACTTCTTCTGACTCTCGCCGCTGCTGGAGGGAGAAGCAGTGTTTGTGGGAGATCCAGAACCCGGTTCCGCGTCGCCAGTGCTGGTACCCTGGGCCTGCTGAGAGCCCTCACCATTCAGACCCGGACCAGTTCCAGCGCCGTCCTTCATGAACTTCTTGGCACCGTCGGGGATAGCGGGGAGCTTAGTAGAGTCAACGAGCCAGTTGGAGTCCTTGGTGGGGCAAGCAGCGGCCTTGGTAGTCGAGGTGAAGCCGCCATCACCTGTGGGAACCGGGTACTTGCTCATGGCCTTGGCGAAGTTGGCAAATTCGGGCTTCTCCTCAACCTTGCTTCCAGGGCCAAGCTTGGCAATTCCGTATCCGTTCTCCTCCACTGCATACTCGTACATAAGACCTCCCGAGTAGACACTGGTCATCTTGTCGCTCATAAGAGCCCCAATTTCGGCGAAGTCGCGGGTGTGAGTGATGCAGCCATACTCAGAAAGGCTTATGAAAAGGTCAGATATGCTGATTTGGCAGATTTCTCTGAGAAAATTTAAGACTTACAAAATGGGGATGCCATAACCTGTGAACATCTTCACCTTTTGGTCCCAGCCGGAGTCCACAAAGTTCGAGCTGCACCAGGAATAATCGTTCTGTATCTGATGTCAGGTTCTGAACTGCCCAATCGACCCAAAGGAAAACTTACGAAGGCGAAGAAGTCGCTTCTCTCGTCGTCAGTTCCGCAGTTCATGTAGCTGGCGAGCTGCATGCGGTTCTGAGAGACATCCGCAGCCGAGTATCCAACAGGAATCTTTCTGTAACCACGGTTGCCAATATACTGGCGCATATCACGAGTGGTGGCCTTGACATATTTGGCTGCCAGGGTGCTGTTGACCACATCGTTGATGACCTCGTTGCCCGAGAAGAAGGCAAGGGTGTTGTCGTACTTGGCAAAAGCGTCGATTGTGGCGAAAACGCTCTGGAGGTACTTGTCATTGTAGGACTGATGGGGGTCGTAACGGTTAAGCGAGTAAAGGGGGGTGTTGGCGTCAATAACGACATAAATTCCGGCATCGGCCAAGAGCTTCATGCAATCGTCGTGCTTCTTGGAGTTGTCCACCATGTAGACACGGATGGTGTTGACTCCCAGCTTCTTGAACTCGGCAACGTCGCGCTTGCACATGTCGAGATCGGCCAAGGGATCCGTCATGCCGGACGATCCTCCCGGCTGGTAGTCGATTCCTCTGATATAGAAGCGCTCCTTGCCCTTCCAGAAGGCTATCAACAAAGAAATCAGCATTTCCGCTTGTTGAAAGGTCACATCTTCCAAAGCCAGAACCACTCACCATTTCCGGAGACTGTGACAGCAGGGAGATCAGCCCGCTTGTGTGGTTGCTCCCGTTCGGTTGGCGTCGGGGTCGCTGCACTGAGGCTAGCGATGGACGCCAACGCCGACATCAAGCTGATAGACTTCATTTTGGTGGCGCCAATACTTTCTCGAGTATGTGATGTGTAAGCGAATTTGCTGCAGGCGTTCAGATTTCGCGTCGATAATAATTATCGGGCAGTCTATGTATGAAGAGGGGTGATAGAAGGCCCAGCAAGAAAGTCCAAAATGGGCTTTATGAAGATTGACCAAGTAAACAAAGTGAAACAGAAATAATCAGAGATGGAAGAACTTGATGTATGCGATCAAAACCGAACGAGGGGATAGGGCAAACAGCCTGTGTACAGAACGAGGGGAAACCGTTTCAAGCACGGAAATGTTGTTGAGAGTGGAAGGTGCTCTTGAAGGATAGAGCAACTGGAGTGAAACGAGGAGGGGGGGACGAGCACATAAAAAGCAGCCGTGTCACCACAGACGTCGAATTGCCAGCCGGAGCCGTTCAGATTGTTTGGTAAGCGCATTGTTCATCCCTTCCCGTGTTCCTTTCACAAGATGGACCGGGCAAGTTCCTTGGTGGAGTTGTAGTGGTGATCGGACCGGTGCGGGTACCTGGCATTGGAACATCTTGGACGCATAAAGGCCGATGATTCAAGGTTTGAAGATAGGTAGAGCCCCGGTCATTGATCCAGAGAGGAACAGATTAACGGGATGTTCAAGATTTACCTGCTTCTGTTTCATGTCTTTTCCACTGCAAGCGCAGACCTTGAACTTTAGTGCTGCATCAAGGTCGAAGGCTGTGCAACTCTCTCCTGCAAATCTCTAAAGATCAACATCCACGCATCGAGAAGTGATCGTCTGTCGTGCCTCGGGGTATTTGCAGCCTTTTCCTCTGTCACAGGTATACATAACGAGTTTCATTCGATATGCAAGCCATCCAACGTCGTAGTGGTCTTTGATAATAATAGAACAAGCCGTCGAGGATAACTCGGGCACTCCGACAACATCCTGCAGAATTGTTGTCCGTGGGACATGTGGGACGAGAGTCACCTACCAAAGCGTTAACAATCAGTTCGCAAGGAGGACAGCGATTGCGCGACACACAGCCAGCCGCCTCGATGTGTTCTTGTTCCGTTTGCTGAATCTGCTAGATCTTTACTCCGGAATTCGACTCTCCCCGGTGTCAGGCTTGAACATAGTAAAATGCGGCTGTGAGCTTGGACGACACAAGGCACGAACTGTGATCTAAGCTCCCAAGATGGATCTGGTACCCGAATCACTGGCGCCCTTGGCACAAAAAGCTTGAACTCACGACAATCATGGACAACCTTGAAGCTTTCTGGATGGAAGTGAATGGCTTGTCGACGGAAGAAGACCGGATAGAAATTGATTGGTCCATGCACCAACTACGTCATACCGTTTCAGAAACTCGTGATCTTGGCAGGGTACCCCAAACAATTAAAAAGGGGTAATGAGAAGGGAACGGGAGAAAGGGGGAAAGCAAACTCAGCTGACTACCGATCAACAACACTCCTAAAACGACGTTGCAGTTGAAGACTGATGTACAAATAAGAGCCCGTGAGATCTTCTGAGGTCCCTGAGGAATTAATTTAAGCTTTTCCCCCGTATCCATGGGGTAATAATCAAATCCAATCTTCAGATCCAGGCCGGGGAGCTATCGCATCGCATCGCCAAGCTCAGTCTGGGATCAAAACGAACCTGTCTTGAGCCATGAGAAGCGCATCGACAGGTATACTATACAGTCTGGACGTAGTTCGCCGGGACACTCTTTGTCACTCCTCCCTTTTCGACCTCTGCCCACCCGTCTCCTTGGTCCTCCTTAATCAGAACGAATCTCTCGCCCACAGTCATGCTGTGCTCCGTGTCGCTACCAGCTTGGTAATCGTACAGCGCCTCAACATACTGAAGCTTTTTGGCTCCCCGTCTTGGCGCCACTGCAGGCCCCTTCTTCTTCGTTGATGCCGCGATGGATGAGCCGCTGTTGGAGTAAGTCGATGGTGGCCGGCCCGATTGGCCCGTGTGCTGTGGTACGAGAGCCGTAGGAGTAGTTGGTGGTAGTATCTCGACATATGATGTCGGTACATTGCCTTCCTTGTAGCCAGCCCGCACCCTTGTCCACCCGCTTCCCGCTAATAAGTGTGTGAGCTACTCGTATCAATTATGCCAAGGGCAACGGTACTTACTATCTGGTTCCAAGACCACAAGTTCTCTTCCCTCGGGCACTGAGAGTTCGCCTTCACCTCCAGCTTCGAAGGTGTATAGCATCTTCGCCTTCTGTTCCTGATGCCCCCCGCCATTAGAGGCGCTTCCTGGCACTTCGCTCATGAATGCCGGGGGTGGCGGGGCCAGGATGCGATTCTTCCGGGGTGCGCTAGACGGTGTTGGTGAGGCTGCCGGTGGCCTTGTGTTAGGAACATCTGGAGGCGCATCGTCGTCAGGCGAAATGGGCCCGGAAATCGATCGTTGAGCGCTGGCCGCATACCCAGAGCGCACCGAGCTGACTGTGTTTGACCGAGTGAGATCAGGCATCTCGTTAACATGGCTCGACGATGTGGAAGGCTTGAGCAGCGTGTTGGCCAGCTCTTGTCGTTCCTGCTTATACTTTTTACGCTCCTCCTTGTTCAGCTCCCCTGGACACTCGGCCGGTACCTTCATCTCGCATTTGCTATGGCAAGTATACCCGCAGTCCCGGCAATCGAAGCCCTTGGCTGACAAGCCCCATATTCTCTCTCCGCACAGATCGCAGTTAGTGGGAATCTTGAAGGTTTGCGACTTAAAATTGTGGCTCTTGGCACCCAGTGTCACGTCACCAACGGCTGAAGTAATGGTGGACGTCTCGACCTCTGCTGTCAACCGCTTCCGGTCGACCTGATGCAGGTCCTCTTGCTGCAAGAAGAGCTGCGTGAGAACCAAGAACTCATCCTGTGTTTGCTCTGTCCCTTCAAGCACCCTCTGTTTCGCTCGCTTGGTTGCTTCCACCTCTCGCCTCTTCTTATCTACCTCACGTCGCAATTCTCCGAGTTGGCCCTTTGACTTATTCAGCACATTGCGCAAATAGATTTTGGCTGGCTCGTCCGTAACCATGGAATCGTCATCGTGCCATACTGGGCTTGGCTCAAACACCTTGTCGGGAGGCTCCTGGAAGGCACCGGTATTGTGCTGCATGTACATCATCGAATCTAGCTGAGGTTCATTCCGCACAATCTCCTTGGCCATGTGGTCAACCTCACCACTGCAGTTCTGAAGCATGGAAAACTCAAGCTGAGTGGCTTCGGACCAAAACCCGTTCAACTTCATTGTGCGGAACTCGGCAAGATCTTGCATGTTGTCCATGACTTCGGGAAGGAATTCGTGGTAGTGCTTCTCCTTTTGCTTGTTGGTAACGTTGATGGTGATCAGGTAGGTGTTCTTCATGTTGTTCATCTCTTGTAGCTGGTGTTGAAACGAACTCTGCGCCTTTGCCTTGTCGAATGCCGACTCTGACTTTTTGCGTTTGCTCTCAACATCCTGGCATACCGAGTCGTACTTGGTCTTGACTTTCTGCAGTGCGGCATACTGGGCTTCTTTTTCTTTTTCTAGCTTTTCAGCATATTCGACTTGGCGTTTGCGTTGCGCGTCCAGTTTAATGGCCACTTCTTTGATCGGCTCCGCAATCTTGGTGATAAACTCGTTCGCGAGTCGATCGTGTTCGCTGGCGACCAGTTCAAGCTTGGTTAGAATGGTAGACCATGTAGTCATCGAGGCGCTAGTTACACGGAAACCGGTCAGTCAGCTGGAATAGAACACCTAAGCAGATGTGACCATGTTCCAAAGCCTTGTCGTACCTCTCAAGGGACCCAGGGGTCATTGTGGGGGTGTCGCCGACACTCAGGCTCGTTGACTTTTTGGCTTTCTTGTCATAGTACTTCTTTGCTATTGCGCTCAGCTCGGCACTATATCGCTTCTCGGCGGCGCTCCTTTCACGGAAGAAAGCCTGCACATCGTCAAAGAAGGCAATGTTGTTGGCCACATAGACATTGGCCGGTTTAAAGCCATCCTGCATGCGGGCATGTCAGTCCAAGACCACAACCACAAGTTTAAGCCTCTGAGTAGGCCAGGTGAGATGATAACAACCTTAAGCACGGTGCCAAAGGATGGCGCGATTTCGCCCTCGGCCATAGTTTGTTGGAGGAGCTTCTATCAATACGGAGAGTTGTCGTCGTGGATAACCATGCAAACCAGTAGTCGGGTATACATGCAATCTAGACTTCGGGAGAAGATGAATGGGATTGCTCCGTCGGCTGTCGTCGTGTCTGAATCGATGATGAATCGTGCAGTGCTGGTCCTGAGTATGTACAAGTAGCGGCAGGAACCCGTTGGGTCTTTGGAGGAATGGACGGGACCGGCGGAGCGTTTGAGTGTTACTCCAAGCAGAGGTAGAAGAAGCACAGCAGATACAGCGTTAAAGAACAAGCAAGTAGTAGAGCAAGAAAGCAAGAGAAGGCAGGAGGTACCCCTCCAACAGCTGAAGATGTGCTATGTAATCGGCTGGTTATCCCGGTCCGTACACCGTAGCCCGAGCAGCCGGCAAGACCTGAGCTGGGATGTAGGAGCACGATGAATGGCCCCCGCGCTTGGGTACCTACCTAGGTAGAGGTAGGTAGTAATGAGAACTGGGGTGCTGGTGGCTAACCTCGAGGTACTCAATTTAAGAAGGCTCCAGCTGTGCCGTCGGACCTGCGGCTTGGCCGGTACTACTAGTGCGGTCAGGCAGTATGCGTTAACTGCATGAAGATTGGTTCGGAAGAAGCATCCGTTCGTTACGTAACTCTAGGGATAGTTAGAGGTAAGAATTGGAATTCAGAAGACGGAAAGAGAAACCTCGTTTGGCCAAAGAAACAACTACTAGGTAGGTATGGACTTAAAGCCTCCTTAAAGAGACAGCGGGCGGGACCCCGGCCACTAAGCCACCCGCTGCTGGCTCGTGCTTTGACCATTCTGGCCTCCGGCTTCTGCCAGGGCATCAAGCGTTAATTCCAGGGCAGGTACAGTACCGACTACACTACGACGCTACTACCTCTACACTAGAACGGGCAGCAAGTAGGTATACTGCGTACACTAGTGTAGAGGAAGGTGCAGATGCCCCACTATCACTCTGGTTTGATGGCGTCGCGACTTCCTCTCAAAGTCAGCCCTGCCGCTGCCAGAATCTCTTTCTGCCAGCTTCCTTTTCCTTTCGCATTCCCTCTCCCGCCCACAAACCACTGCTGGCAGTTGCTTTGTGGTCCGTCACCAACAGCTCAAGATTCCATCGGATCTCTGAAAGAGCATTTTGTTTGCTCCAACAATAACTCCCTCTAAGGTAAGCTTGTCAGCTTGCGCCTTCTCGTCCTTGCAGCCTGGGTCTGACGCGTTGACTTGGGACGCGGGGCATCAAAACCTGACGAAGCGCAGCTTGAAACTTGACTCACCCACGTCTCGGCTTCTTGCTGTAACCGGAATATCCAGGGGGGGGCGAAAAAAAATATAACGTATCGTACTGACCGTGCGATCTTTGATTCTTGCAAGCAGTCATCCTAATCACGACGTCATAATGGCTGATCTCGCCAGCCGCATCACCAAGCCCGACGAGGCTCCGGCTGCCGCCCCCGAGGCTGCGCCCGTGTCTGCCCCTGCGTCCGAAGAGCCCAGGGCCCCCGAGAACGAGACCTCCATCGAGGAGAGCCAGAGCAACCTTGTCAAGAACGAGTACGAAGTCGAGATTAAGTTGAGCGATCTTCAGAATGACACCGAAAGTCCTCTCTACTCCGTCAGCTCGTTCGATGAGTTGGGTCTCCCCGAGGCTGTCAACCGCGGTCTGCTCGCCATCAACTTCAAGAAACCTTCCAAGGTCCAGGAGAAGTGCCTTCCTCTCATGCTCTCCGACCCTCCCCGCAACATGATTGCCCAGTCTCAATCCGGTACTGGAAAGACTGCCGCTTTCGTCCTTACCGTTCTCTCCCGCATCGACCTGTCCAAGCCCCACCAGCCTCAAGCCCTTCTGCTCGCTCCCAGCAGAGAGCTTGCCCGCCAGATCCAGACCGTTGTCCAGACCATCGGTCAGTTCTGCGAGAATTTGATTGTCGAGGCCGCTATTCCCGGTGCCATCTCGCGCGAGACGGGTGTTAGAGGCAGCGTCGTCGTGGGAACTCCGGGAACTGTCATGGACCTTGTCAAGCGCAGGCAGTTTGATATTTCGCAGTTGAAGGTTCTTGTTATTGACGAGGCCGACAACATGCTTGACCAGCAGGGACTGGGTGACCAGTGTGTCCGCGTCAAGAAGTAAGTTCATCTTTGGGCACTTGTGTTATGCGGTCTTTGCTGACATCAAGTAGCATGCTCCCCAAGACCATTCAGATCCTCCTTTTCTCTGCGACGTTCCCAGACAAAGTTCTGAGATTCGCCGAGCGCTTCGCACCCAACGCCAACCAGATGAAGCTCAAGCATAAGGAGCTTACGGTCAAAGGTATTTCGCAGATGTTTATGGACTGTCCTACCGAGAAGGACAAGTACGACATTCTCTGCAAGCTGTATGGTCTCATGACCATTGGTTCTTCCGTCATCTTCGTCCGGGTATGTTTTTTCCCTCGAATACTGCTGTAGACTTTTGCTAACGTGCTTCCAGACGAGAGAGACAGCCAACGAGATCCAGAAGCGCATGGAAGCAGATGGTCACAAAGTTTCGGCCCTTCACGGCGCCTACGAAGGCCAAAGCCGTGATGTTCTTCTCGATGAATTCCGCTCCGGACGTTCCAAGGTCCTCATTACCACCAATGTTCTGGCACGTGGTATTGATGTTTCCAGTGTGTCCATGGTCATTAACTACGACATTCCGATGAAGGGACCTGGCGAAAGGGAGCCGGACGCAGAGACATACCTTCACCGTATTGGTCGTACCGGTCGTTTCGGTCGTGTTGGTGTCTCGATCAGCTTTGTTCACGACCGTAGGAGCTTCGAAGCGCTCTCCCAGATCGCTCAGTTCTACGGAATCGACCTTATCCAGCTGAATCCCAACGACTTGGATGATACCGAGAGGAAGGTGCAAGAAGTTATCAAGTCGAGCAGGGCCCAAGCGGAGTACGTTCCCAGCGCTACTGATTCGGCCGCTTAGGTATTTGGCCGATCAATGAGTGTTGAGGGGGAGTCGTCGTCGTTGAAGTCGTTGAAGTCGTTCTTCTCTCCGGCACTGCCGCTGCCGGAGACTCAGCAGTTTAGCGGATGGTGGTGAGCTAGTGCACTAGGAGTTTATCAACTGAATCATCTAGCGTAGGCGAGGGATCATGTCTTTTCATCGTTGCTGCGACATCACGATGTTGGGAGGCCCAGAAGGAAAGGGTATGTGGGAGTGAACTCATGATGCGCATATTCCGTCATTCAAAATGGGAATCGGGAGTTTAGATCAAAGAGATACCAACAAGGGGCGAAAGATAAATTACCTTTGCAGTCAGCAAGATTGCTCAGGACGCGTTCGATACTACCCGACGTTGATACACCGGTAGACGCCAGGGTATCACGAAAATGTCAAGTGCATTGTGTCTCGTAGGGAAGGGGGGCTAAGAACGCTTATCTATCCACAACTCAACCGCCGTGCTATACATTTATGTGCCCACCTCACGTCATACCGCTATTTTTCTTTCGATTTGGATACCCCTTAGCTCCTCCCTTAGCGTGCCACCATATCCGATCTCAGTGCATAAGCGAGCGCCCTACAGCTGGCAGCCCTCTGTACACACCTTGTGCCAGGTGTGGCCACGTTCACATACCCACTCTGAGCGCCCAGAGGTTACAGCGGGCTTACAGATAGCTTGCAGTTGGGCGCCAGCTTAACTGTAAGAAGTTTAGCCTACCCCTAAGGGTATCCAAATCGACTCGGTTTTTGCGGTAACACGTTAGGCTCAGCATCGCCCTCGGTACCATAACTTTACTTCGTGGTCCGAGGCCAGCTGGATAGTGGCGCAGTTCCCCTCCCTCTCTTTGTCTCCCAGTCGTTGGGAAGCTGTTTCCTCGTCAAGACTGGTAGCATGTGGATGTGGCTGTGCAGTGCATCATGGTGGCTTGGGGGATGAAGACAACCCGCCTCAAGGCAGTGTGGTGTACAGAACCACTGGATCGTTGAGGCGAGTTTCGTGGCTGGTGAGAATCTGGGGGCGGTACCCGAACGGGAATAGCGTCGTTGATTTCTTGTTGGCGCCCACTACCCTTAGGCGTTTCCGGGGTCTAGCCCACAAGTACTTTTAAGCGCCGACCAAGCGCGTGCCGGGCGTCAGTCTCTTACTCGCCCACCTCTTCCCAGCTCCAAGCCTTCACAGCCATACATCTATCTGCGGATGTTGTTCCTGCATACCAGCTTTGGCCAGTCGACTGGAGAACCGTAACAGTGTTTCTCACTTCTGCCGTCGGCAACCATGTGCAATCCCGGATACTATGGCGCCCGAAATAGACCTGCCATCTTTTTAGACCAATAAGAGGACGGCGGACCTGGATTTCGCCCAGGACAAGTGCCTCTCCCCAGATCGCTTGTTCCTCTTCGCGGCTCCATTCGTCAGCCGCCTTGTGCAAGGGATATGAACACCGTCGAAGCCCTGCCTGCAATGGAAGGTCTCTCATGACCTCCAAGCAATGATGCCATAGCGAAAGCTCCAATAAACCCCAGTTGGCGATTAGGGCTCATCAATTATCGGGTACAAGGTGCTCACTACTCACGTCTTCAGGCAGGTTTAGCGCGTCTCTGCGGGTGAACGGCATGGGTACGACTTCAGAGTTATTGGCCGCGGCCAGGATGGCGAGGAGATTGCCGGCATCGTTAAGCGCAGCACACCGGGACTTTACTGCTTTTGACTTTGAGGTATACATCATGATGGCATGGCTCGTGAGTTCAGGAAGTCTGGTTACCTTGTAAAGGACCCCGAGTGTGACACATGGCGTTCAAGCCTCATCCAAGACTTTCCTCTCCCGGGTTCTCTCTTTTCTTTCTCAGGTACTATCTCCATCCTCCTTCAATATCATCATTTCCACATCTCTCTTTCTTGTGTGTTTCCTGTGTGTTTCCTATCCTATCACATTCGATATCCGTTTCATAATCAGTATTTCCCGACCTCAAGCCCACCCCCCTTGGGTCGCTTCTTACATCACGATATAATCCATGCATTCGCGTCTTCTGTTTCCGGTTCGATAATCATCGCATACGATACGGGCTCCGTTCTTCCCGGCCCAACGCCTGTTCCTAGTTTCGACTTCTCCTTGGTCGACTTACTCAACGCAGAGATGCTGGTCATCTCCTCTTCTAATCTTTAATCTCATCTAAGTTCGGTAGGTTGGTCTTTGGTACATCTTGTTATGCGATTTGCATTCCAACCGCCCGGAGGTCTGTTGGTTCGGGTTCCCACGTCATTGAATACCGAATCCGGTACCATGGATCTCGCCACTGGGCCGGCATAATAGGTCAATAGCAACCTGAAATGGGCTAAGAGGGAAGGATCCAAGAGAAGAGGGAACTTGGACTGGGGCAAGGAACACCTTCTCAACCTTCAACCAAAACCCGTGATCTGTTGCTGAAATGGGGGAGCGAGCGTTGTCTTCTATGACCAGTTTCCGAATCTCACCACTAATCTCATTTCCAGATGTTGCCCAGTACTATGGCCGTCAAGTCATTCTTGTGCTTGGGCTTACTATGGACGACCCTCTCGACAGTCGCCCAAGCAGCCGAACCTCAAATACCAACATCAATAGTAGAAACCGTGCCGACGTGCGCAAGGCCATGCTTCCGTTCATGGATATCGGCAAACCTCGATCTCACCTGCGGGGGCACAACACCGTCTTTACGATGCATGTGCAAGCAAATAGGTGGCGGAGGATATACACTAGGAGAGGGAGCAGTAGCATGCATGATCGGCGAGAAGGAGTTGGGAAACTGCAAGGATACTACGGCTGGTGGTAAGTGATTTGATACCACGTTTCTGGTATGAGGTATGTGGGAGGCTGACTGCTATCAGTTCAAGCAACAACAAAGGCGTACAACATTTGCGATGATGTTGATGACTCGGCGTCGAGGACTCACGATGTCATTGTAGCAACACTGATCCTCCCAACGGGGACAGGACATCTTGCTGCCCCGACTTTAACAAAAGGCACTGGCAGTGCCGCGCTTTCGACCGTGACGAAATCTGCGGCTCCTGCCTCCACCACTGCTACAGCTTCGCCAAGCGCGACAACGACGACATCAAGTTCAAGCCTTACCTCCACGACTAGTCCTGAGTCCAGCTCGGCTAGTACTGAGTCCAGCTCGGCGCAAACCTCAACTTTGAGCACACGTCCGAGCTCCGTTCCAAGCATGGAGCCCACTGCTTCCAGCACAACAACGCCAGTCACATCAGGCGCACCAGGCACACCAGGCACATCTGCTCCGGCTGGGGCGCCCGCTGAAAAGGAATCACCGCAACTCACCAGCGCACAGGTTGCCGGGATCACGATAGGCTGTGTGGCGGTTGTGGCTCTGGGTGCAGGGCTTGTACTCTTGGCCAAATGTGTGCGCCGCAAGAGGATGGGCTCTGGAGATCCGGAGAAGGGATTCAACAAAATGAGGGACTCGTTCAAGAGTTTTGGTCGCAGAAGCATCACCGGTCCTGATTTGCTGGGCATCAGCTACCCAATCCAGAGGATTCCTTCGCAACAGGGTACACCTACGTTTAGGCCCACGAAAGCACCAAGGGCTGACGGTGTTGGTTTAGCGACCCTTCCCGGATCCGCTTCGGCGTCAAACTCTCCCAGGCCTACAGTCACCAGAGCTACCGCGGGCGCCGCCCCTATTCTGCCCATGCCTGCCTTGCCGCCAGCCATGGTAATCACTCCAGCTTCCCGGACCCAGGACCCACTTGGCAAGAAGGAAACGCCAAAGCCGAACCTGACTTTGGCTATTCCAAAGAACCCACCGATGTCCGCTGTTGTCCCACCTGCTGTCCCCAGGGCTGCTCCCGCTACAGCTCCCAACGCTGCTCCTTTGACCGGAAGAGACAGTGTTATTACTGAGTTCGCAGAGGATGGCGAGGGAGATTATAGGTCGGGTACTGCCATTTGGCGTCCGCCGCCAAGTGATCCACAATCGGCAACCACCTACTACTTTGCTGATAAGAAGGGCAACTGGGTCCTTAGGCACTCAACTGTAGGCGCGGGTACGAAGACCCAAGCGCCGCCATACCCAGCTTCTTCTGTCGAGTTACCAGGCCCACAGGACAAGACGAAGGCCGAAAGGGCGTACATGCCCTACACTCCCGGCATGGTCGTGCCTGCCCTTAGAGTCCCCTCCCGGGAACGGGAGCAGGGTGCCTTTGTGGAATCACCGGTTGCAATGAGAGATGATGCTCACCCTAGGGGCAACGTGGCTTCCAGTATCTACTCTGATTACAACACTCCTCTGACCGTTGTACCTGGCCCGGAGAACCCCATGCCCGCCGTCCCTTCGGCAGTGCTCTCTGAAAACAATACTGGGAGGAACTTGACGGGCACCAAAATCAAGCGCAAGTCAGTCAAGAGAACAAGCCGGCAACGTCGGATGTCCCAGGACTCTGCCACGGAGATTGAGTCAGGAGATGAAGAAGAAGACAGCCAAGATCTTTCGCCCGTGGCGGAATCGCCTTGCTCGCCGAGCCCTCTTTCTCGCGGAAAGTCGCCGGTGTCATACCCCAAGATTCACAAGCAGGGAGAGAATGTGAATGAGGGCCTGCAACAACTTCGCGATGCTCAAGAGGCTCTACGTGGTGCTGGTGGCTCGACCGGTCCCGAACCTCCCAGGCGCAACTCCAAGCGTATGTCAACGCAGCGAGGACAAGGGCAAGCCCAAGGACAGGGACGCTTCCCCATCAGGATCGTGACTCCCGAGGAGCGAGACAACGAGGGAATGCGCATTGGTGCGGTTCCTCATGGGACGCCTCGGCTGACCGTTGGGATGTCGAAGCCCATGAATGCCCCTGTTGTTAACCCAAATAGGAACAAGAATCCTGGACAGATGAGAACCGGGTCACCTGAGGGGCGCTTCCCGATTGCTGTGCCGGTTGAGCACCAGCAACGCCAGCAACACCAGCAGTCCCAAAGGAGACAGAGTTCTATAGCCACTGGCCCCAATGGCTATTGGAATCAGCAACAACAGTCACAAGGACAGGGAGAAGGGTCTGCCTACTACTACCGTGCCCCATCACCACGCCAGTGGGAGCAACAGCAACGCCAGTTGCAACAAGCCCAGCGAGCGCAACAGCAACAGCAGCAGCAACAACAACAATCTTCCTACTACCGGCCTTCTCAAGGGCATTATGATGCTCAAATGCTGCAGCAGCAGCGTCAATACAGGCCTCAACAGCCACACATGCCTCAACAATCATGGCCGATCTTTGCCCAGCCAGCTCAACCAGAGCATCAGTCTCAACACCAACACACAAGAACCAACAGCTCCTCTCTGCTCACCAAGCGTCTCGGCGCCGAAAAGGCCGCGGCACTCGCCCTCAACCCCAACCCCAACAGCAGCTCGAACAAGAGCATCGGCAGACCTGCAAAGGGATGGGCTAGAGATGGCCAACAGCAGCAACAGCAGCAGCAGCAGCAGCAGACTGGACCCCAGCAGGCTCGCCAACAGCAGCAACAACACTGGCAAGAAGGCCAAGCGCTGAAAGGGGGCAAAAACAACTCTCAAGACCCTTACGGAGACAAGACAAACACGAATGAGTGGTACGTGGACTTGCCGCCGCCGCCGATCACGCCCGGTTGGGTGCCGGAGTTGACGCCGACGAGGAGGGGAGATGATTTATTTTTGAATGTACAGTGATTTGCGATGAACGTACACAAAAAGGGGGGGTTTTAATAATTTAATTGAGTTTGTTTTCAGCTTGTCGGGGGAGGGAGCGGAACTGGTTTATCTTTTTCTTCTTCTTCTATGCGATCATGAACCAACAGTTCATGATGTTTATGTAAATGTATTTTAGGAGATAAAATGGGGATGGCAGTCTGGATTCAGTTAGGCAAGGTTGCATTGGGCGGTGTTTAAAGGTTCTGGTTCGGGGGTTGAAGGTTGAGGGTTGGAGGTTGATACCATGAGAATGAATAGGCGATGAGGGTTATTTGGTTTTGGATATGATGATAGAATGAAGAAGGTGTGATCATGCATCGCTCTTGAGTTATTCGTTTGGCGTACAGAACAATTGAGGTCGTACATGAGTGAGTTGTGTGTCCTATCGCGGTCACGACGAGGGGTATCACGGGCTGGTTCACGTGCCACACTTTCCTCGGTGATCTTATCACCGGTAGGTATGTATGTTCCGATTGAAGAAGGGGCTAAGATAAGAACCGGTGCGGTCAACAGTGGTTAGTGTACAGTTATGTACACCTAGCTGCATTTATTAGTTTCATTGCCGACACGCAGCGTGGGGGACGACAGTCGATCCGATTGAGCGGACGCAGTCAGCTGCGAACATGTGCATTGAAACGTTGGATGTGAACGGTTCTCGTTGGTTCTGACTAAGTACAAAATGATTACTGAGCCCGCTTCCGTGGGAACACAAGAAATAAAAAAACGAGGCACTCACTCGGGCAGTCTACTAAGCCCGTTGAGCCCGTCCTCCCCCTAAACTGAGGCATCGACGACATCGCATGTTGTTTGCTTACCTTCCTTCTTGTGATAATGAGATGAGAGATGGGTGATTACATAATCCAGGCACGATCCGGCAAGTCAAGGTTGACACTGCTTGCATGCCCCTGGAGGTGGATTAGAAATCCAGATTCGGAGATCCACGACAATGGGAACCTTATTTGCACCCGCCTCGGCGACCGAAAGCGCTGAGTAAATTGCGGAAATCAGCGGAGAGACTCCACCGACAACCGCCTGGAACGATTCGATTCGGGTTCACTCTGTGGAGTTCGGAAAACAAGAGGCCCCAGTTTTGTTAACGGCCATCGAGCCGAGACCTTTTTCCATTTTTTCATTTTTCTTTTCTTTCCTGTAAATTTCACGCACTGCGCGGGCCTTGCCGACTTCCCGGCTCACATACCATAGTACGTACATGGTCGATCTGGTCTAGCCATTAGAAGGCCCCGAAAAGGGAAACTCTGACAGGTGGGTTGTCACTATCGTATTGTCTTTGATATGCTATTGCTGTTGTTGTTGCTGTTGTTCGGCTTCCTTTTTGGAAACTTCGCTCGCTCGCTTGTGGGCTGCGGCTCTGAACGGGAACCGCCGTCTCCAAGTATACCCCGGTCAAAAAATTCAAAATTTTCAAGTTCGTCTTGTTATTACAAGAACTGAAGGCTTCGCACTTTCTCAAACACTCTTGACCTTGGATCCTTTGCGCCAGTGGCTGTCCTGGTCCCTCACCTCAACGGATAGTATCAATCGATACCGGAGTCAGTTCGTTGTTTGATAACTGCACCGTATATTTCTACACGACATTGGCACAGTATTGATATTCCGTCATCGACGCCATCTGCAGATTGATACACTTTTTGCTCCATACCGCAAACCACTGGCACCCCGACGTCTGCGGACCCTACCCGGACTTCTCTATATCTCCAACCTGCCGGGATCTTTGACTTCCATTTTGTTGCCAAACGGGGAAGGGCGCCAGACTACAAACCCAACCCTCAACACTTGTTGTGTCCTCTTTCCCCAAGATACACTCTCACGTTTGACGGTTCGATTCACCCTCAAGTCCCGGGTACGCCTGCTGCAGTGGTATGTACAATGCAATTTTCTTTTTCTGTTAAGCCAGTCACAGTTATCTGTCCAGCGATTTCAATCCCCGCCCTGCCAATCATTCTGGTTACACACTCAGCCAGGTGCAGCGACCAAGTGCTTCTTCAATTGACCAGTTGCTTCTCGAGAAGATTGCGTGCGTTAATGACGCCTTCGACTCCAACACCTCACCTGCTTGGGAAGGGCGCCCATTCTCAAACACACTTGCACTGTCCCGGAAATGCAACTCGGCGCTTGGCTAACGTGGGGGACGAAACCTCTCACCACTTCTTCCCCACTGGGGACGAAGAGAGAGGGGTGACTCCGATGCTATGTGTAGATTTGAAAGTGTTATACTTTCCTACGACCGTGGTCAACCAGGCCTTGAAAAAAGGTGTGCTGCCCGGTGTGCTGCATCACGACAGTGAAGACTGCCTCAGCACAAGTCATCAGCATCCACTGGGATTTGAAGCTCGTCACATCGCCTTGTCGAGTTGGGTGGCTCATCATCCTTAAACTCTGGTCAGAGTTGCTCATTGGGTGCGCAGTCTACCGTTGCCAGTTGCTGTCCGCTCGGTTGAATAAAAACGCACGGTCGGTTTGCCAACGCGGGCGGGAAGACAACTGCTCGTACTTGAAGCATTTCTGACAGTTGTCGAAGAAGCGGCAGCGGCTTAATCAAGAAAACGGATCTCAATCGAACGGACTCTATCCCTCCACGCACCAAAGAGCAGTCGTCAGAGTAGCAATGGGTCTTCTGTACGTATATCGTCCCCGATATGGACACTCGCTGCACAAATCGCATCCCAGGGGGAAAACACCAGTCTCACCGTTCATGACGCCATATACTGACACTACAACAGAGCTTTGGGAACGGCTTTGGATTGGCCAGATGCCAAGCAGCAAGCACATCTCGTCCGTGCCTGGGGCATTAAGGTGAATCTTGACACCGTTAACTCCGGACCTTCGATGCCTTTCTGTGGAATACACCACAGTCTATATTGGGATGAGGTACCGCAGACGTATGCTAACGTGATATCAGCAATTACTCGAAATATGGAACAAGGCTAAGGGAAAGGAGCGTGACGCTATGCTCTGGGGTGATGAGGTGCGTTTTTTGGTTCCTATGCCTTGAGCTACTGCTTCTCAGGCTCCTAACACCCCGCTTAGATCGAGTACTTGGTCGTCAACTATTCCAAAGATGAGCCTAAGGTTCTGCTCTCCCTTCGCCAGGCCGATATTCTCAAAGCCTTGGCCGACAGCAAGACTCTTAAGGTAACAGGAGACTGCGCTCCTGGAACTGAGGCCAACGCAGATGCCGGGAACGTAACTCTTCCCGTTTTCCATCCGGAATTCGGAAGATTCATGCTCGAAGCCACCCCCGGAAAGCCATGGGGCATCGACTTCAAGGACCTGTTGACCGTTGAGGCCGACATGAAGTTGAGAAGGTGCATTGCCAAGGACCACATGCTTTCGAATGAGCATCCCATCACGCTCACTACTTTCCCCCGCATCGGCAGCCCAGGAGTATTCACTGAACCATCATATCCCGTCTCCGGTCCCAAGCTGCGATCGCAATTTGTCCCTGACGAGATCGCCAACCCTCATATTCGCTTCCCTACCCTTGCGGCCAACATCCGTTCGCGCCGCGGCCGCAAAGTCCAGGTCAATGTTCCAGTGTTCAGAGACGAGAACACCCCTTGGCCATGGAAGGACCCAACCGTCAACTACGACCTACACAACTGGCCCGAGGACGATGATGTTCGTAACGGCGCCGCTCCCGACAACTTCATTCACATGGATGCCATGGCTTTCGGCATGGGCAGCTGTTGTCTGCAAATCACCTTCCAGGCCAAGAACATCACCGAAGGCAGGAAGATGTACGACCAGCTGAGCCCTCTAGGTCCTATCCTGCTTGCGCTCACTGCGGCAACACCAGTGTACAAGGGCTTCATTGCCGATACCGATGTCAGGTGGAACCAAATCAGCAGGGCTGTGGACGACCGCACACCTGAGGAGCTGGGAGAAAAGGTAGGAACAACACTTTTTCAAGGTCTGATTCGATGCTGACCTTTCTATAGCCCCTTAAGAACGACAGATGGCGGATTCCCAAGTCGCGTTATGCTTCGAACTCAACTTACATCTCTACCGATTCCCGATTGCGACCTGAGTACATGGATCCTAACCTCGTCATCGACCCCGAGATCAAGCAGCAGTTGCTCGACGGTGGCATGGATGACCGTTTGGCTACCCACTTTGCTCATCTCTTCATCCGCGATCCTATCGTCATCTTTAACGAAGATCTCCAGGAGCTCGACCTGACCAAGACGGATCATTTTGAGAATATCCAGAGTACTAACTGGCAGCACATGCGCTTCAAGCCACCTCCGGCTGACAACAGCATCGGTTGGCGTGTGGAGTTCCGGCCCATGGAGATTCAAATCACCGACTTTGAAAACGCCGCCTTCTCCGTCTTCATCGTTCTCATTACCCGTGCCATCCTTAGCTTCGACCTCAACTTCTACATCCCTATCGTGAAGGTAGATGAGAACATGGAGACCGCGCATGCGCGCAACGCCAACCTCGAAAAGAAGTTTTGGTTCCGCAAGAATCCATTCCCCGTCCGCACAACCCGCAGGGGCGGCAGTGCCTCCAGATCGGCTTCTGGCACCAGCACACCCAATAGCGGATCAAGCAGACCTGCCACCCCGCCCCTGGGCCCTGTCGAGGACGAGTACAGACTCATGAGCGTCAATGAAGTCATCAACGGCACTGCGTACGCCAAGGCGACTTCCAAGGAGGTGACCGAGGATGCCGAGGAGGGCGAAGAGTTCCCCGGTCTCATCCCCTTGGTGGAAAGCTACCTCGACAGCGTCAACATGGACGTCGCTACCCGTTGCGGACTCGCTCGCTACCTCGATCTCATCCGCAAGCGCGCCAGCGGAGAGCTCTGGACGGCGGCCAAGTGGATCCGTGAGTTCATTGCGAAGCACCCCGGATACAAGAAGGACAGCGTGGTCTCGGAGGAAATCACCAAAGATCTCGTCGGCGCCGTTATCGAGATCGGCGAGAGGGAGAAGCGCGGGCTGGGTATTGATGACTTGATCGGGCAGGTGCCGGATCTGGAGAAGTTGTTCGGCGGGTTTCTCAAGGGTAAGAGCCCTTGCGGTGGTGGCCAGGCAGCTTTGGAGCAAAAGTTGAAGGATGACGACGCCAAGGCGAACGGTGTAAAGAGGAAGTTCAACGAGGAAGAGTAGGGCGGGTCACGTCACTTGATTGGCAAGGGCGAAAGTCCTGCTTGGTGAGGTTCATGGCGGGAGCCGTAGCATGTTAAAAGCCTAGGAAAGGAGCTGGATATGGGAAGGGAGAGTGGACGTTTGTGTTCTTTTGCATCATCGTTAGACTGCATTGCCTTGGATACGCTAATCACGATTATTCGCATGGTATTTTCTTCTTGGCTCATCATCACTGTAATAAAGCTCTGCGTGTATTTTATCGATGACTTGAGTTCTACGCCTGTCAAATTCTGAGGTAACCACTTCGAAGAGTAAGCTTGCTGGCCTTTATGAGCAAAAGCTAAGCCAACATATCCCAACGAAAACAGCCCGATTAGCTCAGCTGGTTAGAGCGTCGTACTAATATCAGACTTCTGATATCAAGTCAATGCGAAGGTCAACAGTTCAATCCTGTTATTGGGCACTTCTTTTTTTACCTTTTTCATTTTCATCCTCTCCAATCTCACTCAATCCATTCTTTTTCTTCAAATTCTCCGTGTTTTACTGTAGTTTACCACCAGGCTTCGTGACGTTTATCAATATGCATTGCTTTCACTTCGACTGCGTTGGACGGCTTTTCGTCTTATCGATAAGATGAACGAACTCGCCCACAACAGCCGACTGCCACCAAATTTCTTAATCATCAGAATTCGCCTTTTTTGTCATGCTCTGCACAGCGCAGCCCAATTCAGTCGTCCTAACCGCTAACCTTGTTCAAAGTAGAAACATAGAGTAGCTAACATGTTTTGACAGGGAATATTTAGATGACAGGGACAGCAGACTTGCAGGATAAGTTGGTATCGAGCCTCGTGGTTCTGAAACACGACTGGAGCTCCTTGTTGATATCATCCCGACATCAACCCAATCCTTGGTCGACTTCCCCGCGCCGCATAAACTTGACCCCTACAGCATCCAAACAACCGTCACACCAAACAACATGATTCGCTTCTAACTGCATATGGGTTGCGCCGTATTTCAGCTTCAATGGAACTCCATTTGTAGCTCCTCTTCAGAATGGGAGCGACCAGAGGAAAGATAGAGCGTGTTCAGTCATCTTCCACGACTCGGTCGAAGGAAGGGTCGACATGGCGAAGTGATGGTGAACCTGGAGCAACCACAAGAATTATGAATGGACGAGGCTGACATCATGTTAAAGAAAGCTTCTGCGATAAGCCAACCCTTTCGTTGGTACCATCAAACATCGCCGACAGCTCACATTGAGCATGGCCGACCCGGCACTGCAGAAGCATAAAAGACGTTCTATATAGGAGTCATCCCGGCAGCCGCAGCCTTTACCGTCCAACAAGACATCGCCAGCATGGGACTATCACTCAGCCAAGACGGTTCTCTTGTCACCCCGTGTGCTTGGCCTACCATCGTGCGAGACGCGATCCTATCTTTATGCCTGCCTTACCGTGTATCTCGAAACCCAGTTCAAGGCTAATACTTCCCACGGACCCTTCCCACCCTTTCTTTTCGTTTTTACTTCATCCTTGTTGCCCATCATGGCTGGAGATTGCTTTTTTCTCATCTGAAGTCTCCTCCCAGCAAACCAACCAACGGTTTACGCGTGCCTTATGACCAGTGTCATACCGTGTCACTCTTCCTCTTCGAGGGCTTTTCATCACATCATCAGTATAGTAATTATCTTTCACTCATTTGTTGAGCCTCGGTGGCCTCTACATTCGTTTCTGTTCATCCTAGCGTTCTTAATTTTTCATTTTTATCTACAAGAAAACAAGCAAGCACATTCTCCAAAATGGAAAGCATAATGGAGGGAACCACCCCCTCCACCTCAGCCCAAGGAGTTCTCCAAAACCAGCGCTCCTTCATCCAAGAACGTCGCGGTCGCCGCTCTCTAATTCATTGGCCCTTCCAATCGATAGCCACCGAAACCAGCAGCTTATTCTCCTTCACCCTCTTCGGTCGACCGCCGACGAGAGCCACGAAAGCGACTACGACAACCAGAACGGGGACCGTCTCATCTACTGGAGGCGGCGGCGGACCAGAGCGCCCTCCTTTTGCCCGCCGAGCCACTTGGGACCCAAGGCGGATACGGGAAAAAGACGTGGAATCGGTCGACCAGGACCTCATTCCCGACTATGTCATTAATTACCTACGCGGCGAGACTCCGGAGATGGTGGCGAGGAGGAAGAAGAATGAGGGGAAGCTGGGCGAGAGGGCGGTGGACATAATGCATCAGCATCGACCACATGAATCGAGGGCTGGCATTCTTGATGGACTTTCGGAGACGAGCAGCGAAAGGTTGGGATTTTGGGGGGAGGACGGAGGAGGGGCGGGCGAGGATGAGGAGAGGAGGCATATACTACCCGGAACAGGGTCACGTTGGAAGAGGTGGAGTGGTGCAGTGACTGGAGATGTTGGAAGCAGGAGGTGGAAGAGGTGGACCGCTGGGTGGAGGGCAGGCGTGGGATTAAACGCTTTGCTGGCAGGGATAATTCTGCTGGTAGGGGTCATTTGCTTGGTGATACTGGCGGCGTGGAAGGGGAAACATGCCTTTAAGGGGAAGGTCGTCATCTACAAAGGCCCATGCTCGACAACATCTGCGATCGATTTGGGTGTACACGCTGTCGTCAACATTTTGGGGGTGGTTCTGTTGGCTGGGGCCAACTATACTTTTCAAGTACTGAGCAGTCCTACGAGGGAGGAGGTTACGGCGGCACACGAGAGGAAGAAATGGTTGGATATTGGGATACCGTCGTTTCGAAATCTGCGATATATCGCAAAGAGAAGGAGTCTCCTGGCAGTTGTTATTCTTCTAGCGGCCATCTTCACGCAAGTAATGTATGTGCTCTTCCGAACTCATCACGGCTTTAATGAAATGCTAACCATATCCCAGTTCTAATTCTATAATCTTTATATCCGACCCCGCCCCAGCAAACCGAGTTACCAACGGCACCTTTCAATCAACCTGCCAACTTGACGTCTACGGCTTCCTCCTCGGAATCACCGTCCTCCTCAACCTCATCACCGTCGTCTCCCTTATCTCCGTTCTCATCTTCTTCAAGCGATCAACCTTCACCCCCCTTGCCACCCTAGGAGACACCATCACCTCCTTTCTCATCGATCCCGACCCCATCACCCAAGGCGCTTGCCTCCTTTCCAAAGACGACGTCAAGCAAGGGAACTGGGCCTCCGAAGCGAGCCAACCCAAGCACTGGGTGCCCAAACGACACTACTGGCTTCACGCCCCCTCTCTACCACGCTGGATCATCACGGGATTAGTATGGGTTATCTGCGCCGGAGCTACAGCAACTGCCCTGGCGCTTTCCATCATGCATGATGGAAACGGCCTTTCGCCGTTTGGGAATAACCCTTTAATCTTCCCAGACCGGGACTCTTACTCACCGGCGCCAAACCAACCGCTCATCTCCCTCAACCAACCAACAACCCTCCCAGCCTGGGCAGCCACGATTTTCTCCTCCCTTCCACACCTCCTCCTCTCAGCACTCTATCTCGCCATCAACCCGCTTCTAACGACTTATTTCCTCTCTCACGAATCCTCCTTATTCTATTCTAGCCACCACGGCCGCCATGGTCCCAATGCGCAACCGCAACCGCAACCGCTCCGCGTATCCTCTTCCGCCCTCGACATCGACCCCGACAGCTCACAAACGACTTCTCTCTACCTCACCCTTCCCCGACCCGTCTCTTGGTTTTTATTGGTCCTCTTTTCAGCCATGGGGTTTGTCACGAGTCAGAGTCTCGGGAGTTTACACACAGAACCATCATCCTCAGTGGCCACAGCAGCAGAGACAGTAGTAGGAAAAGAGGAGGAAGTAACAGCCCTCTTCACAAGCGGCGTAGCCTTGACTACCCTCCTCGCCCTCCTGGTTTTGCTTTTGGTATTTACTTTGGTGCTGGGGTTCAGGACTTCTTCTTCTTCTTCTCCCCCAAAGTCTTTTATGTCATCCTCCTCCTCCTCACCAGTTACTGCTATTCCTAGTGACAAACTCACGCCTGCATCGGGAGCAGCATCCGAGGGAGGAGGCAATGAGAACGCAAGGGCAGTTATAATCGGAAACCCAGTGGCTTTGCCGGGAGGGAGTTGTAGTGCTGTTATTAGCGCTCGATGTCATTTACTACCCCCTACCAGTAGTGACGAGAAGGGGAGGGGGAAGCGTAGGAGCGTGGGGTTTAGTGATCTTGTTGGTGGTGCTGGTGCTGTTGATACTACAGAGATTTGGAAGAGGCCGTTGGTGTGGGGGGTGGTTGACGGGGGAAAAGGAGGAGGAGCAGGCCAAAATAATGCCCCTGAAGAAGCAGCGGCGGGGGTGATCGGACATCGTGGGTTTACGGTGGCCGGGAGGGCGCGGATGGTTACGGAGGGGATGGTTTATGCTTGATATCATGATTTGATCAATTCTTCTTGGAGTTTTCTTGGTTTCTTGTTGTTATTGTTGTGGTCTTTTGCGTTTACGTTCACAGTATTTCTCAACACAACGTGTTTCTTTTGTTTGGTCAGATACCCACAACCCTCCCGAGACTGGACAATGGGGACTTGTTCAGCGGCCTACTAGTCCAAAACGGAACGAGAGATCATGTTCTTAATGTTATGACTATGGCCAAGTAATTCCAACTCACGATTTCATGAAGGCATCACCAATTAGTTACCCGGAAACAGGCTATGGAAAAGTTGACATGACATGATACGCAAGTCTTTATGAAATTTGGGTAACATTACCGTCAGGTTTGGTATCAGCACCGTATGATACCCTCCTTCTTTCCATAGGTGCTTTACTTATCCCAACTCAGCACAGTTCTACTGACTTTTTTCATACTTTCCAGTACCAGCAACACCACCCATCATTAGCACCGCTCCGTCTATGAACAAAATCAGGCGCACTATGGAAGCCTGCATGCATGCATGACAGTCCCATGAGTTCAAAGGACCCTGAGACAATATGGAGAGAGGTCAATATCCTGCAAGAAGAATCATGCCTGGACAGAAACCAGTTTATGACGCCCGTTGTGGACGGAGTACATGGCAAGGGCCACGCGAAGGATGGTGCTGTCAAGTTGACATGACATTCTTCATAGCTAAAAAGTGCTTCTAGATGCATAGGGGCCGAAACGGATGACATGAATGGGGTAACGAAAACACGCGGCAGCCAACGCCGAAGGAGCAGCCAAATCAATCACTGATCGATCGTGCCTCGTGGATGCCAGGATTCGGATATCTTCTTCGAAAGGACCCTCCAGAAAGACGATTCAGATGAGGTAACGGGCTGTCAATCAAAGTCCACACACATTTCCCGCCTTCGGCCGGTAGTTTGACTTCATATCATGCCATGTTCGCGGAGGCGGTATATTCCGGACACAGCTGACGAAGTGATGTGGAGGTTGAGGTTGAGACGTGGCGCCTCGCCCAGAAAACGATGGACCCCCTCTGCTCCCCCCATCTTGACAACGCCATTGGAGCGATGGTTCGTATTAGGAATGCGAGATCAGATCCTGTGTTCAGGGTCCTTGCAGATCTTCCACTCCGTGTCCGGTGGCCAGTTCCTCTAAGCTCCGTTGTCTTTCAAATAGAAATCTGAGATTCAAGGAAATGTTACCGTGGGGGCGATCTCAACCTAACGCACAGAAAACATGGTACTCTAGACTAGGTTCCCATGGTGATACAAGTTCCTCACTGGATCTAGCACGACCCTGCGTTGTTGAGCGAAGCACAAAGGCTGATAAAGCTTCCTGAGCCGCCATCTGTCTTGGAACATAGAAGACACTCTTACCGCTTTTGTTGGGAAATTGGGGGAACATTGGCTGTGCTATGTATATGGAGCGCAAAGCTTTGTGAGGGGCTCCCTTGAGTCGAAGGCTCGGAGTGATGGATAAATTGTCTCGAGCCGATGTTGGGTATGAAGCAAAATGAAGGAATGAAATCTACGTGCGAAACACACTGCGTTTCCGATGATCATGAAAACCAGATGCCATAGCCTGATTTACGGTTGTCAATCTATGTGTGAAAGCCGTCGGGGAAGTGGTTGGCCTCGCTGGAACTTCTTGCCATCTCAAAGCACACCATGGAGCGGCTCATCTGGCATGAGTTGATGAGTGGCTTAGCAGCTCTGGATACACTTTCCCGCAAATCCCAGGTGCAATCAGAGCGTAGATCAGACGTGATCAATATTGCTTTCGGTAGACGCATGCATATGGCAAGCGTTAGGAGAAGACCGAAGAACATCGGCGAGAATATGGGAAAGCCACGGAAGAAAAGAGTGAGACGTCGGATCGAGCCGAGCACATGGCCCCCCTGGCGATCAAGAGCCGCCCTTTCTGCCGTCTTTGCCAATCGTAGAGACCATGATGGGAAGATTGCAGATGACCACGATGAATATTACATTTCCATTGAGGCTTACAAGGTTGATGGCTCGAATGGATCAGCAAGCAGGGTCCTGTCATCGCTGTCTGGTGAGACATGACAGAACTTCTGCCATGTTTCTTGTTAACACTGGTTTGTTGGGGCCGAATATTTGAGTCAGTTGATCTGGATCGGATCCTGAACCGATCGCTCTCTTTGTTGACTCTGGCCTAGATCGAATAGCTAAGCGCACACACAGCTCGAACGTCATCAAGAACGCTTTTGCATAAAATCTTCAACGATCCTGGCCCAATGGGACAACGGGATGTTTAGAGCGAATGAAATATGGTATCTTTGTTATTCCGAGTGTATGATGAACATGGAAAAATGTCAGGCACGTGGTTGACGAAAGCGAAGCGGTGTAGCATAGCGCTCGCATCTGTCGCCGGTCAAAAGAACCCCCCAAGGTTTGTCAGTCTCAGTTTGTACGCGGTGTACGCCTTGATTGAATAGTAAAAAGCCCAATTATAAAGATGAACAGTATACCTTGAACCCGAACGCCCGACCGAGGATGGGTGAAATATTGCCTTTACCTCCAGTCTGAAGTGACTGCCCCTGATTCGTGAATGTCTCGGTCAAAGACTGGTCGAAAGTTGTGTCTTGGAGTGCCAGTTGACGGGGGCTCAGGTAGTTTCGGCCGGTCGATTGGAGAAGACATAGCTAGACACCCACGGCAGTCTAACTTCTTCGGCATGAATCTAGAAGGATTTGAGGAGATGGATAAGGGTTGCCGGCCGCAGCAGGTCGCAGCACGGCTGCAGCGGTTGAAACTAGTCCGGGGACGGGCTCGCCAGCCGCCGTGTGTAAAGTGTCATCCATCACCCATGGTCGTTCGCGGAGAGGAAGAGAGGAAGAGAGAAGGGATTAAGAAAAAGGGGATTGCATTTACCGCGGCGGCCCTGCAGGCCATCATGTGTGGTCTATCGTCGGTCGCCCTGCCCAACACTGACCTTACCTACCCTAATACGTCATAGCAGACTTTGTGATCCGTGGTTGCTTCATACGCGGAGAAAGTTTCAGAGTCGATCCTACCCTCCACTTCACATTAGAGTATCGTGATATATAGGTATGGCTACGAGCAAAGATGGAAGGCGCGTCGCCCCTGCCATGATACGATTGAATTATCGGCATTCCTGACATTGCTCGGGTTTTGTTTTGTCCCTGCAATCTCTTCAAGTTGGTCGAGTGTTGACAACGAGTACAACCGTCTCAACTCCACAAGCCATAGCCATTCACACCACAAAACATCATGGCAATTATCTGCTCATTCTGTCATCCCTATTGCCATGCCTGAACATAACGCCATTGTGGTATCAATGCTAGCACTGCTGGATGGTTGCTGGTGATAAGCGGGAGTGATGAGGGTGATAATGCACCTACCCGTCTGCCCAGACTCGAAAGGAGGGGTCCGCTTTTTACAGTGCTCTCTTGCCAGTCAGATTCCTTCTTTGCTTTGCTTTCGGTTAAACCTGGACCCCTCCCCAACGGGTACTTAGTTCTTTTTCTTTTTTTCTTTTTTTCTTTCCCTTTTTTTTTTTTTTTTTTTTTTTTTCCTTCTCTTCCAGGCCATGACCATTTGGCTGGGCAGGTCTTCAATCCAGGTGTCTCTTCGTTGATGATTACGTGTTAACTCACTTCCAGGCTTGTTTCCATTCCCAAGTCACCACCTATCACCACTCAGAGCTAATGTTTACCGGTGCCGGCGCCGGCTCCCGATCCTTCGGTGTCACTGCCCTCTCACGTCAGACAATGGGGTCGAGATCCCGAGTGGACGCATACAAACCGGACAAGTTTACTGGCTCTCGTCAACCCTCGATGCCGGGCCGGTGCAAGTCACAGTGGGCTACGAGCAGGCATGCAAGCTGAGGTGTGTTTGTCGCCTTACCATATGCCAGGTGCCCTCCTCCCGTCCCGTCTGTCCCGCTCATCCCACCTGTCACGCCTATGGGCAGCCGAAGACGAACAGGTGGCCAAAGACATCCAGTCCATTTATCGCTCCCGCACATCCCGCCATCCCTCGATCGGCAACTGGCTGCGGTGGTGTATTGCGAATGGAGTACCTGCATCCATCCCATTGTTTGTTCTCGGCAGGTGGGGGTATTTCATTGGAAGACTCAGGAGGTCAGGTTGCAGCGAGTCCAAGAGCCTCACTCGGCTCCACTAGCCCATCGTCCATCTACTTGCCCACTTGCCTTATCAGGCTTGTGCTCTTGTTACAATGTGCAACGCCTTTTCTAACCTTACCCTTTCTTCATCGGCTCCTCTTGACGGGGAGGCAGATCAATCAGCAAAGCATATTCTTCACAAGGTTGATGATGATTGTTAGCGTTATATCCTCGTTCCACATAAGATCCAAAAGGGATATTGGGGGCGGCGACTATCTTGTCGACTACTTTATATTCATCGTTTACTAGTTGTGGGTAAGATTGGGGGATAGAACAGCTAAGACGATCGGCTACTATACCGACAATTCTCGTGGACGACGGCACTGGGAACATTGATGTTCTGCCCTGCTTAGCAGGCATTTTCGAGTCTCAAGTACAGCGGGTGTCCACAAATTGTCCCTGGACCCCCTCCTTTCCTCTTCAATATCGCGGATAAGGGTCCGGAAGCTTTCCTAGGGGGCTCCAAGGATGTGTTGTCAAGCGATACTCACATTTTCTCATCGCATCTCTTCCTCGCCATGCAGCCAGGCGACATACAGCACAGTATCCTCCTTCATTCTTCATCCTGCGCAGGGCAGCCACAGCTCGGTGGGAAGCCAACCGTTGTGCGAGTCTGGGGAAAGTTACATTGTCAAGGATGGGTTGTACTCTGGTACATCGCACGTCGATACTTGGTGTGTACATCAAACACTGTGCTGTGTTCCACGGTGCGTGCTCTTGTTTCTCAATCCTTCTCGTGTTTTAAGCGTTACAAAGGAGGCCAAGGTACCAAGACAGCGCAAACAGCTGAGGAGAGTACAACGGGATGGATCGTGGATCTCGACGAGGACGGAGGCCGGCATTAGGTAAGAAAGGTAAAATTGGTATGTAGCACAAGCTGAATGCAATTTATTTGTTGGCCAAAACACATGTCACACTACGCAGTTCCTTACTTGATTCCTTTTAGCAATGTACACTCGTGAGTTTCTGGGTACCTTTGATGTAAACTGCTTCCAGTGACCCTCTTATTTCACATTTTCTGGAAACTGGATGTCCAAGTTGAAATGGTAGAGCACGATGGAAAGTCGAAATACTGTGTATTCTACGAGAAAACTGACCTCCGATGTTTTCTACTAACCAACCTTTGGCGACCATACGCTTGATATAGAAAGTACCTACCAAAGCACCCACCACAAACCAAAATTACATAGTTAGTAGAACACAGTACACGCGGCAGCCAACCTTAATGCTGTGTGCCCGTTGATCACAACGCACGCAGTGGTGTACGGTACGCACAGCACGTAAGCCGACCTCAACAACGCATGTCTACCTGACCTGCCTTGATCCAAAACTAGGCTGATCCAACGGGCCAAGAAAAAGAAGGGTTTAGGTTGCTGACTTGGGCTTTATGATGAGTGAGTCAGTACCAGGTCTTATTAGACTGAAAGTAGGTAGGTAACAAAACACAGAACTCGTAATTATACACATGAATGGATACAACAGAACGGAGGTTAGAGAGGTATCAATATTGTTCACAATCTGTTCCATATTACAATGATTCTCGAATATTCCTACTTCCTCTAGCTGTAATCTACAGTTGATACATATAGGCAAGGTGGAATATCTAAGCCACATAGTGGGAAAGCACGACAGGCTCTTCACCACCCCTTGCTCGCCCACTTCTCACGTTTCCACGAACGTTGTGAATGATGTGTTGTCACCTCGACAAGGCCCCCTAGCTTCCATGTTTTCTTCTTCTTCTTGTTCTTCTTCTTCTGATCCCTGACGTGGGTCTCCCGAACGATCGCCTTTGATCCCATCTGTCTGTTTTCATACGTCGTAATCATACGTAACTCGGTGTGAGGACGAAGAACGACAGATTAACAACCTGACAATACATCCTTACCTACCTCAATCGACCAAGATGAAGTTGAACATTGAAAGCGCAAGAGAATGTCGAGCAAGTTAACGGTAACATACTTATGTAATGTACCGGCCAGATCCAGATGATACCTAGTTGAACGATGGCATGAAGTAAAGGCAAGATGACAATCTGCCGAGTTAGTCGATTGAATACCTACTCAACAGTCAACATTCAACCTCCACCGTAAGTGTAATTGATACGCGCCACCAGAACGCCCACCACCCCTCCTCCGTTCCCGGGGACAGCTAGGTAACGAGCCGATTTCCTTGCCTTCTCTACGCGGGCCGTAAAAGCGCATCCTACATCTTTGTCTTCACTTGTTACTACCTATGTAGATGAATGGATACGCACGGAAAGGTCGAGATAAAAATGGGGCTACATGGTTGTTGTGTACCTTACGGCGGTTGTCACCTCTGTTTGAACACTGGGGGGTTTGTTATATCACTCGCTCGCCCCCTTCACTCGGTCTTCCCAATATATTATAACATATCAACAAACTTGAACTCTGAAAATTTTTTTCTTTTTTTTTTTTTTAAAAAAAAAAAACCAACTCAAATCTTTACATTCCATCGGTCCCTGTGCTGGGTTCCCTTGGCCCCACCTAGTCTTCGGCTCCATGTCCCGGGCTTAATACGTCGAGGTAGTAGGTTGACTTAATCGAAAGGATCGGAAACGTAGTCAATCGATCCCGTTTGATTAACACCTACGTTACTTCATCACTTCATCTTCCCTCGTGGCTCCAAGTTTTGTGACCCCTTGTTGTTTCTAGAATTCCAGGCTCTATAGACATGTGGAGACGTTTACACACTACCTACCGCACGTCGACAAAGAGATCTTATAGATAGTAAGCAAGCAAGCAACGTACCTACGTTTTGGAACGTCATGTGTTCACCTAGCGGTAGCCTTGTAGACATTTTTATTAGTCGACTTGCGATTTTCTTTTGTATTAGTTCAAGAGAAAAATGGATATTGTGCGACACTCGAATGTGAACGACGAAAAAAGGGTAACACTAACAGCTAGGCTAGCTCAAACCATCACTCAAAAGCTTTTCATCTTCTTCTTTTCCTTCTCAGGATCAGTTCATGTTATCTTATTTATCCTACTGTCCACTGTTCAACAGACATGTATTTTAGGTTAGGTAGGTACCTACCTAGCTGGTAGCTAGTACACACTCGGATGTGACACCCACCTCCCTCCTCCATGACCCTTCATGTCCATTGAACCAGCCTAGCCGCGATATAATCCAGGGATGTATAGTAGAAACCTATATTATCTTTTGTCATACTCTGTCTGTTATTCCACGCCCAGCCTATGCTTTACATACGCCTTACAAGCCTTGCAAGCCTCGTTATGACCGTGACTCGTCCCGCCCGTATCGTGTTTATTATAGACAAAGCGTGCTTGTTTCGTTTGTCAAGGGCGCCCGATAAATCTTCCACGCGTAACTCTTTCTGTCTTTTTACCAAAAAACTTTAAGAATCCAAAAAAAAAATCGCTTCACTTCCTCATATTCTTCCCTGGATATGCCATATCATCTGATCGCTGATCGCGCTTCGGCATTGTTAGGCTGGTTACGGGTCGTGTTCCTGTGCTTAACTAGTGGGTGCTGCGTGTTGAAACCTGCACAAGTAGGTGAGCAAATAAAGACCCAATCGACACCACGACACCTACAGGCAGAAAAAACAATACTGTGACCGTACGCGTACTGGCAAAGACGCACTCTGATCAGAATTCGGGGAAAACGTATTCGATATACGAAGAAATTCAGCTAGATCGTTGGTGACCGCTTTTTCTCATAGGGTCAAGTAAGGAAATCGTGTGAAAGAAAATGATAGGCAATGGAACGCCATACTAGACACCATGAACTCTCGGGTTTACTCTACCAGAATAGCGGGACAGATTAAAGCTGTAGATGTGGGTATGTAGATAATGTAACGAGAAAATAAGCCGCCTCAGCCTTGTTGGCTTTCTAGCAGCTCCTCTCATTCATCATGAATTCGCGTAAAACAAAATCGGTCCTATATACCGGTTCTGGAAAACAGCGGTTGAAAGGGGTATAAAGTATGTACATGTTTTTTCAAGATGTGAAATAAACAAGGGCTTTTGCGTTGATTCATGAACAAACCCACAGATCCCCTCATATGCCCGGACCTTTGCCTTCTTTGTGCTGCGCCTAGAACCGCAACCAGACCAAGCCCAGAACCCCAAAACCAGACCCCCGGGTATAAAAGACAACATAGAACCAAGGTAAAGAAGGCTTGCTAAAACAGATTGGAATATAATCGCGACTCGAATGCGTCTGTACTGTCTGCGCGCTGCGAAAAAAGAAAGGGGCAATTCGAAGAAAAAGAAAAAAAAAAAGCTTTACTATGGTCAGCATACATGATGCCGCTGGCTGCAATCGAAATTGTCAGGACCCGAGGTGGAATGCCCGCGATAATCGTCTTTCGCTGTCGGATAGTAAATCTAGTTTCGATCGTCGGTGGGTTTAGGTCGAATAGATCGTTGCTCCAATTGTCGTTTGCGCTCAAGTTTGGCATAGTGTAAACCGCAGGCATTGCAAAGAGTTCTCGCGCCGTCTGGACCGCGCCTCCATTCGGGAGTATCGATCCTATTGCAGCTATGGCACCGTCCAGGAGGAGCCGCACGCTGTATCACAGAAATGTGTCAGCTTCAGGCTCATTTCCATCTCTTTGCACCAGGCTCCAAAGTTGGGACAAAACAACTTACGCCGCGCCTTTTCTTCACTTCGTTAAAAGACGAATGCTTTCCTATGCCGTCACCATACATGGAGACATCGTCGTCCTCGGCTCCGGACTTGCGTCCACCATTTTCTCGAGACCGTTCCGAATTGATCTGGGCAATGAGGTGTCGGAGGTTCTTCAAGTTCTCGACCGCGACAACTGCGCTGTCAATGACGACAGAGATTTCACTTTCGGTTGGTAGCCTTGATGGAAGCGGCTGTCCTTGCTGTTCCCGGGCCGCGGCACCATAGCCTTCAGCAAAATGATAAACGGTGCGCCCAGCGTGCGCTATCTGCTTATTCTTCATTATTAGACGTGGAAAAATGAGCGAGGCGACTACAGTTCCACACTTACCATGTACATCATCTCCCCATAAGACGACCAGTCCGGCAGAGACCTTTCTGAGGCAGCCTTGTATTCGCTACTTCTAGCATGACCATGCCCATATTCTTGCTCCTCTGGGTACATAGGCGGTCGGTGCTGCGAGTCGTATGGTGAGGGCAGTCCGGGTCCACTATGCCTGGGGGAAACAGGGTAAGCCGACAGCGGTAGTTGGCCAGGAGGTAGACGTCCCGTTTGCGCATAATGGGGCCCCGCTGGATGTCCTGGAGGATGGTGAGGATATCCGGCACTCAATGGGGATGCCTCGGCATGCCTTTGGTCAACCTCCATCTGTTCAAGCTTCACTGGCGGCGAGGGGTGCTGATGATGTGTTGGAAATGTATTCAGCGGGGGAGGCGGAGGCGGCCTGCTAGACAATTGAGGTCTTGCGGGGTCAGAGAAGGCGGGTAGAGGATCAGGGCGGGGGAAGCCCGAGCTTGGATGCAATGCCCTCGGCGAAGGATGCTTGTCTACATCGTAACTTCGGGGCGGACCAGATGGTGCAAACGGCGAAGGGAGGCTCTGGGTAGGCGGCAGTGAGGTTGGAGCATGTGGAGGGTAGGAGGTCGGCTTGGTACCCGAGATGACTTCTGAAATGGAAGGAAGCGACTGTCGATGAGGGTTCTCCGACTCGTCGGACGTCCGCCGGGAATCGACTGGCGAAATCATGCCGGGAATGCTTGCGGAGGACGAGGGGTGGTAGCCGTTGTGGGAAAATGAGTGCGAGTGGTATTGGGAGCTCGGGTTAATCAAGGTTGCCGTCGCCATGGCTGTGCCTCCTCTGCTGCTTCTGTTGTTGTATGGTCGTGCTGGATCAAAGTGTTCACGAGTGGTGGTGGCAGTTGGGATCCCGCTACAAGAAGACAAAATGTTAACCCAGTTGCTCGACGATGCAGGAGAAAAACTCGACCCGGATTGACCTGAGAGGCGCACCTTTGCCTGGCAGCAGAATCGCCCGCTTCCATAGCGGGTCTTAAAAGGATAAATGGCGTCGTAACCCAAGCAGAGCACCCCTAGCTCAAACTAGCATCTGACTCGAAGAGGCCAGGATAGACGGGATGAAGAGACGCAGCAGCTCGATGGGCGGGCGTAAAGGGCGGGACGGACCGGAGAGAGGGTCCGTTGGTGTCGCTTGCGGGTACACACTCTATAAGGGCACAGGACCTAGCAGACAGGAGTATCTATCTACTGGCATCCGGTGCGGCGTCGGTGCGAGTTGGTCGTGCAGTGTGGAGTGTGATGGTGAAGAGTTGAGAAAAGACAAGAAGCTGCTGAATGGACGTAGAGGTGGTGGTGGTGGCTGCCAGCCCAAACAGAGAGAGGTGCACAGGCCCGGAGTCGCAATGGTGGTGGTGGTGGTGGTGGATATCCAGTCTGGGCCACACTTCAGGTTGTGGGAGATCTGAGATCTGAGTGGGATCGAGATGGAGTTGGGTGACGAGTGGATAAGAGAGGCCACACGCCTTCGGTCCGGTCAGGTAACAAGTCTCTTTGTTCTGCTTCCGTCTCTTGTAGGCATTTGCGGGAGGCGATGCAAAGTCGGAAAACCCACCCGGGCTGACGGGATGTCTGTCGAGATTGCAGATGGGATGGGACAAGATGAGGGAAGGGGGGGAGGATTCGGGTTTTTGTCAGTTGTATATTTCCGGACCAGAAGTGACAGCCTGAGTCGTCAGATGTTGGAACCCAAGGGGACGGATGGACATGCAGGTAAGGTGGTGGCGAGCGAACGAGATGTTCTTGTCTTTTTGTGACTTTTTAGGACGGTAGCCGCATGGAGGGAGGCCGGGAAGGGGGGGGTCCAGGGGAATGGGGGACGGGCTGGGTGCCAAGTGGAACGGGGGACTGGGGGATGGGGGGGATGAACTTCCTTGGGAGCGATGGGGCAGGGGGGTGTGTGCGCAGAGCAAAAAGTGGAAGGTGGGCACCAGCAGCTCCCCAGCCGGGTTTGAAGGTTCCTGTTTGGAGGGAGACACCAATGTGCACCACAGGTCCGGGTGCAAGTGGACCTGATTCCGAGGCGCTTATCCGGACTATAAGAGATCACGTATCTTTCCCACGCCCAGCTTGAAACCCCAAGTCCCAATACTTTTGCAAACCCTTCTTCCAACCTGCTGCATCAACCTCATTACAACCCGATATAGAGATAATACGAGCATAATAACCCCTTTCGGGCGCGCTGATTCTACTGGCTCAATCAGTTTCTCAATTCAATAACTTGTTGTATAGGTCATAATAACAGCGTCGAAACATTGAGTGACTTTGTGGCTAGCGCCAAGAGCTACAACTTGCGTGAGAGGCTACGTATTTTTTGGGACTCCCGATACCCGATGCCCCTGATTTAGGTGCCCTGCCCTACGCTATTTGATGCTATTCGCTGCGGATGCACTGGATTCAGCACTCGACTTGCTAGGTAGGTACCTACCTTGGCTGAGTCTGGGATTGCGTCCCGTCCTGCTGCGCGGCCAGTGGATGGCCGGTGGATGACAGATGCTGAGGTGTTGAGGCCGAGGACGATCCCGTCCGTTAAGGGCGGGAATCAGGCACCGCTCCTGGCTGCGGTGGGCTGCGATGGGCGGGCCCGGCAATGTTGAGAGGTTGAGCTTCCCCCTAGTACACTACACAGTACCTCAGGAATCTGGGAATGGATCGTGGAAGGACGGACTTGAGCAATAGAGCACACACCCCTGCCGCTCTAGTTTCCGCTATAATAGCTGCTGGACCCTTTGTTTCTCTACTTGGCCTGTTTGGGTCAAGTGCACGCGGTACAGGCGCGAAAGGCGGTATCAAAAGAGTACGGCCTTACCTAACCACTTGCCAGGTAACTGTCATCTCTTCTGTTCAATGTCGTGCTGTGCCTGTGGGAATTGCGAGGGAGGGTAGAGAGAGGGAAACGAAATCGAGCCAAGGAAGACGTGCACTAGGCTTGTGCCGTCCGTCTTCAATGTCGCAGATCCAGCGATTGAACATGGGACCGTCCCTCCTCTCCTCGATGGCTAGTTTGGCTGGCTGCTAGCGCCAGAAATCCAACTCGATGGGCGATGACTGAGATGACCGATGGGTGATGGAGTGATGGACGTGGACCTTATTGCGTGATGAAGAACGTTGGGCTTTTTTTTCACCTTGTTGATGTTTACCCACTCACTTTCTTTTGGTGGCTTTGGCCTTTTCTGTACCCCCTTCGCTTCACCTGTTTTCCCTATTTGCCGGCTGGAGTGGCTGATGTTTCTAAACCCAGTCAGTGAGTGGGCAATGCTGTGTTGGTTGCCAGGCTTCTTCTGCGCGAGCGCCCAGGGCAATCTGTATTTTCCCGGTAGTTGGCTAGAGAACCGTTTACGAAGCCTCCAAGAACTACATCTCATTGCCGGTGACGTCTGTTCTTGCTTGTGAATGACGCGTCGCAATAAGTGAAGTGGACGGTTACAAAGTCGACAAACGGGTAGACAGGCGAATGGATATCACAATTTGTCTTGATGCCACCGGTAACACCACAAGGACATCGAAAGGGGGGCCCGGGGAAGGGAAAGGGGGTGAAAAAGGACCGAGCACTTAGAGGAGCGGCGCCGTTCAACAAGCGGACGAGGACCGGATCTTGTAATCAACACCCCAGAACAAAACCAGCCAGCCAGCGCCAAACTTGAATTCGAAGGGATCACCAACTTCACAAGCACAAAGGCAGCTGGGCAGCTGCAGCACGGCAAGGCAAGAATTTGTGGTTGTGCGGCCTTGTGCTGTGAGAGGGTGTGGTCGCAATGACACAAGAGTCGGAGAAAAAAAGGGACTTGCGACAGGGCGGGCAGAAAGCGGCCAGGTATCCTGCTCCAACCCAGCCCAGTTCTTGCAGAGGCCGACCTGACTAACCTGAGCAACGAACGGCACGAGGGGATACCAAACCCCCCCGCCTGGCGCATCCAATTCCATCGGCTGGGGGGAGCCATGGGGCATCACAATGAGATCCGAAACGATCCGATACAACTTCATCGACTTTGTTCCCGGTCCTGCTGCTGCTGGTTGATGTCTCATGTAGTACTTTGAGTACCGTATATCCCCATGTTGTACTTGCACGTATAAGTCGTCAATACTGCCGCTGCTTTGTGGTCGATCCATCATCGTTCGTCTTTTGTTATCGGTGTCTGTCCCGACAACGTTGACGCTTGCAAGGAGTGCGATATCCTCACTTCCCTACCTACCGGTATCCAGTCGCTCTAGATGCAATGATAGGCCAACAAAGTCGACATATCGCCTTTGTTGTGTGACAACACTGAATACCAATCAATAGTCCGATGTCGCAGCCGAGGGTCCCTTTGATTTTCCCCATGCCCATGCTTCCGGGGGGTTGGTGGAATGAAGTGATTGATACTGACGACGTCAGTGATGCTTCTCGGCTGGTCTCGACCAAGGCGCGATCCCGTCAGCCAGTCCACCCGTGATGAGATGTGCGAGATGAGATTGGGACTTGGCATTCTGGCAAAGCTAAGGATGTGAGGACGAGTGGATTTGAATGGAAATACCGACGAGAAGAACAGGTGGAGGCTGCTAAAGAGGCGTCACCGTCATCTTGAAAGTGACGATCACTGGAGAAAAAAAAGCGCAGATACCTAACACCCAGCCCAGATTTGATAATGAGAGATGGTTTTGGGGTGAGATTGCCTAGATTGAAGTGGGGGAAGCTTGTCCCACTGAAGCCCAAAGGGGGGGGGGGGTGTTTGGGGTAGGGGGGGTCGCATGATCTCACACTAGCCGTCACAAATCCGAGCTTGGCATCGCTAGTAGCTGCACTTGTACGGTACGCGGGTGCTGGGACCTGGTGCCGCGCTTGAGATTTTCTGGGATGTATCGACAAGTGTACACCTCTGCAAGGATATAGCTGGTTAGCACGGTACCTTGCTGGTACAGAAAACAGGGGTCAAGAAGAAGCCAGATTAGATGTTTATTGTGAGAAGATTAAGGTTCTTTGCCTCCCCAAGAACCGTGCTAACAAGTTAGCTCCATACAGATGTGTAATAGCGACCCGAACCTGATATTTTAACTCTGTCTTCATGATAGCCACAATACATAGCTCTTTGCGAGCTGACCTCCTCGCAGTTTAGGGTTAGTAGGTGTTTACCTGGTGTTGGCAGCTAGAGTAAGGTGTTAGGGTTAGCTTCGGGAGTGTAGGAGACGGTGAGAGTCTCCCGCATGTGAGGATGTCATTTACGATTTGAAAAAGTGCGCATCTGGCGTTGTCGCGATGTCCTAGTTCGCATCTGGGTGATGGCATTTACTATAGTGATAGTTGCGCGCACACAGACGAGACCAAGCAGGAATTCTTGGCTGTCTCTCCCAGTAAGTTTGAATAGCCCCACACAGTCTGTTTGGAACTCAAACACAGTCGGATTATCCGGGTCAACGGCAGCGGACCACCTACTGCGTACTGTACTTGGTACTAGGCTGCGATCCTAGTAGATGCGGTGAGTGAGGTGAGTTTGCCATTACAGTACTTACCGGCTTTAATCGTAGTTTACACTGTACACGTGTACACGCCTTCTGCTGTGCTCGTACCGCACGAATGCGCTGCAGCGCTTCATCTGCCCCAAGCCTAGAGGTACTTACCTACCCCCGGCCTTGAAAGTTGCAAAAAGACTTCCTACTCGAAATTACGAGATATTTCACCAGTACGGTATCGTAAAATCGAGTATATCCTTCGCGGCTGCCCCAGCAACTTTCACATCTGCATCGCACATTCGTTTGACTAGGTACATATCAGCGCATTCTTTGGCACCTGTATGGGCGTAACGAGCAGTTCCACTCCCCAAGGCAGCAAAAGGCACACCTTTGTATCGCGATGGTCTCAAGACGGACATTGTGGATTTCTTCGTCAGTCTCAATTGCGTGCCATGGATGGGTTGGGAGCTTCACAGCGTGAGATACGTCCCTTTTCACTGTGCATTATGCAGATGCTGTGCAGGAACGCGATGCGAATTTGGAAATCGCAGCCCTGGTCAAAGTTTGTGACAATCTGCCAACGGTACCCCCGGCTGTTTGGGTCAGAACGATGACATGCGAAGCCGATGGCAATCAAGCGTGAGTGAAAGACAGGCTCCAGAAGAGGAAGCGACTGTTCTTGATCAATTGAGATCGCATTCTCTTGGGCCATAAGAACAGCGTAGAACACATGTTGTACCTCAGATACCGTACGTCTTTTAACATCTGGTTGTTTCCCGGGACTTGATCTCAATGTTGCTTTCCACTAAACGAGGTCGCTAGTCGATTTGCGAGAAAATGCCTGATGACCCGGAGTTTCGCAGATTTCCCTTGTCACTCATGCAATCTAATTCTGACCGTGACCGTTGGGTCGGATGGCAGAATTGGCCAACTTGTTCGGGCGTTATTACAGTGATTTCGGCCTCCCTGGCCGTAACCACAATGTCTATCACTGTAGGGTCATCTGAATGACGAGCCTTTTCCCAACACAGCAGATGAAAGGTTGATCTTTTTAGGTGCGAATGGCCGAACGACACCGTATCAAGACCTTTTGATTGGTGACCAGGGCCGCATCGTAGCATATCTGTTTTTTTTTCTATCGGACTGAGAGCGGTTCAAGATTGGACAAATGACTCGTACCAGACTTTCCGTGATTCTAGAATGTTGTCTCCGTTGATCTTTTCTCAGAGGGGTTGCGCCGAATCGAGATTCAGATATCGCGCTAGCTGGGGCCGGTTTCAAAGACAAACCAGATCAATCTCAACTCATGTGAGACGAACAGAATCAGCAATCAATCCGAAAAGGTTTGGACGCTACGGCTGTCTTGTCGGGCCTCGAGAGGTTCGATTGCTACTGAAACAATGAAGCATTGGTCAACAACCTGTCAAGTTCGTTGGGTCAAAGACGGCGATACCTCCTCACTCACATACTGTGGTACGATATCCACGGCTTCTTCATCTCACAACTAGATTCCATCATTACCCCACGTTGCTCACAGCCTGGGTATCCGGTCACTCACTATTCGTTACAGCGACGACGACAGGATTGCCCTCGATGAGGCCAACGTATGTCGATTATCGGCAGATCATGCACAGCTCCAAACAGTGGAGGTCGCGTTCTAATGGGAACGAGCGGAACTGAGGACGATTCGCGCTAAAACATGGCTATCAGTAGCTGTATGGAAAAATACTGCAGAGTGCAGTGCAGAGGTACCTGCTGCACAGGTATGGTACAGGACGCACGGTGGGTGGAATCTCAGTTTATGTCAGATCGATCCATCATCCACCTCTCCGAATTTCCGGGTTGCGCCAAGATGTTCCCACTCAAGCACATGCCGACAAGTGCGAATCTCTCACGGTCATGAAAGCCCCAGGAAAAGAGGAAGGTACCGCGACACTACCTACAGTAAAAACCCCTGCTTCTGCAAGCCCCCTTTAATGCTAAACCCTTCCCTTTTGCAAAGAATCTTCAACTGCCCGCCATTCTCTGAATAGCTGATATTGTGTGAACCCCTTTTGCAAAATGAGGGGTGTTTACTGTAAACGACACCTACCTATGTAGCACGAGTATCACGGGCAATCCCACAGAAGGTGTCGCTGCCTTGACAAACACTCAAATCATCACAACCCGCTTCCAGCGTCACAGTAACCGTCCGGGTGGAGAGTCAGCCTGGGTGCCGCTTGAACCTCAGCAGAGGCACATGGAGCACATCACATCGCACATCGATCTGGCCCGTGCCTTCCAACCGTTCCCACGGCAAAGCAGTAGTAGGGATCGGGGGTCGATGAAGAGCGCAGGGAAGAGCGGGGCCCGGTGCAGCCATTTTCGAGACCATTGATTAGCGTATTTTTATAGCAGGGGTTCCATTGGCCGGATTCCAGATGGCTTGGACCTCGCTAATCGATAATCGAACGGAGGCACAATGGCAGTTGACGGCCTGCGAGTCTGTGTGTCTGCTGCTGACATGGGTGTCGGGCCGGGAGTTGAGCAGAAAGCTCAGTCCTATCGAGAAGATGACACACCACCAAAAAAGGACAGATGCGAGCGGTGTCAGAAGTCAGGCGGGCTGGCGGGATCCAAGAGTACATGGTAACCAAGCATCTGCGGGCGGGAAACATGTGGGTGGCCTTACCAGAAATCTGCTCACCAATGGCGCTCATCTCGAGAGGTTCCCCGCTTCGGTGTTGAGCCTGTCAATCTCGATCGATGTTGGAAAAAGAACCTGATTGTTAAACGAAAATGAAATGAACAGTCATTTGGCGGCCACGATCTCCTATCAAGCTTCTCTGACTTTCAATAGTGGATGCACACAAGGTCAACAGGTACGTCATTACACTAGTCGTGTCTGCCGCCCATGAATCCCGTGACATGCTGTCTCTTGAAAAGAGCCAAGATACATGTACACTACTGGACGTGCGGTCCTTTCGCTACTATCGAAGGAAGAGGGCCCGACGCTGGGGCCGGTAAAGCTTCGAGACGGAAGAGAAACGTTATCCGTCGTTTTGAACTGAGTGATAGTTACCAAGTCAGGGCGTAAATGAGGTGCTCATCCGTGTTGGAGACAGGTGTCTCCTCTCTCCATCATCCGAGTGTTCAAGTCCACCAAATCCACCCTCATCGGCCTCGCATCGCCCGTCATCTTGCAGATCAAAAACGTCGATTTTCTTGTTTTGTTCGCCCTGCAGATCTGCCCCTGGCCGTTTCCAAAGGCGCGGGGTGGGCAGTGCGATCATCCAGGGACCATGACAGGTCTGCAAGCCAGTTTCCTGTTTTGTTGCCTGTTTGACAACGGTTGCGACCAATTGCAGATGCTTGCTCAAAGGGGAAAGCCTAGTTTGGTAGTGAGTGAGTTTGGCGGTCCATACAACCCCCCTTTTATCAACAATAATTGGGGCCGCCAAATGCTAACCTATGCACTTTGTGAGTGTATACACCCGGGAAATCTGGTACAAAGACCTCAAAGCACCTTCTAGCCACCAAAGAGCGCCCAACTGTATGTACTAAGAGGGGACAAAAGAACGTTAGGCTTTGAGAGCCCCAGTAACCGGGTACAAGTGCTGTCTCCCACCAGAATCAGACCCTTTAGGTGCAACTCTTAGCCAAAAACCTTGAACTTTACAGTTTGCCGGTCTTACATGTGGGAACACGATCCCGATTGACCACATCTTTTGCACCTTAGGGGGGTACTTGCACTTTTCGGGGGCTGCACCTTGAGGGTACATTGCTATAGTGAATTGCAATGCGAACCTGCCAGAACCGAGTTGGCAGTCCTCTTGCGTTGAGGTTTCCTTTTCTGGCAGCCTCCTGGGATGCGACATGCAACGCCCGTCCCGGGCAGTCGCTGACCACCACGGCCACCGGCACCAACAACACGGCCAGTGGTTTCACCGGATTGAAACCGTAACCACGTGCTGGAGCCACTATTGGCAGATTGGCCGGCGCCGGGATCGCTTGCCGGAAAGCATGGCATTGCAGCGTTGTAGTCAATTTCGCCCCTATCAAGGTAGCAAGCCCATGATCGGATTCAATATTTCAGACCGACCTTTCAGAAACGGGCTGGGTAAAATTGACGAGATGGACTGCGATTGATCTGCTTTCGGATGCGATTGCCGCTGCAGAAAATGGCCAGATTTGATGTCAGCTACAATGGAAAGTGAGTGACGGCACAGACTCCACTATCAGCCATTTCCATACACTACACTACACAAGAGACATCACCTGTTATGGCAGACACAGTACCCGGACACTTCAGTTTGCACACACGGTACTTGTATGTATGTAGGTACTTACTTGTCTCTACCATACCTACTGTGGCGTGCCCTCAAGCTGTAACGTACGTACAGTACGTACCGCGGCTGTTGCTGAACTGCCCGGGATCTTACATCAACAACGATTGAGATATCGATGATCCGACTTTTCCTTTTATTGGACCGAGCGTTGTCTCGGCTATTTTGCCGTTAGCTTTGATTGGGACGGTTCGTCGTTTTTGCTGCTTGATTCATCGCCTACATACAACACTACTTCCAATCCCGTCCTTGAGGTCAATAGTGTTCACTTAGTACGCACGCTAAAACACCCGGTGAGCCGGCGGGCGGGCTTCTGCCCCAAGATTCTGGATAGCCAATTTCAACTCTCATGATTAGCCAACGGCAGAGTGGATGTGACGAGGCGCCGAGTTGGAAGTGGAAGGCAGGGCAGGTTAAGTTTAGAATTCCCGTCCCATAGTCTCACTCCCCGCCCGCCGTGAGACTGACATCTTCACCTCACCGTCTCTTTAACAACGCTAATGCGAACTGCTCCTACGGGCTGCAATGCTGGCATCTTGGACGTATCAATGCTTCCTGATCGAGATGGAGGGATCTTGTCGACAGCATCATCGAGATCGCGAGGCTTGTTGCGGGTTGGCGGCTCAGTTCCCGAAGGACCAGACGACTACGGCACATACACTTTTGGTTGTAGGAACAACACCAACTTCAACTCGGACAATTACTACACCCCCTCCAGCGAATGGAAGAAACAACAATTTTCACGGTGTAAGAGAGATCCCGATAAGCCACGGCAACCAGCCAGCCAGCCAGCCAACCGGGGCGATGACAACCGAGGCCCCATCTACACTACTTTGAATGGCAAGCATCTATTTTCCTTGGCATCTCAACGCAGATATGGGTATGACAACATCGGGTCACAAACCAGAACAAGATTGGTGTGGTTCGCTGACAGGCCATTAATTGACGCTATTCCTGAGCCATGCCACCAGACTGGGTGCTGTGCCCCTTTGGGTCATCGAATCGATGGCTCCCCAGCCCCCCACCTTCTCCGGCACTCCCAGAAATCCCATAGTGCCAGATTCCCGAGATGGACGCTAATCCAATAAATTGCACGTGGAGACCATAATCCCCCAATCAGTCAGCGTTGACGAGAAGCCAGTCGCATTCTAGAAGCTTGGGCGATAGGCAAAGAAAGAGCAAAAGAAACGAGACCCAAGGAAAAAGAAAGAAGGAAAGAAAGATGGGGCCATACAGGCGCTTTTCAGCACCGCTACTGAAAAGTCGAGAACTCCTTGTCGACGGCCAAGCCTGAACAAAACAAACCGTCGCTTCTGGAGAAAAGGACAAAGTTCACCAGGGTCCAGGGCACAATCGGTCCACGACGGCGCCGATCTGGTATTCGATAATGGATGCCAAGAATGCGCACATGGCACATAGACGAATGGGAATCACGGGATTCGAACCTGGATTATCTGCATCGTACCATTCTTATGAACCCAAAGAAAAATCATCACGCCTAGTCTACCGATGTTTTATCTTACAGCCGCGCTCGACAATCTCTGCTCCTTCAGCAGCAGGCGCCACCGAAGCAGCAGCCTACCATGGGGGCATGCTTACCATAGGACACTACAGGCTCGGGTCCGTCTCCTGACTGGATGCCCTTTGTACCCAACCAAACCACATGTTGCGTGCCAGGTTCAGCTTGCCAGAAGCTATGCGCTTCTGCGATACTGCCTTTGGTTCATTCGCCTCGAGGCTTACCTACACTACAAGCTTAACCTTCTGTCAGGTGTCATGGCTCGAAAGGCCGACAGCTACCGACGGCTCGTGCTCACTCACTACCTCCTCAATCCAACACACAGTGAGATCGTCGATACGGCACTGCGCACAATAACCGTTATTGCACTCATCCCGCTAACCTCCGCTACCCTACCCAGCCCGGTCCATGTTCCCATGACCCACCCTTCCCAAATCCTGCTGCGCTACCGGCTCGCGGCGAGCTTCCGCACCCAAGGAGATTCACAAGCGAGGGGGGCGAATAGATCCAGCCCACGGCGTGGGGCCGGACCCTTCGATCTACATAAATGAAGGTCTTGGAGCGCGGTCACATTACTGCTACGCTATGCATACTAAATATCATACTTAGGCCAGATGTCCAGTACATACTGCTAGGGTAGTTAGTGGCCTGTTATCTCTGCGACTACTTCTGATATGCCCATCCATCCCCGAGGTTTATTATCGTCACCACTTTTGGCGAAGGAAGTTCAACACGCTACGACGTACAAACCCTATTCGAGGAGACCGAGTTCCAGATGTTTGGTACGGTAGCATCATCAGGTTAGTGCACGCCTGGAACAAGGCCTGATCTATTGCGCGTCCTCAGTGAAACGAGGATGAGTAATACCCCGGTGTACGTGCTGGTCAACGTCAAAAAGGGAAGAGTTATAGGGCCATCACAACGCCCAGTAATAGCTCCACGTGGTTCCATCTTGGCGCCGGGAGCGTGTGTTGGTCGAAAGAGGTTCTTCCAACCGACGGCTAAGCCAAACAAAGAAAAGTGTGGTGGCAAGAAGGGATGATGTGGAGCAGCTTCCTTTTGGGTCAGTCCATGACCGGGTATCGGCTTCATATATGCGGTTGACCTATGTTCACTATTCCACTGCGGTCAAGATTTTAACCCGAGGAACTTTGTTTGGGGGGGTATTTATGACAGACACGACAATGCATGATGGATTATACGGAAGACACGATTCTGATGCCCAAGGGCTATCATGTTTTCAAGCAGTCTCGACATGCCCGTTATCTCAATTGTGGTAACTTGTGCTCGCAGGAAGGATTCACTTTGTCCCACTTATTCACCACTGAGATCTCAAAGCTCCGTGGTAAATCTGCCACAAAGCTTGCGAGATTGGTGTCTCGTGGGTTGGGCGTACCTCGAAGAACAAAAGCAAGAGACAGTTTGTCTGTACCATGACATGTGGCATGACCTGTATCAGCTACAACTAAAGACAGTGGGTGGCAATCAGTACAGATATATGCCGAGGACTCACCGGTCTCGATTCACTCCCACGGCCCAAGGCCCTCCCTGGAGCTCAGTTGCTGATGCAGCGCCTGTATTCAACCTGATACGACTGCTTGAGATCGTTGTCCCCGAAATTATGCTTATTTGGCGCCGGCCCGCCAGCTCTTTGGCCGTCCATAGCTTTGTGGTCGTGACATAATACGAGGCGTCAAGATCGTATGTTTCGCGATCTCAGAGCAGTCTTACCCGTCAGCCGACCACGGGAGCGGCAAGCACCATCTCAACCGTGCGGGGAAGGGGTTAATGGGACAAAAATCTCCGATGTGTGAGGCTTCAAATGTTGAAATGAGCCGTGTGTGTGTGTTAGTGAACACAGGACGTGGAGTACACGCAGGTTTCCTGAGCGATCGTTGTGATAGCCGGCATACGACTCTGTGTCTGATGTCCCTCAGCTCTTCGTCCAACCGCCGTTCGTATCATGTCCTCTCAGTTCCAAGAGCGCTTGTACTCTCTTCACTCCTGCGCTCTATGAAGGGCAATCAGCAAATATCACAGCCGTGGTAATATGGTTCTGTGGTTTGCAGCGCGGCACGTTATGTGAACACAAATGCTACCACGGAAACACAAGTACAGGGCAGGTCCTAAATCTATACACACCCCTCTCGTTCTGGTGGGTTACCCAAGTGTACTCTTGGGCGTCAGCGTCTCGTTCAAGCCTAAAAACTATCCATATGCGGGACGGCCGGGGTGGAAGGCTTGTTCACTAGTGTATGTGTTGAATGGGAGTTTGTGGTTGTCCACCAATCCCTCCCTCCCAGGATGTTGTTCCATTCTCCCCCACCCCTCCGTTAAAATGGCCCATCTGGTCTCGATCGCCTGATCTCAAGCCATCCCGATCTTCTTGCAACACTGGTCGGGTCGGTCAGATTAAACGCATGAGCGTACAGCCCTTTTATGTGCACAAAAGTATCCGCTGTGTCTTTCATTTGAGAATCCATTTCATTTCAGGTTATCTCTGAAGGTGGATGCTGGGGACTTTGGACACTCCAAGTTGTGACAAGCCATGGGATACACTACCGCCGAGCCTGTGCATAAAGTTGCGATACCTTGCTAGCAGTATCTTTGTACTTTACCACACCACCCTTGGTCACCACCACTGTTCAAGAGAGTGAAATCTCCCGTATGACTTGGTGCGTGGGTTCGATGCGGCACCTTTCTGGTTGTATATCACGGGAGACACGAAAGCTCGAGCCAACCAAATCGCGAGCATAACGAGATCAACCCTGCAGTACGACAGGAATGCGAGATCGAGAAAGTCGTCTCGACATACGTAGGTAGTTTTATGCTCTTTCGCGGAAATTTTCTGATTCTTCAAAACAACAGCTGCAAATGCCGTGCGATGGAACCTGGCAAGTGACTCTCTTTCGACGGTAATATCAAGCGCCCATTTTCTACTTTTCCCCTTGTCGACATCGAAGCAGGAGTCGCTGAAAAGTACATACATAGTGTTATGATTTGACTCTTTGTCCTTTTTTTCTTTTTTCTTTTTGCACCCTAAAAGCCGAGACGGCACTTCGATAGGTGATCAGTGGCCAGGTTTGAGCAAACAGCATGATAACGGTGAATTTGGGGCGGCCACAGATATACACCTCTGCATGGATATAAGTCATTAGATCGAGAATTGGCAAAGTGGCGATAACCTTGTTTTCCGTACAGAAGATAGGCCTTTTCAACGCCTCCCAATCCCTGAATACTGTAGAGTGGAAGTACCGAGCTAATGACTTATATCCATGCAGAGGTGTAGG